CGTCAAATCAATGCCCTTCCATCTGGTTTCTGGCAGTCAGGGGCTAATCAACCACAGATGAAGGAGAGCATGCATTGTGCGTTGTAAGGAGTACGTCTGCTGCACAATGTAGAGTTTTTTTTACTTTGCTACTTTTTACTGAGTTTATACTAATGTTAGTTCTCTTTAACCTAATTCTTGGGCAACATTTTTTTTGTTTTTATGAGGTCTTGAGCAGATGTCAAGAGTTCATCTGATGTTCCTACTGCTTTCAGTCGAAGCATCCTTTGCTAGATCTTTTGCTTTTTTGGGATCCGAGTTTTAAAGTTGTATTACTTTTCAAGCATTCAAGATTCAAATTAGGATCCCCAAATGGATCAAATCAATTAGGAAATGGTAGGTAATGGTTATCGTAAAGGGCTGACATTAATAATAATAATAATAATAATCCTTGCATTTGATATAGCGCTTTTCACGTCAGGAGGACGTCCCAAAGCGCTTCACAGAACACACTGTAAAGTGAATTGACTGTATATTTGTGGGCGAACGCGGCAGCCAATTGCGCACAGCAATGTCCCACAAACAGTCATGGATTGAAAATGACCAATTTATTATTGTTTTGTTTTTTTGGAGGGATTATTATTAGGCTCTGTGTGGAGTAAGGAAACTTGCCCAAGGTTTCGCCCTCTGCCTGGAATTGAACTCAGGTCTCTCACTTGCAAAGCGAGTGCTCTAACCACTGAGCTACAGGACATTGTCAAAGTGTAAAGGATGCAGGGCTGTAATTTTTAATTTGTGAATTCTTCAAGCTTTGCTAAGCATAGAAAATGATGTTGGATTAATGGCAAACTAATTCACTGAGGCAAATCCACAAACTTCAATTTATTGATGAACCGAGGAGCGTTGCTGAAAAAAGCGAGCCTTAAGATGCACGTCAAATAACTGGAGGTTGCAAATTGTGTTAAATAATTTGGTCTGCTTGAAGGTTCAGAGCAATCAAATGCTGTTGATCGTCTGCAGACATTTATGCAGGAGGTTTGTCAGCTCCCACTGGACCTTATTGAAATTCACAGGGAACGTCATGGTAGAAGTGTCCAGTCGAGGAAAGGAAAACTAGTATTCAGGTGGCTCGAGTTTTCTTATCAGCAGAGAATTAAAGGAAACTATTTAATTGAAAAAATACTTTCTAGGCTTTTCTATAAATCATGTGCACTCATCTGTATGATGGGCCTCAAAACACTTTGGGATTATATCATAGGGTACGGAATTGCGTGTTGTGTGTCTTTATTACCCATTAGTGGCTAACGTGTGCCAAAGTAGATAAGAAAGAACAATAAATTACATTCTGTTTTTTAAAAAAATTTAGGTCACAAGCAAGTTTTAGAATCTGAAGTGGCATTGAGAGTACAGCCCTTAAATATGTATGCATGAGGTTAAGAGTTGTGGATGCATTACTGCTTAACTATTGCAAAATTTCCCATTGGTAGTTAAGGGAATGTTCTCGTTAAGACACAAAGCTAGTGGGAAGATGGCCTAATTATTACAAAGAACTGTTACACCTTATTGTGGCTTTTCGAATAGCTCAACTAAACAGCTTCATTGCTCTACTTTTAAAACTTCATACCTGACAACAAAGATCCTTTTATATGCAAAGGCAATGTACATGACCATCAAAATTTTCTGTGTGTGTTGCTCTAAGAATGAGAATACTGTGTCAGCATACTGAATATGTAAATTAGGCTACAGTTCATCCTCTATACAGTAGCTTTAGTTGACGTTGCAGAATCTAGTTTTGCAGCAGTGTTTTTTGGGGGTTAGGCAGGAGAATGAGAAATCTTATTTGCTAAGGTTGTGGTCTTTGGTAGAGGAAAGGGCAATTTTATTTATTGATGAACTATTTGAGTCGGAATCCATTTTAGAAATGTAGTATCTAGTACCACATGAGAATAATGGGTGTGGAGTGAGGTTATAGATGTACTTGATGTTAAATAAGATTATATTTGAAATATGAAGCTGGTTATTCCATGTAGATGTTGAGTTTTTTATAAAAACACACATAAAACAATAGAAATGGAAAAAATGCTGTAATTTTTACATGGTTAGAATATTTATTTTATGATCTTGGATGTTATCACCATGTATATCAATATAATTTATTTGCACAAGGGAGATATTTGCATAATTCAATAAGAAGTACAGGGAAGCCTCAAACCTTTTTTGAGTATCAAAAGGATATTCGTGCTGAAAATAAATTTGTTTATAACCAGAGGGGAAAAATCTGCATATAATGTTTAAATCATTTATTTGTAACACAATACATGCTTGATCATGCTTGTATTATAATTTATATTTAGTTTGGAGTTTCTGCATTGCAAAAAAAAGTGCAGGGTAGAAATCAAGGAAAATATGTTGTCGGCAATTTTGAGGGTGCAAATGTCACCATTTTGATACATCTGCTGTCAGGTTTGTAAACTGATGAAAGGGTGTTCGCTGTCCATATGGTCTTAATCATTTAAGAGTATTTGAATTAATATCAATCCTTTGCAAATAATTTGATGCAAGCATTTCTGAAGGGTTATCTGCCCAACAACTATTTTCACTGTGAACAATCAGAGGTACAGCCCACAAAACACACAATCAATTCACTATACAGTATATTTGAGACGTCTCGAAGATGTGGTAAGGTGCTATATCAAATGCAAGGATTGTTATAGCGAGACACCTAGGTTCAATTGCAGGCAGGGCAAAACCTTGGGCAAGTTTCCTTACTCCACACGCCTAATAATATTCCCTCCAAAACAAAAAATAATAATAAATTGGTCATTTTCAATCCACGACTGTTTGTGGGACACTGCTGCGCACAATTGGCTGTCGCGTTTCACCCACGGTCAATTCACTTTGCAGTATATTCTGTGAAGCGCTTTGAGATGTCTCGAAGACGTGGAAAGCGCTATATCAAATGCAAGTATTATTATTTATATGTCTGACATTGTTGGGACAGTGAAGGTACATGAGGTTAAAGCAGCAAACGATGCTTGATTCCTGTTAGAAAATAGAATGTTAAAAATAAACTGCTGACCAATTTAGGAAGGCACAGATGGAGCCTAACATTTTAAATGTAATGTTAAGATTGAAAATGACAGCACTGTGGGTTGGTGAGCTGCAGCTCAACATCTGTGCTGTGGAATGGTAGGATGTGGGTTTAAAATGCTGTCTCTCCCATTGAAGGGATACAGTAAGCCATGGTTGGGTCTTCACCAAAGAAAAGGGCCTTTAATGATTTACAAGGTATCATATGCACCTCCTTTTGTTGAAAGAGCATTGTCAGAAGTCTGTCAGCAAGCTGTTTCCCTTCTTTCCAGACAAGTTTATGATCAAACGAGAGAAAATATCACAAAAACAGCTTTTATGTTTTGTTTTAATTCAGTCATCTCTGCAACAAAGTATATCAACAATATGACTGCTTGACCACAACAAAGAAATAGTAATTCTTGCATTTGATACAGTGCCTTGATTCGTCGATGTTTCAAAGCACTTCACAGTATACTGTATCGTGGATTTGACCATATTTTTTGCGAGAAACGCACCAGTTTGCGTGAGAATTCCTACCTTCAGCTTGAGTGCCCATCCAGCACTGTAAGGAGCATTTAGGCTTCCTCCTGACATGAAAGGCACTATATGAATGTAAATTGCATCGATAACTAACAAATTTGAGGTTTGCTATGATTGCTCTTGTGTTTTCAATGCATACTAACCTTCACTACCTCACTAACGTCATATGAAAATAGATGGTGTAGCCTTCACCAGTATACCAAAAACCTAACTCTTGACAGTTAATTTTTACGATACTATGGCAGAGACATCTATTGGTTAAATAATATATTTAGGGGATGATGCTACGGGCTTCAGGATGTTTAACAAGCTTTGTGTTCTTTTTGTTTCCCATTGGTGCTCATAATCAGTTTGTTAAACATACCACCAAATAGAGCATCACCCTCTTTGGTATAGCTGCTGAAGATTTTAATGATTACTTTTGACTTTAGTTCACATTTGCTCTTGATTTTCATTTTAGATTTATGGAGATTATTTGTTGTATATTTTGTTTATGTGTAACTATAGATGTACCTTTACCTTAAATCTAAATAAATCACTTCATAAATCATAACATGCTAGATGTAGATTTTCTGAGGTTTACATTTATGGTCTTCCTTAGCAGAATTGCCAAAAAGATGATAATTTAATTCTAACCTTTTAGAACATTTAGATGCTCACAATGATTCAGTGAATTACGCAAGCCATAAATGATCTATGATAAATCTTTGATATATACTGAATTAGCCTGGCCAAAGGTAGGACATTGCAATTGGATTTTGGTCATCTTGGGCTAGAGTAGGAGAAAAAACACAGGGTTTCCACTTCTGAATGGTTTTGTTTTCCTGACTAGAAAGCGTAAGTGTGCAGATACAATCAGGCTCAATTGTGATGCCTTTCACTGTCAAGTAGTCTGTGAATATTCACCATCTAGGCATAAAATACGACAACTAATATTAATTTCTGGAATGTTGCTTGTGCCTATGGAATTTGGGACAAGTCCCTTAAAAAGGAGGAGATGTGAGGGGCAGGGTATGTGGAATAAAAAGGAATAAGCTTTCATTTTTAGAGAACAGGATGTCACAAGGAGCTTTTGTGGTCTTTTAATAAGTAGCCTTGTTCTATATTGTACAATCTGAAGCTGAGGAAGTTTAACTGTTTCAATAGTACATGTCCATTAACCCTAAGTATAAAAAGGATTGTGTAATCCAAGTGAAAATGCGCTTGCTTTGTTCTCAGAATTTAAAATACACATCAGAGTTGCAAACAACCCAGATTTTGTGTTTGAAACATTGAAATTTAGTAGTATTTTGAAATTGCTAATCTTTCACATTAATCTTGCTGGTTATGTACTTGTCAGTGTTACAAAGTAATAAATTCAAGATAACACCAGGTGAATTACTTCCAAGGACCTGTATTTTCTTTTACAGGACCGGAATCGGCCCTATGATGCATTTAACTTGCACTCTTTGGAGAGTTCCTTAATGGATATTATGAGGAGTGACCATGAGCCTCTGAAAGGTAAACACTATCCTCCCAGTGGCCCACCAATGACTATCGCTGATATAATGTGGAGGAATCATTTTGCAGGTTAGGAATATTCCTTCATCGCTATTTGGTGTTGACTTTGTAATATATTTTAATGGTGTTAAGATTTAAATCTCTATTACATTTTTGATACCTATCAATGGATTTAAGAAAACAATTTCATATGTACAGATGTAGTTTCTGTTTATGTAAGCTCAAATAGATGAATTTGTGTAATGTTGGTATTCTGTACTATGGATTAGTACAACATGTGTTTTATATTTGCAGAATCTCCTATTACAAGTGACCTCAAGACTATCTAATAATTTGGCTCCTATTTTGACTTGTGCGTTTCAGTATAGAGAAATGTATTCTTGTTTTCAGTGTTGCTGAATAACTAAAGATGAGAATAATTGCAAAGACTGAGGAAGATGTCAGTATGTGAAAATTTCTCTTACATTAGATATAAAATGAATCATGGCTTACTTTCAGCAAAGGTTTATGGGTTGAGTTACAGAACAATCAATTATAAGTAAAACATTTCAGTATAACTTTCTGTGGATACAAAGTTGAATAAAACTCTTTTAAGATATACGAGGCAGTGTGGAAGGGTACGAATGTGGGGGAGATTGAAAAGCTCCTGTGGTGAATGGCACCTATGTATCAAAAGGATCCAGAAACAAATGGATGGATTAACCTAGCCAATCATAATTCAAGAATAGGCAACAGAATGCAGTGGTAAGAGTTCCACTTCTTAATACAGTTAGGGACAACTTCAGGATTAATTACTATGGAATGATTAACTGATAAATTATTAAAAGCTTCCACAGATGCTGGATCTTCTGCTGTGTTCTTTTTAGGAGGGTGGAGTGGATGGGGGGATGTGGGGGAAGAATTCGGGGATTGTATCGTGCCATGAATGGATGTACCTGCCATTTTCTTAGGGTGATCTTCATGATACTTCTATGGAATTCTTTAGCTCAGAAAATGCTTTCTGCTTGAGGAAGGATATGTACGTACCCTTGAGCATCTTTCAAGAGTAGGACGTCTATAAAATGTCAAATAGGTAGCTTGCTATTTGAACCAAGCAGAATACATTGTGGGAGGTTTACGTAGACATTGATCTGTAGTTTGAATAATAAAGCTATTTAAATTTTCTTGGACTGCAATGTGTATGCGTTTCTCCAACCATGCATAGTAATAGTCCAAAGGGATCATAAACTCAGAGGTAATTGATTAGCTTTAAAGTTATTTTGTTCAATTCATAATGAGTTTGCAGATATGTTATGCTTGGATCAGGAATGAATTCTTAATGATATCTGTCACTAATTATATAGAGTATTAATACTGCTACATAATCTAAATTCATTCCACTAAACAAAATGTAGTCCTACAGTAGACCCGCTGGATTAAACTGAGTTGAAAAAAATCTTCTGATAATTAGTAACTTGTGCTGGTGTAGACATTTTACTCCAAAATCTCAGGGACGCAAAAATATGTCTGAGATACTACTGAAACAATGGCATAAAATTTTGTTGCTTACTACTTTTCTTTGTGACTGTCTAAATGTATGCAAATTGATGATTAATGATAAAAAAATGATTTTGTGTCACAGTGTTTATTGCAAGCCATAATGTAAATGTATGTGTTCAATGCAAATCATGGGACAAAGGATGAGCATATTGTTACAAGATTAGTGTGTTTTGGGAGTATAAATAGGAAGTAGGGTGCAGTGTGTGCACCCTAATGCAGTGTGTGATTTTTTAAAAAAAATTCAGAGCACAGTCCAACCTCTTGGGACTCGATTGCCAGTAAAATGTCATTATAACACTGCACCGGGGTATGAAACCTGTGTACAAATTGTACAAATTCTTTGTTATCTTCCAAATCTGAGTACGTTAGAAAAATAGAGATATTTCCTAATATGAAATCTTGTTGAAAAATTACATTCCTAATTGAGTATTAAGTATTGCCCAGGAAATAACACGTTAGAAATGATGAAGTCATGTTGAATGATATTTGGACTGTAAAAAAACATTTGTGGGTTTATTTTGGAAATTTGCTTTAATCCCTTTGGGATTATGGTCCAATTGTATTTACTAGTCCCACATGACTATTTGTATTAAGTGGGATAAGATGTGCTGTTGCTACTGCCTTTTTCTAAAACAAAATACATTTGGGAACTGAAAAAAGCTGCTTCAAAATAGTGTAACATTACACTGGATGTTATTTTGAGAAAGACTAATTCTAAAGGTGATAAATTACAACCTTGTGTACAAATTTGGATTTTATGTATGTTTTGATGCATTCGAATATACTGGGAATTTAAATTCTATTGCAGTTTGATTAAGGAGATGAAGAGGAACATTCTCATTATCCAAAACAATATTTACAAACCCTTTAGATAAGTGTGGAGTATTTTTATCAAGCCATATTAACCATTAATGGCACATCAGCTTGTAGAGAATGTATCATGATGTTGGGAGAATTTCTGTAATCTATAGAACACATTTAGCATTTCAATGTTATGTTTAATTAGTAACTCCAAAAGCATCTGTAATTTTGCCACAACATTATAACTATTTAATTTTACCAGCTATGTTTTTTAACCTAGTGTTTTATGAATCCATTTTTATTCTGTCCAGCTCCTTTCAAGAAAGCTAAGAAATAGGACTTGTAACCTTCCGTTTCTAGGCCATCATTAATTCCCTTGTAGGCAGTCATTGAGGGATTTCACAAATAGTGCTATCAGAAATCATCTCTTCTCCCCCACCCCCCCTCTTCCATGCGGAGTAAAGCCCAACACTAATATGCGACGTTCCTGGAATAATATACTTATTTGCCTTTTAATATGCAACATTTGTGGATTACAAAGCTATTCTAGTGTTCTTTTTCATGTCACAATTTACAAAATGGAGATTTAAAACAGTTCAGTAAGTTGTTTTTTGTATTTTCTCACAAAACGCTGAGAGCTGAATTATTTATTGTGTTTCCACTTTATTTCGGTCATCGATGCTGCGTGGAAAATTTTCCAGGCTCTTTCGACACGCTGCCTCTAATGTGTTTCGATGCCCTTGAGGGAGTTGCAAGGCCAAAGTAGAATTTGGGATTAAGATGCCAATTAGAACCTTGTAATTCCATACAGTGTATGTTTCTTGCACATACCCTCCCCCCTCCCAGAACCCCACAAAAGAGTACCGCTGACCTATTGTGGTTCTCTGAGCTGCTTGACTATTGTGCAGAACTCGCACAGCAGGTGTCATCCCTTGAAAGCCATTAAAAAGACTTTTAGTGATAAAGTACAGTATTAGCAAGGAATTTAATCAATTTGTTAATTTGTCACCTGAAATTTTCCAAGGGATTATTTGTTGCACTATGTGACGTTTTATATCTTGTTCTCCTCGTTTACAAACCTACTCCTCTTACACAATTATTTTTTTAAAAAACAACTGAGCTTTGGAAGTCATGTGTTTATAGATGAGCTTTATTTACTGTATATAATTTCAAAATAGCTGGATATTAGAATATATATGTTTCAGTTCTTGAATATAGTTTTGGTGATTTTTGCCAGTACACCTAAAGCCAATTGATGGATTTATCAATTTGAAATCAGAAGTGAGAGGCTTATGTCTAACTGATTTTACCACTCAGTCCCCATTGTTGTTAATGCCTGTCATCTTGTTTATGAAGTCAGGTCTTTATTAAAGATTTAAACAAAACCAGCTTGGTTTTTTTTCATTTGTGGTATTCCCCTTTTGTATCTTTATACAGTTATGTTTTAAAGGTATTGATTATTTCTTTTTTGAGATTGAGTTATGAGAATGTAAGGGTTGGTGAGTTCAACGAGTGTAGGAATATTTTAATGTTTCCTTCAAGTTAAAGGAAAACAACTCATCAGTTGCCATTTAGTGGATATTTACAATGTGTTTTCATTATTGCATAGTTTACATTTTTAATTAGATATTTGAATCCCTATTTTGATGTGATTTGTATCTTGGGTATTTAATTGAAAATGCTCATCGTGATGGATTATCGCTAAATTTTAAGATTTGAGTTAGAAACGTGTTTTAAAACCTGTTGGATGCTTTTTTTTCCAGAATTGTACATTCATGCTGACTGATTACTCAATCCTACCTACACCCAGCATTGTTCTCTCCCAATTATAATCAGTTATCCTGCTTTCTGCTAGAATTTCTCCTCCTCTTCCCCCCACCCCCGGCCAACAACGCTGAGCCAACTGTAGTAGTCTCCTTGTTATGTCACCTCATCTGAAGTTGACTAATTAATTAAATCTTTGCAGACCAGGGAACAAGCCTGAGACCTTCCTCTTATCTGCTACTTATTCTCACACCTAATAGTGCTTGTACTGTCGTGGAGGATAAGTGTTGGGGAATGGAAATACAGAGTGTTCTTGCATCAGGTCAAGATCCAAAAAGGACGAGATATCTGTTTATGTCGAGCTTGTAAATTCTTGCGAAGAAACGCACTGAAATACTCACTCATTTATAATTGACCATATATGTTACAAACAAATGCACCAGCATTAACAATATAGAAAAGAGGTTGACTTGCCACATTTACCAAAAATTTGGAAACACTCAAAAGTTTATTCTGTAGATGAATTGGTGAGCTGTAGTATATATTACAATGAAGCATCCATTGAACCAATGTATTCAGGGTGGAGAAATGACTGCTTATTACTTCATTCCTTGAACAATCGTACAAAATATTTTAATCGGCTAATCTTTCAAAGCACTGTGAAAAGTACACAATTTAAATCAAGCCGTTATATATTTTTATACACTAGTATTTCAATTAATTTAAACAGTGTGTTAATGTTAATCCATTCAAAATGACTGCATGATGGCAAAGATGAGAAGAATAAAACAACTCAGCAAGTGTTTGTAATGGAATGCAAGAACTACTCAACTCCAGTCAACTGAGATCACGTGTGTAGCATTAGTTTTGGCTCTGAACTTGACCCATTGAAAAATGATGGAATTCCAGCCGGAAAAGCAAGAACAAAAGCGACACAGTGCAGTTAAGAAAGCACATGTATTCAATCTTTGTTTTCTCCCCCAAATCTGTAGTATTAAACCCTAGGTAATGAAACTGATGAGCTTTACATAAGAGGAGTTGTAAGGGCTTTTAAGGAGGCTGTATTTATCCTGTCTTCAGTAATTTGTTCTGGATGTTTTGAAAAGAAATCACATTTCCTGTTGGGGTCTTTGGAAGTTACTTTGGTTCAGTGGGGTTGAGGGCTTGAGCGATTAGTTAACTCAGCAATTTTGATAAGACTGAATTTATCCGAATAATTGGAATCCCTGGTGCGATCACTTATGCATCCAAGGCAAACTATACAAGCACGTTAAATGCAAAGGTTTGGTGAGTAGCAAAGGATAATTGTACTAAGTTGGGTTTGTTCACATGGGCAGAATGTATTGGTAAGTCAAATGCAAACAGATTAGAAGTTACTTAACCTGTTTTCTGCTACAGTTATATGAGATTTTGTTTAACAAATGTGGTTGTGACACTTACAGAAAAAAAACTTCTTTTTATTGAGTTCAATCACATCAAAATTTGTTGTTTTTCCTCATCCAGGTTCTGTAGTAGTGTGAAAACAAACCTGGACTTAAATTTGAATTGAATTAAACTAAATTTAAATTGCAATCATTTAAATATGAATCTAATGAGGGAAGACGCTCTCTTCAGTTGTTTAAACAATTGATGGACAAAACTGACTTGTAATCAGACCTGCATATCATAGAGAGTGGGTTCACCTTGGCTGATCAATTCTTCAAGGTCATAATTAAGTTTACCCTCAGCCAACTTGTAATTTTTGTTTTCTCTCTGTTAAGGTGAACTAATTCACATTCGAAATGTCTGCATTTTAGGTCTGTTTTTTTCCCCCTTTAAAAACCCCTAGAAAAGTTGGAAATCAATCATAATTTTAAATTACAGTTCCAAGAAAACATATGTGATGTTAATGTTGTTTTCCATACTTACACAAGCACATTAATTATATACGTCTTCCGTGCGACTAATGTGCTGCTTCCCTCCACTAATGCGAACAGTTTATGATTTGCAACTTGCTAGGGATCCTTAAACATTAAGAAAAATCACTCAAGTTGACCAGCATCTAAAATTCTAGGCCTATTGTGAGGTAAATGGATCAGATCTCAGAATACAAACTATGGTCCTGCTAACATAGTAGAAATGATCATGTTGAGACAAATTGCCTTGCTTTGATTTCCTGGAACACATTGAGTGTGAATTTTGTTTTAACCCTCTGCTGGTATAGTATTTTAATTATTCATCCTTTAGCCTAAAGCAGTAATAGGAAATGGAACAAGTCATCTGTAGGATCAATAGCCATCCATTTAGAGTTTTTGTATTTTCTCAGGATTTCAGTAATTTTATGCAAGTATTAAACTAAACTGACAACTAATCAAGTTGTAAATCATTTAAGGGACTACGTAAGGTTCCTGCCTACGAAGCAATTTATTTTCCCTTTAATGAACCACAGCAAATGTTCATTTTTAATGTTATATTTAAGCCATTCCGTATTGCTTCAAATTAGGTCTGAAAAAGGCAAATGCCTGATTATTCTATGAATGCACCAGCATATGTATTTATAGAGTGCACAAATTGTTTAATGTTTGGCCAATCAGTCTTGACTAAACTAAATGGTCAAAGTACCTGGGCCATCCATGGCTCAATTTTAAAAAAAAATAATCTCTGTGTGATTCACACCCAATCTGTTTATGTTACATGGTGCGAATCCACCTCCTTGAATCCACCTCTTCTATGGAGGGAGAGAAAATCAGTGGTTAAGTGATCTGTTTCAGAGTAGCATTAGGCCTTGTGTGGTGGTGATGGTTGGAGGAAAGTTTACAAAATTATGAAGTGTGCAGTAGATAACTAGTCACTCAATTCTGAATAAAATCGGGTCTTGCTTGCACAATGGTACCTCAATACCTGGAGCCTGCTGATAAATATGTCCATTCCTTGAGCTGGATGGGGGAGGGGAAGGAAATTTTGCTGAATTTATAGCCGTGAAATTATGAAACAATTTTCTGATAGTGAAAATGTTATGTAAGATGTTTTATATCTTTTATATGCATCTGATCCTGCACTCCTCTATATTATAAACTAATCAACTAACACAACCTCAACTTGATTTAATTCAACCATTATTATTATGCTATCCAAAAAACAACTGGAGTTGATCCTAATACCTTTATAGTTATGTTGTGCAAATAATTTTGAAATGTGCTTATTCTTCTAAGAAATGGAAAACTCAACTTGTAAAACTGTCAAGCATGACCTTTAACATTATTGGCTGAAAGAAAGTTTTAGTAATTTAATGTTTTGTCTTCCCTATTACAGTGAGTTCCCCTTTAAACTTTTCTACTTGATAAAAAAAGTGCATACTATGTTTTTATTCCAAGCATTTACACCAACAAAATATAAACTGCATTTTCAAAACCTCAACCAGGATGTCTTCCTGTCTTGATTTTAAATTTGGTTGCAGTTGAGAGAATTTCCTTACCAAGTTTCAGAAATGAGTGTTTCAATCCTGCATTGTAAACTTCTGTAGAATTTTTATGGGAATGCACCTTGGAAGTCTTTCCAGGTTTCATTGCAGCATTGTTGGAAATGTTGGACTAGTTTGTAACAAAGTTTGCAGTATAATTCTTATGACCTTGCACTATGGTGAGCCACGGGAAGGTGATTGAATATCAAGTAGGCAGCACTAGCATAAGCTGTATCATCCCCCACATGCGCATGCTTGGAATGCTATTTTAGTATCTGATTAGAGTAGCATTTTAAACTTGTAGATTAAAGGGGAATTAACAAGAACAGAAGATGTCTGATTTCTCTATTGGGGAGGATATTTTTTTTAATAGATTTGGTCTTTATAAAAATTAATCTATGCTGCAGAGGGTTCAAACTACAGGGACCCTTATTACTGAAAGATACTTTGATCATACCATTCTGTTATTCACTTTGACTGGATCCAGCTAAGTACTTGAATCTTTTGACAGCTGTACTAAAACTTGTGCATCAGTAAAACCATACAAGGTTTGACATTTTGGCTCAGTACCCGAAGCAGTTGAATGCTGAAGTCCCAATCAGAAGATTGGACATTTGAGTCCCAGCGTTGCCTGCCACTCAAACTGCACATCATGATGACTAGTGTTCTCCAGCCTTTCCCTGGGGTGGGGGTAAATTATTTAAAAGGGAGGTCAAAGATAATTTTTTTTAAAAAGGGCACCATTTAATAGTGTTGATTGTGTTCTATCATTGTTTTGGACTATAATACATTTTCTGTTATGGCAGGTATTTTTGTGGACCCGTAGTAGTACTAAAGCATTTCAGTTGTGTAGGAGATTAACCTCTTATGTTAAAAATGGTGCTCCATGCCAAAATAGCCTGTTCCCAGGTCTGAGGTTTTATTTAGCACTCGCATTCAGCACAAGGATTATCAGTTATTTGCAATAGACATCTGAGATGGGTAAGAAGTTCCCTTCGTGATAATTCAGCGCAGCACGAAGAAAATAGAAGTTTTTTTTCAACAAGAAATTATTGTAAATGATTATAATCCTCCAATAATTAACTGAATTTTTTGTAAATTTAAAGAGCGATTTAAAAATATGTGTGTAATATATATATACACACACTCTGTCACCTCCATAAAATATGTTAATTGATTTTTAATAAACATCCTATTGGGATATCTGATCAAAATATTGAATAACTGACTGCAAACTGAATATCAATATATTCAAGAATTCTTTCAATTTGAACCCATTTTGTGAAGTTTCTATAGCTTCTTTTAATTATGGACTAGATACAATTTGTATGTTTGTATACTTTATTTGCACAATGTAACGGTGGTTAATGGTAGAAATCCATTCTGAATTGTTTGTGGACCAAATCTCTTTAAATGTGATACCTAGCGATATTTGTACTTGACGTTTTGAGTTTTATAACTCATCCACAAGTGACCTTACTAAGTAAGACCTTTTGAGGATTTTATATGTGAATGCTGTTCATTGCAAATTCAAATTTCAAATAAGCTGCATATATGAATGTAATAATAGATCCTTGGCTGGTTTGCACCAAATTTAAATTCACATTCAGTATTTCAAGAGCAGCCCACCTACAAGATGATTAAAGTATAAAATATATAATTGATAAGTGATTGTATTTAGAATTAATACAAAAAAGTAAAAATATTCAGACTGAATCCTTTGTACCCGCACTACATGATTTATTACAGTTTAATGCAATATCAAATAAAGCTGAGTCGGTTTGTTTTCTTTGGGACAAAATACACTCATATTTGGTCACCTTGCCTAAACATTAACCTTTCAACTCAACCGAGGCAACAACTGGTTTACAAGTAAAATATTTTTCCTATGTTACTAAAATTAGTTGGTGTTGAATTTACATCAATTTATTTTTTGTTCCTTCATAATATATAATGACCCAGTGATACAATGTGGCCCGTTCCTGATCAAATTATCTTCATAGATCGGTCTGTTGTAGTACCAAGGTACACTCCCTATCTTTTAATGTTACAGTGTAGAGGTTATATTTAGCTATCAAAACTAGCAGAATGTGCTTCAACATGTTAATGATACATTTTGCTAGGCAAGCCTTTTATGGTTACAGGCAGAGGCTTGCGTTTTTTTTTGGAACAAGTTTATCTGAAATGCACTTGCAACCATTTTAGTAGCTCTTTTATTTTACAGGACGCTTGGGCCTAAATTTCCCTCATCCAGGAACCGATAACCTTGTGGCACTAAATAATAGTAAGTAATGTTTTCTTTTACACAATAATTGTAAATATTCACGAAGAATTGTTTCTGTTCCAGAAAGGTTAGCATTTCTTGTTATTCTCATATTTCCAATCTGGTATCCCAACAATTTAGAGGTGGAAGGTTTTATTTTACAAAAATATGGCAACTTGGGGACTAATTTTGAGTACATTTTTAAATCAAATTTTATTGAAGTACTTTATTTTAAATTGATTTTTGCTTGTTCATTTGCTCAACCATATGACAGGTGCAAAACCAAGATGATAATGTGTTCTCTTACCCAAAACGATTTGGGGAGAAAATATGTTTTTGTTTCAAAATAAGTAGTGTTCTGCTGTGCTCTGCCATTAAATGTCATTGTTGTAATTTCCTATAATAAATTAAACTTGAATGAAATTTTAGACAAATGTCAGACCTATGATTGGCCTATACTCTATAAATGTGTTGAACAAAATAAAATGCGTTTACTACCCTTACATGAAACTCACCCGTGGGCCAAATAATTTATAACCACTAAGGGGAAAATGGTCGAAACGTGAGGAAATTCAGACTACTGATATCTCCACATGCTGTCAAATTTACCTTGAATTTCCAAGCCTACATTATATATGCGGAATTACATAAAATGATACAGCAAGGAAACTGATCATTTAACCCAACTAGTCCTTGCCAGCATTTATACTCAACATGAGCCTCCAATCCTCCTAATCCTTCCTCCCTCTTCCTCCTCCATACCACTTCTATTCACTTATCGCTCTTGTATGTTTCCTCTTCAATCACAGTTTCTGGCAGTGAGTTCCATATTGTCACCGCTCTCTGCATTGCAAAGTTCCTGCTAAATTCCTCTTCAGATCTGCTGTTATCTTATATCTGTGGCCCCTTGTTTTGGATACCTCAAAAGGAGAAACAGTCTTTTAGTATCCACCTTAATAATTATCTGTATCAGATCTATCATCATGACTTATCTGTTTTGTAACCTCCAAAGACAGTTGCATAAAATTTTGTTGAGGATGGCAAAATAGTACATTTGTTGCAGTAGTGATATTGCAGGACAGTAATGTTCAGGGTCATTTATTTTAATGCTGTTCTAAATGTGTCAAGTGATTCTATTGAGATGTTCAGTTCTGATAGCTATGGTCATACTGGGTCTGAAAGCAAAGGACACCAGGTGTTCTCGAATGAATGAAACACATCTATGAAATCCAACATGGAAGACAATTTCATGCAACCCTGCTTGCTGCTGAGAAAATAATGAATTGATTGACTGTGCAGTCTTAAGACCATAAGTAACACATTATGAATAACTCATTAATTTATCATTCAAATGGAATGCTTTTTGCAAGACTTATTTATGTACAATAGTGTCCTCAGTTACTCTTAAAGCAATTGAAGAATTAAACCAATCATGTTACTTACAAATGTGTGTGATAAGGCTGGAAAGAAGATCAGTTGCATTTATGCTTTATATTAAATTAGATCTCCAGAAGTGTTGACCCCTGAATTCGAAGAAAACCACAATATTTTCCCATTTAATTAATGTGGTAAAGCTGACACATATTTGCACCTTCTGGGATGGTTTAGTGGAAAAATGCACCCTATGCACTGACACGTTTTCATGTGGAACGTGACGCCATCCATACCAGAACCAAGGAAACCATATGCAGGTGGAATTGTCTAGAAGATGTGAAAAGAGAGATCTAGAAGACATGAAAAGCGCTATATCAAATGCAAGGATTATTATTATTATTGTCAGTAGTTTAATTTGGAGATTTTGTGAGTATGGTTCTGGGTTTCTGGGTGTGCCCCTCACACTGCTGATTTGGTATTTAAAGCTTCAGCATACCTATATTTGTCTGCTTTTAGATTGCATATTATGTTCTTTTGTACGTTTGTGTAATACTTTGCATTTGTGGCTCTTAAATTTAATTCACCATGGTTTTTTCTCAATTGCATAACCAATTTAAATTGTTCTGCTGCATCTGTCTCTTGTGCGCCAATTTTGAGCCAATTTGACCAGTTTAATCCTTTCAGTATCCAGGTAATTTATGTAGATTAGAAACTTTGCAAAATGATGACCTTGTTTCAGTGACTACAATATATGCACATATTTCAGAATTATTTTGACACATATTTCATGCCATATAAACATTAGAATAGTGATTTATCACAAATAAAAGTGAACCTGGTGATATAACTTATGTGCCCTGCAAAGTGAGTATCTGGCACGATAAAGTGGTTTATTTTCTGTAAGTTGTCAGTTACTGATGCACTTTCTATTCACCCAACTGTGATTATTTCTACTTTCTCATCATTCTGACTCAGTGGGTAGCACTTTTGCCTCCGAGTCAGAAGTTTGGCTTCAAACCCCATGTCGAGGCTTTGAGCTCACATTCAGGCTGACACTCCCAATACATTGCTGTTAAAGTGCTGCTTTGATAAAGGTGCCATCATTCTGCTTGTTCAGGTGAGCATTGAATAACCCATGGCATTGTCAAAAAAAGGGAGTTTCTCCTGATGTCCTAGCCAACAATCAGCCAGACCAAATTGGTCATTGATTTCATAGCTATTTGGAGGCATTGTTGTGTGCAAAGTTGCCTACAAAAATGCATTCAATAGGCTTTACAGTGAATCCTGTGAAGTGCTTTGAGATGTCATCCTGGGAGAATAAAAGAGCCGAAGGTGCCCTTGGAGCCTTACAAATCAGAAATCACAACCTTTAGCAGTAGAATAATGGAGAAAGCAAGCAATTGATAAGAAGGTGCAATAGAATATTGGCTCTCTTTTCAAAACTAATTTTAATATGTCTGATATTCTAAACATGCCAACACAAGTATAGAAGGAGTTATAGTATAAAACTATCCTAACAGAATGTTAACTATTTTACAATAATCATTTTTCTTTGTCTTTCTGATTTTGTGCTGTATCAATCTGTCACCTGTGTACTATACACTTGTTGACAGTTTATCGACTCCATCTCAGTAAATATGATCCCTTTTTGAGCTTGAATGTGCTGCTATGGAGCAATGCTGCTTGTGGCTATACAAACTATTTAATGTTTTGCATCCCCATCATTTTGTTTTGTACATAATCCAGTTATTATTCTGTTTCTGTTTGCTAAGTACAGGGCAGCATTCTTCTTTCTTGCTGTTAGATTTTTCCACATTTTGCATCTGTGGCTAGTCCAACCACCATTTAATCTTGTGCAATATGTACACAAACCCTATGAAATGAGAACAATTTGTTTGCACGGTAGCCAATTTACAATAAGTTTGGTTTAGGGAAATTCATTCAGGAGCAACAAAGAAATACTAGCTTTACATCACTTTGTCCTTGGGGTTTGGTGTCATAGAAGTTAACGCACTCAGCCTTCAAGCAAAGGCCTTCAACTGCTCCTGTGTCAATCAATTATTATGGTGATATTGTAATCTAAGTGTGATCTAATCTCCTGGATACAGGATATGTGGAAGTCAACAATTGTATATTATTGGATTATTATATATATTAGTAATATATGTTTAGCTATAAAACCAACATTAATTGGCTGCCATTCTCAAATCATTGTATATACAAAACTGCTGATTCATAGAGCCTTAAGAATATCTTGCACTGAGTCAGAAGGTTGGGTCTTTGAACTGAACTGTTGCCTTTGACAGGGCAGAAAGCTTACAAATATGTTGACGTCACTGATGTGGAGCCATTATTGCCTATGAAATGTGATGACATTACGCACATGATTATTCTGGAGCCTGTCTGGGAACAAGCCTAAAATTAAATGAAAGCCACTGAGTCCAGAAAACATCCACAATTCAAGGGACCCATGTGCATTGTCTCCCATGACACATCATGTGTGTAATGAGCTATCATGCCTTCATGCAAAGATGGAAGGGACAGCAAGAGGCCTGAGGGGTAACATTTCTCCATGATTAGGTTTACTCTTATTCATGTATCATATCAGAGTGTCCAGAATTTAGCAAACTCTCTGTACTCTGAAGATGTTTTCTGTTCAAGTTATTTTAAGAACTGCAGAAAACTGGCTTCAAAGTTGAGACTGAATTCATCAATTCTGGACATTCTAAAATGCAACTTAAATGGAGAAAATCTAGAAGTGAAATTTTACCTGAAAGGTTCTTTATTGTCAGCATCCCCAATTTGGGCACTGGTGCAAGTGCACGTGCAAGCTAAAGCCTGAATCAATTTCAGTGCCAGACCCTTTAACGGGATAACGCTCTATTCTTTCTTTGAAGTGAAAGGCATGAGAAAAAGCTTAAGTTAAATGCTTCTGAATTGGTTTTTGGTTTAGCAAAAGGGGAAAGTATTCAGAACAAGAAATTAAACCAGGTGTTCAGGAATGCATGTGTAATTACATTTAAATGGATTGTGAAGTGTGGAAATGTTTTCCACACTTTTGATGTAATTGGTTGTCTGACCAGGACTATTTATACATGTGTTGCCTGCTGTGTGAAGGGATAAGTGTGAGATTTGTTTCCTTTTAGTACCGAGTAAATTGAGACTTTTTTCATTTGATAATTATATGTTGGTGAGATGGCCCTTAAAATATAATGTTTTCTTATCAAATGCTGAGGTTTCTAAGATAACGAGTCACCTCTGAAAAAGATGTGAATTCATAGATGGTATTAAAATGCTTCCCATCAGTAACTAAAATATTAAAGTAGTGAAAACCCAAGATGTATTCACTTTAGGACTTTTAGAGCTCTTTATTTTAGTTTTAACAGTAGGAGATGGGCTCTTCAAGTTTTTTTTCCCCCAAAACATGTGTCTGTTAAATATTCTCAAACTCTTCAGTTAAGTTTCCTGTCATCTGCTGTATGCTGATAAGAGTTTATCTCTTAGAGTTTTTGAGTAACTAATTTTTTTATTAGTTATAATTCAAATTAAAAATGCATTTCAAAATTAGTTGTGTTTCCATACTCATGAAATTGAATCTAGAATATTTTGGAGAAATGATACACTGGGTTAATATTGGTCATACAATTTAAATTAGATCTGTCATTTATACACTACTTGATGTGATGGATTACACAACAGCACAAATGAAGTATTGCAAGGTTTTGATTTTAATAAACTACTTTGAGTTATGCAGAATTGTATCTATTTTCATATAAATATGGAAGAATGCTAGATCCAAAATAAAATAAGCCATGAGCATGTGTGTGACTGACCTAATGAGTAAAAATTGTCTTCCACATTGATTTTCTAAAAGCAACCGTGTAGAGCTCTTGAATACTATTGAAGATTTGGTGCTAATGGAGTAATATACAAGTATTTCAAGTACTAATTAACTGATATTTTCAATAATGTGTATTGTCCTAAGATATACAATTCCAAGTCTGTGGTTAATGATTGATTCGTAGAAATAACCATATGATCACTGCTTTTTGCCAGCCTGGTCACGCTATCGCACCCTGTTGAAGTGAAGCATAATGCATAATACTAATAGGATCCAGGTTGTTAGCAGATGTGATGATACTATCCAGAATTTAACAGATCGTAAGGTAAAAGTTCTTGAAGATCTTAAACTGCTGAATCTTTACATAGTTCAATCTTGATGGCGAAACTCTTGTTCATATTTGAGATGATTATTAATAGCTTCTCGATCTTTGGAACTTGGATTCTGCTGAATGTGCAATTTGTTTTCTTGACCATTGCACCTGATGTTTATGTCAGCTTTTAATCAAATTGGATACAATCCTATTTTTAAAAGGATATTTTAAAAAATGTGCCTCTGTATATCAATGAGGATCAACAAATTCTCTTCTGTGGTTTAGAAATTACATCCATTTTACTTACAATACAAAAAATGCTTTCTGTCAGAGGTGGGAGCAAACATTTATAAAGATTTTCCTCATTCCTTATAAAGAAGGAAAAGATTCTGGTCTGACACTGTTTCTTAGCAAACTTAGTTAGCTAGTACGTATAATACTGAGCATCTTTTTGTTAGCTATAAATGAGTCAGCATCTTCACAATAATGTGTGTGTGGGGAGTTGAAATAGAACTGTCATTTGCACTTGTGTGGATCACACAAAACTTGTAGCTTTGCAAGAAGACCTGAGCAGTCTGTACATCGATGTTGGCTACCGCACATAAAAAAAATTAAGAACACAGAATCCTGATCAAAATTTGAACTGTTTGACTGCTAAATGTCGGAATCCAATACAGAAACCAGCAGAACATATTTAATTCTGGATTATTTCAGCATCCTCTCTTCCTTATGAATGTTTATTAATATACATACATGGATAAATATTTTAATTTCATAAACTTCATTGTAGAATACTCTGTGCTGGAGCAGACCCAATTAAAGGAGAAAATAGTTTATAAAATGGTTTGCTGGGGAAAGTGAGGAAAGTACCTTACTGACCAATGGAACATTGGCAAAATTAGTATGTTGCAAAAACAATTCATACTTTTTATTTTTTTTGTTTTAAGGTCTACATAAGGTAGAGTTCTAATAATGAACAACCACGTCTCCAAAACTTGCTGTGCATACATATAATTTTTAGTTCTCATTGGCAAGTGTACAATATTTTTAAAGATTTACAGTGACAGGAAACACCTTTTCTCTCTCTTTGTTTACATGCAGCAAGGACATTTGGGCGGCGAAGAGGTAAAGAATTATTTAATATTCAGCATTTGTTTGTCAAATAGAGTATTGATTTTTGCAGCCCCATTCTTGCAATGATTAACAATTGCTTTTTAAAATTTTGGTTGGTTAAGCCAATGATTACCAATAGTTACTTTGTCTTTTGGTTTCCTTTTGTGGTGGCTACTGAATCTCGTGCTGACCTATTATTGTAGTAGATCATCTAAATGTTCAAATTAGTAGCTTCGCAGTTTCTTGGTACCTCTTTCATAATTCTTGACAGAGGTAGCCATTTTCTCTTAATAGGTTAAAAACATGGATGTGGTACTGTCTATTTTAAATCTTGCTCGGGATCAGCTGCTGTGGAAATTATATTCTCTCCTTTGAACCTGGTGTTTTCCTTAGTGCAAGTAATTTGTTTTTAATCTGAGTGTTTTTTCAGATCTCCTCCTTCTTGATAGCCACGATGAGTGATAAGTAGGCGGCAGGTGCTTCTTCACGCAAAACGGGTGCAGGGTGGGGAAGGGAGACACCTGGGGAAAGTTACCCAGAGCTACGATTGCAAATCTCCTGACTAGATCGAGAATATTACTGGCAGAAGCCTGGGTTTCTCCAGGGTTTGATGAACGGTGTGGGAAAAATCAGAAGAGAACATCTTTAAAAATTCTATTGGTGAGGGTGGGAGGAAGAGGATTGAAAAGCTTCCTATGATAAAGCTCTTCAATATCAAACCAACTCCTGGGCCTTTAATACCTGTGACCATTATTATTAATGCACGAAGGATCTCTTAAGATGTCTTAATGCTTCAACTGGCAGAGCCATTTTGTATGATTGCCCTTGTATTATGTACAAATCATCTTGGTCAAATAGTGTGTGTATTTAATATAAGTTATCCAATAGATAACACTAACTTCATATTGAGTGAATTGCAGTAAACACTTGACTTACAACAAGGGAAAGGTTTTTGTTTAAAATATAATGATTCTCTTATCCATTACCTGCATAAGGCTGTACAAGGCTATTCCATAAAATAAATTGAGTTTATATAATCTTTGACAGTAGATTGCAGAGGCTTCCTCTTCTTTCTTGAGGGCCAACAAATAGAAAATATTCCTTTTTTTAAAAAAAATTCTGCTCATATAATTTGCATTACTAATATATTATTGAATATAGTGTATAATATGAAACTAAGCTGAACCTTTTTAGCCCAACCATTCGATTTTTTGTTTTTGTAAAACATGGTCAGTTGCATATATGGCTTGTTCATCTGACAGCAACATTGACGATTCCTGTGCGAATCTGGAATGGGATATGTTATTGTCTTGATTACAGTACGTCTCCTCCACACGTTTTATATTACAATAAAGAACATTTTGCTTCCTTTTCACTAGATAGAAGTGTAAACTGTTTTTCAGGCCGTTCATCGCTCTTTCCTATTGAAGATGGTTTCCTTGATGATGGTCACGGAGATCAGTCTCTGACATCTGGTTTGAACTCTCCAACCCGTTGTCAGAATGGTGAGAGGGTGGAACGTTATTCACGAAAGGTCTTTGTAGGAGGTCTTCCTCCGGACATTGATGAAGGTATAATTATTTGAAATAAATGCTTCATATCAAACAGTTTTTATGCTTTCATTGTTTTTGATATTTTTTTACACAACTCTGAAATACTTGATGTGATTTCTCTGATAGATGAAATCACAGCTAGTTTTCGTCGTTTTGGACCTCTTGTGGTGGATTGGCCTCACAAAGCTGAAAGCAAATCATATTTTCCACCCAAAGGTAAGTGCTTAATTGTATGAAAAAACCCAGTAATTTGACTATAATTATAAGATGAGAATAAAAAAGTAAAGTTGTATGTGCCACTTCTAATTGATGGCGTCAAATTTTCAAATCTTGTGTAAAATTTTGAAGTTTCTAAAATGCAAGTTAATGATTAAAAGGGTCATTGTGTGGAGTAAATGTACTGTCTGGTGTCATTCGAAGCTGTAAAACCAAGAAGGTTCCTGGTCATGTTATTTTCTGAGTTAGCTGATCTTGGATTGGGCAGGAAGGACATGCATTATGACCTTTGTGTCCTTGGATGTGGAAAGAAAACTTGCTAGTATTTCTACTCTTATTCCAATGACTTGCTGGAACATGTATCACTGTGGTCGTCTGATTGTCAAATAGACTTGTTACATCACTGCTATTGTCCGTGGTGTGCATTCCCAGCATGTGGTGCCACCATTACTTTATCACACAATATGTGAATTTTTCAAATTCTAAAGGCCTAAATGCAAGCAGTTTGATTTAGTTAGACATATGACTGGGCTGTAATGTGGCATTTGTTGGATAGTGCCCTTCATTTGTTGTTCAGGAAATATTGGAATAAAAAAAGGTTCTATCTGTGAAATTAAAGTTAAATTTACTAATATATTGGTTCATGAACTCCTGTCTATTAGTTGTACAATGGCGAACATTTCAATTGAGGATATCAGAAGGTTTTGGATGAGGATTTCCATTTGGTAATTGGAGACTGAAATGCAATGCAATATTCTATTCTGGTGATGAATGTGATATGGAAAGCAACTTCTACCATAGTCACCAGTTGCTAGTGTTGCTAATTTAAAATGGGAGGATGTATGGGCAGATCGTCCCAAATGATCTGGATTATTTATAACTGTGTTCAGTTGCTGTTAAAATCCATTGGAGGATTCAGCTCTCTGCATGTTTTGTTGTCATGCAGGAATGCTTTCATTCAGAAAGCTTACTGAACAGAAGTAATATTTTAAAATTTAATGACTAATATTAAAACAGTGATAAACTTCCATATTTATCTGGTGACTAGTATGCCACTGCATGTCATTGAGTCTTTTTATAGTAGTGTCTTTACAGAACAGCCTTCTCTACAGTCTCGTCCTCAATAATATACTTTAAAACAACTTGAGTTCATTAGGTTTATTCCAACTGATGTGCTATTAAATAAAAACATCATGCATTTGCACTCAATGAACTGCTACCAGATGACAAACATCATGAATAGCTCTTATTTAAGTCTGCCATTGAGTGTTTTGTGAATATTGTTGACTGACTGTATTAGGCCTGCACAAAATCTTAGAATTTATTGGTGTTAACATGATTCAGTTGCTCATATGGTGGTCTGCCGGTGTTCCAGGTTATTCGGATTTGAGTAGAAACAATTCGTAGCATTTCCAATGTGGCTAAAATACTGAAGCTTGGCTGTAGCGTGTAGAATTGCATGCGTGCTTCCAACCTCTACATCTGATACACAGATGTACAAATGGCTTTCGAACTTTGAAGCTTCTGTTCAGTCACATGCTTATAATTTGCAGTGCAGACACCCAGATTACCAACCTAGGATGAAGTATTTTCTTGCACGGTTTGGAATTTTTAATGAAACCTGAGGTTCTAGCAGGTCGCTAGGGAAATGTAGGACATCAGGGAATTAAAGTGTTAATAAGATGCTCATAAGATACTAATCATGGAAAACCACACGATTCCTTATTAGCTCCCTAAATCTACAAGAGTGAACATTTTGGCTGGCTTTGCTGCTTCTAAGTATATTGCTGGGTAAGCAACAGGTCTGTTGATATGGGTGATATTTTCACTGACCTTCTGAAGTTACTGCCTGACTTTATCATCCCAGTAATATAGTATATATACACAGCTGATTAAGGCATTTCACTGATCTTTTCAACCAGATTTGTATCCCAATGAAGCTTTAAATAACACTTTAGTTTCTTTCATTTATTTCAAACCGTTTTGTGCAAATTTAATTTACCTTTTTTAGTGGCTTTAATCTTGAAAAGCAATAAGCCCTGTTTTTAAACTTATATACTTAGAAGCGTATACAATTTAATTGTTGTGATCTTGATCATATCTACTGAAATTATGTTGTGATAAATATTTCAAGTTAATTTTTGTTTTAAAATGAAGAGATTATCCCGTGGGAGATGGTTATTTTCTTTCAGTCTGTTGAAGTAGATCATTTGTTCTGTATACTACTGTTGCTTATTCTAGCATCTGAGTTTTTCTCAAGTGGAAAACTTGATTAGAGAAAAATAGCACAGGATATTTTAAGATGTTATGAATTCATTGCACAATCTACCTGAGTTAATGGAACTTCAATTATGAAGAAAATATTTTTCTAAATATTTAGCGAAATACAGAAATGTATTCTATATTTTAAAAAGCATCTGATATTTTAGGATTTAAAATATTGCTTGACGTAGATAATACCAATCAGTTGGATAAAGTGCTAATTTGGAGTTTATTTGAAATTCTGAATGATGATCTTGCCTGTTGTTTGCTTTCACCATTTTTTCTCGGCTGACTTGAGATCTCTGCAATCCAATTATGTAAGTGTGGAGAAGGGACAGTAATGCAGTGACTTCAGGTCACCACATTGCTTTCTTTTGTCCCTGGAGATAAATGGGGAGATTAAAGGCTTGTGATTCTATCACCGACCTCCAGTGCTGTTTAGTATTGTGATCATGAAGCCAAAAGAGACTAATTTGACTGTATGTAGGAATACACCTTCTCTTTCTGGATACATTTGAGAACCCATTTTGAAGTGGAAATTGAATATTTGTCTCTTTGTAGGACCCAAGCTTCTATTCAAATATAAAGCATGTTAGACTTCATAAATTAATATGGCTAATGTCCATGGAGTTGGTGTGCTTTGTGCAACTTGTCATTTCAGATTATAAGATCTCAAATTCAAAAGGTTTGTTGTCTAAAATAGTGACATTTAAGATTTCATGCGACATTTAAATAAAGTGACCCGTCAAACTGACTAGCTTGTTCAGGTTAAACATAAATGGGAGTTGCCTAGTAACTCTGTGTGTAAACTATAGTCAACATTGTTTGTTGCAAATCAAAAGTTTTCCTTTGGTTAAATGTTTATGTGGAGAGTGCAACTATTATCCTTTCGGAGAAGTTGTGCGCTATATAGTGTATTCTAGAATTGCAAGTTTGAGATACCTATGAAACATTTAAAAGTGATCAAGCTTTATGTGATTGAAAAAAATAGTTCATAAGTCAGTATACTCGATCCATGATCTATACCCAGCTCTAGACTATTATTGGAAAATGTCTAGAGCAAGCCAAGTACCCAGCTCTTCCCAACTTCTCATAAAGTATTGTAGTAAGTGCTGAGTTCTTTAAAATGTAATGTTGTAACGCTTTGATTAATGTGTTTTGATATACCACTGGCACAATTTAGAGCTTCTGTGTCAGCTGATGGCCCAAACAGGTGCATGTAGGTCATTGAAAATTAGTTCCAATGTCAAAATGATTGTTGTTAGTCTCTGCTTTAGGGATGGTCAAATTCAGCTACTCTGAATGGAGACTGACTTCATCAACAGAACGACTGATTTGGAAGTCTGCATTCGGAATTCTCTATTTAGTTTGTGAAATTTCAGAAGTAATCTTGTCCTGGAAGACTAGATAGAGAAAATATATACCACTCAACATGACAGATTATTGATCACAACTACTACTGGTGATATTTCAGTTTCATAATTTAAATTAACTGTGACTTTTGAAAGGAGACACCAGTTAGGCAATACTGCTGGGGTGAATACAGTTCATAACTGAGCTGTGCCAAGGTTTGAAGTTGGTTTTTTTGAGAATTGAATAACAAACACTGCCAAATATTATGGTGTTTCATTGGAGATTCAGACCTGGCTACCATCTGGGACCCTGCTGTGGCAATCTGGAATACTGACGAAAGCTGCTGGGTCATGTGATTCCTTGACACATTGTGTATTGAGCATTGCAGCCTTCTCTGTGTATTAATATATTCCTCTTAAATGAGAAATTTAAATTGGATCACCTAATCAAGCAGCCAAACCAAGTCTGTTGAGTACGCTAATGCTTTCAACATACAATTATTTATTATAGCCACTGTGGACTAAATTAACACAATTACCATTGGACAGAATGTCTCTTGCTGTCAGTGACATGCTGGAGACTGAAGGTACAAGCTGTTGAATGACCACAATGTTTATTAATGGTATCCACATTTTGCGAAAATGTGGCTCGTGACCTACTTTAATAAGCAGGAATGTTTATTCATTGTATGAAGTAAAATTTTACTTTGATAGCTGTGAAGTTCATAGTAAAACTTTACAAATCGTGTAATCGCCTAATTCGTACATGCAACCAAGAACCAGTCAATTTCCTTTCAAAACCACTTGGATTTCTTTGCACCAGTTGTATTTGTCAGCAAATCATCTCCTAACCAGTAACCTCTGCATTTACCGGCTGCATTAAATCGAGGGAAATGCAATTAATTCTGGGTTCTAGCTGTGGGTTACTGATCTGGCAGCATCACTTTTACTGAAAGTTGAAAGATATGGTCTTGTTTGGGCCATTGGCAAAAGCATGTTGTTTCCCAGTGGCTCCCAGACCTGTACCTGACCCGCAGTGTCGCTACTTCTGGCTGATAAACATTCATGTTGCTAAAAGAGGAATTGATGTTCACAGATTCCTGCACACGTGTGATGATGCTGTACATTCCATGCGTGGTGTTTGCCATTAGAAACTGAGCCTGTGGTGAATGCTGAGAGTGTTGTCAGCTGCGATGCTTAACCTTCATGACCATTATTTGCTCTACAGCCCAGGTTTGATAGTGGTTTCAGCACCGAACATAAATAAGTGGAACCTTGATGCAAATTCATCATAAACTGTCGCTACAGGTGATACATTTACGTCATGTTTCCATTCATTTGTGGAAGTCAGTCGTGTTGCAAGTCCCATGCATGTGAAAAACTGAAGCCAGGTAATTAATCAGACTAGGAAGAAGGCTCAGTAGCTCAGGCTTCTCTGCATCTTTTTGTATTTTCCCATAGATAACTACCTATCTTTTGGGTAACCCTACAGCTAAAGACTTGACAGCTGATTTCTTTTTGGAGAATTTCGTATTGGACAGTGTTGCTGACTGTGTGTTGGTCAATTTTACTTTTATGGAATAACTTAGTAAATGTATTTGTTTTTGAACGTATTTGTTACATGTGTTACAAATCCAAATATTCTGTACCACATGTTTTCAAATAAGGGAGAAGAAAAGCAAAACAGCTTTCGAAATGTAAATTTAATTTCTAAAACCCCACAATTTGTGTAGATTCTGGGGTAGATTGACTGAATTCATACCCCCAATTTACACAGTCCTGAAGGTGTCACAGTACCTGTGATGTATAAGTTGACTTCCCAGCCTCATTTAAGTGTCTGACCATCATCGGAGGTCGTGCTTTCAGCCACTACACCCCAAAACTCTGGAACATTCTCCCTCAATCCTTCTGCTTTGCCCCCTCTATCCCCTTTATCATATCCCGCTTGAAAACCTTCCTTTTCAACCGTGCTTACGGCCACCTCTTCCCCCCCACCCCCCCCAGATCAGAGTCAGGCACTGTTAAGCGCTCTGAGACACTATCTTGCTTGGAGGGCTCTATATAAGTGCATGTTGTTGTGTCCTCTCCCGCATCAAACTTCGTGACCCCATCTCCCCCATTCTCGCCCAACTCCATTGGCTCCCTCTCCTTCAGGGGATCCAGTTCAAGATCCTGGTCCTCACCTACAAAGCCCTCTATGACCTCGCCCCACCCTACCTCTGCGACCTCCTAAACCCCTACCAACCCGCTCTCTCCCTCCGCTCAGCCAGCTCCGGCCTGCTCCACGTCCCCCGACCCACCCACCCCACCGTTGGTGGGAGAGCCTTCACGCACTCTGCCCCCAACCACTGGAATTCCATCCCCCAATCACTTTGCCTCGCCCCCTCCTTAGCCTCCTTCAAGTCCAGCCTCAAGACCCTCCTCTTCGACCATGCTATCGGCCACCCCCCTTCCCCTCCCCTCCCTTCTCCCTTCCTGACCCCAGCTCGGGTCTGAAATGCTGTACAGTGTTCAGCGCTTTGGGACGTCTTCCTTATGTGAAAGGCGCTCTACAAATGTAATCTTGTTGTTGTTGACCGAAGTTCAGGATGGAGGGAGGGTAATTTCATAGAAGAAATAAAAAGAATATAGTTTCTAGTTACTGACATCATTGGCAAAAGTTGCACCTTTGTAGAGAGAATGTATCAAAACCTAGAAAAGAGGTATGCAAATTAAAAAATAAGTTGGTTGCTAGCAATTTCAAAATAAAATGTTAAGACCATAAGATTTTGCGGGGCTAATGTTTAACTGCATTTTTTTAACCTATCAGCTTTTTTGAATTGAAGCATTTGATCATAATTTAGGGTACTTTAGTGTTTCTGTTTTCAGAAGTGAATAACATCCATGTTATGTACACAATCAAAGATGGAAATGCAGAAAGTAAGGTAGTGAAGGGAGATGTGAAGGGAGGAAACAGTGCAGTTTAACAGCAATATAGAAGCACAGTGAGGGACAACTCCCCGTGACTAATGCCTTACTGGTTGGGTAGGTGTTATATAAATTGCTTCAAATTGAAGGTGTCGAATTGGTTTCAATGGTAACATACAAAATAGGAATTTTTAAATACAATGACTACTTCGAACTTCTGACATGATTAGAAGTTTAGCGTAAGTCACATTATTGAAGAAAGTTGTTTAGTTTATTCTGGAATGCTTCAATTATGTTTCTACCAACTTTACACCTGTAGGTGGGGACAACATTTGTATAGTTGCGCAACAATCTTAGTTCGGTGCTGATTGAGCTAAGAAACAAACTACTGTATTAATGTAGAAATTTTTTTATTGGTTACTATCATCTCTTAAACTTGATGCTTCCTTGCTAATGGAATGGACCACATCTACATACAGATACCTTAACATATTCCAATCTGCATTGTTGATAACACTTGAATGCCCCCAAATATACTACACATTGGGTACAAATTGCCCAATTGGCATTGAATTGAGTTTTCAATCCACAGGATGTGGCTTTCAGATCCCAAATATGAGCAAAAGTGCTTCGATTCTGCTCACTCAAAGCCACAAAAAGTCATTTTATCTGCGATTAGGAACTTATTGTAAGGGAATGTTATGACTTTGGGCCCAGGTTTTAACATGTTGGAGTGTGTTTCATTTAACTAAATGTTTATCAGCATGTATAGGCTGCAACAATTATGGACTGGAACGTAAGAAATGCTAAACAATAAAAGACCAAATTCCATCTAGTTCGACTTCCATCTTTCCTGGCGGTTGAGTGCACATATGCCCCAAACTAGTAGCTTCACTCCATGACTGTTGTCCATGGTGTTCTGTGATCATTTGGTAGAAGATAAAATTTAAAATGGTTGTTGCCCATTCTCCCTCTCTCTTGCTCACTAAAATAGATTCATTTATTTGCTATAACTTGTGCATCATGATGTTTGTGAAGCCACAATTTTGCAGCATGTGAGCCCATGCGCAATGAAATGGCGTTCGTTATTAAATGATTAGCTGTGCTAAATAATATGAATTGCCAGAATCCCTGACCTTGGTGAGCATAGGAAATGGCAGCCACATCAACATATTTAAAAACGTGATTGAAATGTAATGTCCTTGGTACAAGCACAATGAAGCAATAATGTAAAGCACAGGACAAATTGTGGAAGGCAGTCAAATATTGTTTTTAAAAGGAAGCTGGAAAAAGAAGCATAACATCCAGTTGGATACATAGTTCGCTACTGAATCTAAGTATATAGTTTTTGGGGAATGAGAAATCTATTGGGAAAAGATAACTGATGCTTCACCAGAAATAGTTATGAAGACCAAAATTCCCATTTTGTTGAATTTGCCATTAGATTGCTATGGGATGGTTTGTGCTTGCAAATCTCATTTTGGACAATGGCTGTTTTAGGTTATTTATGATGTATTTGGTTTGATGCCCCTTTTCTATATATACGGAGTTCCATAGCGCAATGGTTGGCGCATTTGCCTCATAAGTGAGAGGACCCGGGTTCGATTCCCGGATGGGCTGAAACCGTGGACAAGTGACCTTACGCCACACACCTCCGTTTATCTAGCAGTGAGTAGGAACCCGGTTTTTAGTCGATTGGTAGATCACTTTCCAGGGATGGTAATCCCTCCACCAAAAAAATGTGGTCACTCAAACCACGACTGTGGGACACTGCTATGTACAACTGGCTGCTATGTTTCATCTACCAAATACACAGCCATTCCACTTTACAATATAATCTATGAAGTGCTTTGAGACATCTCAACGATGTGATAAAAGGTGTTATATCAAATACAAGGATTATTATTATATTGCCTGCAAGACCTCTGTAACTACACACTTTTTGCCCAGGCATGCTTTGCTCTACATCTGAATACATAATGTTGATGTCCTTGGAGTTTTTTTCCAGCAAGCATGTGAAGGACATTTTGATTATTGAAAAATATAACTTCTAAGTATAGAATCTGTGGTTCTGTTTTTCTTTTGGAAGGTTCTAACTTTAGTGTTCTATGTACTAAATCACAGTAGTAAAGTGCTAAGTAAGTACAAAATCAATGGATTCTGCTGGTACAAGTACCTTCTTCATTTACCAACAAAAAGCAGTCCTCACTTGACAGAAATAATCTTTTTCTTCTTTCAACCACTAAATTGCTGTAGGGAAGATTAGTTTGTGTAGAGCAGCACTACTGAACCTAATTGAGAGCTGTAGGCAAGTTCAAGCATATGTTAATTTTATTACTTACCATAAATCCAAACCTAAAACCAACAAACTGTTTTGCATCTTGTGTTTGGTAAAACCACAAAACCCATCTAACCATCCTTCTACAAAATTTACAATAAATTGCACAGTTGTAATTTGGTCTTGACTCTTTCACAGCTGGTTTAATGTTTTTCTTTGTGATTTCCCTCCATACTCAGGCTATGCTTTCCTGCTGTTCCAAGAGGAAAGCTCTGTGCAAGCTCTAATAGATGCATGTATTGAAGAAGATGGAAAACTATACCTGTGTGTTTCAAGCCCCACCATCAAGGATAAACCGGTAAATGGAGCTCCTGTGTGTTGCTGCTAACCATCTGTTCCCTTTGTCATTTCCTAAGTTGCTAGACTCGAATTATTCAGGTTGCTTTTTTCCGCATCCTTTGCTGTGCTCTCCCCTCCAAAACTATAATCCAAAATGTGTGCAATATCATTTCAATGATTCATTTACAAGTGGAGCTTTTATATTTAGTAGCATTGAAAGGTTGAGTTTTGGGAAGCTGTTAACAAAGGCTGAGCTGCTTGATTAAGCCTTTGTGAACAGAGCTTCCAGTGACATGAGCAAATGCAATGCAACATGGTGTTTGTTTCCTGTAGGTGATCACTGTATCAGCCTTTTTGTGCTAATCATACCCTAATCCCTGGTTTTCCAGAAAATGAAAACCAAACAGACAATGGCGCCTGATATTTAGTCTTGCACTAGCAGTTTTCAACATTATTTTGTGTCTCAGATGTTTGTAGTAAAGCAAGCCTTGTTATTTTGACTCAGAAAATGAAAACATTTTATTTTTTCTGTTTGTAGAATGAAATACAAACATGTTCTGACTGAGTAGTACAAAATGTTGTATAAACAAGCATATTAGCTTGTCATTTTAAAACTTGAACTGGCCATTGCATAGCAGTTATACGTTTTAGTTTAAAATATTCATTTTTTTAAAAAAAATCTTAAATCATTTCTAAAACTGAGCAGAACTAAATCTTGACTGTCTTTCTTTAAAGGTGCAAATTCGACCATGGAACCTAAGTGATAGTGATTTTGTGATGGATGGTTCTCAACCTCTGGACCCCAGGAAGACTATCTTTGTAGGAGGAGTTCCCAGACCTCTCCGAGCTGGTAAGTTAAGATATGCAGTAATTTCCCAATTTGATCAATGTCTGTAATGCAGAATACAAAGGGGAATTGAACAAGATTCCTGGCATGTTTGTTTGTGTGAGTGGAATTCATGTAGCTTGATGCCAATTGTGTATAGAAATCTGTTCTGTGTGTATATATATGTGTGTATATATATGTATATATATATGTATATATATGTGTATATATGTATATATATGTGTATATATGTATATATATGTATATATATATGTGTGTGGAGCAGCAGTCATAGGTATGTATGTTGCATTTCTTTTATAGTTGCTTTTAATATATATGATGTTATGAATTGGCTCTATGACTTAAATGTTTTATCTTGTAGTTGAATTGGCTATGATCATGGATCGGCTGTATGGAGGTGTTTGCTATGCTGGCATTGATACAGACCCTGAGTTAAAGTATCCAAAGGGTGCTGGCAGAGTGGCTTTCTCCAATCAGCAGAGCTACATTGCTGCTATCAGTGCTCGCTTTGTACAGCTCCAGCATGGAGACATTGATAAACGGGTAAGTGCATTATTGCTGTACAAGCTTATTCCCAGTGATGACCCAGTATGGTTAGAGTGAGACAAAACCAGAAGACGCTGGGAACACTCAGCAGGTCAGGCAGCATCTATGGAGAAAGGAAAGTGAGTCAATATTTCGGGACCCGAAACATTGACTCACTTTCCTTTCTCCATAGATGCTGTCTGACCTGCTGAGTGTTCCCAGCGACTTCGGTTTTTGTTTCAGATTTCCAGCATCTGCAGTATTTTGCGTTATGGTTAGAGTGAGATTTGTTCTCCTACAGAATATTTGACCTTTTCTATAATTAGTATCCAAATGTTATTTGGGATACATTAATAAAACTGGACTTATAAAATAGATATGGATCTGTTTTTGTATTTCTGTTTGAACAGTTTCTTTTCATGTTCAAATAGCAGTTATACTTTTTAGTTTAAAAAATCATTTGGTGTCAGCCTAAACGTGGATGTATTTAACTTTTAAAAATTGAATTTCTTTAATATGAGCGTGGAAATTGAGAATGTGGAACTATTAAGGAACAGAACTGTTTTGCCAGAGAAATGCCGTTCGATAAATTCTGTCCTTGACAGTTTAGTCGCAGCAATTTCTGTTTTGAAGCCTCCTTGTTTTGCTATTCTGAAGATCATAATCTGTCTGCTGTGGTTCATAATTTACAGCCTATGATTTTGTTTGTTTTTCATATTATAAATAATAATAATAATCCTTGCATTTGATATAGCGCTTTTCACGTCGGGAGGACGTCCCAAAGCGCTTCACAGAATATACTGTAAAGTGAATTGACTGTATATTTGTGGGCGAACGCGGCAGCCAATTGCGCACAGCAATGTCCCACAAACAGTCGTAGATTGAAAATGACCAATTTATTATTGTTTTGGGTTTTTTGGAGGGATTATTATTAGGCGTGTGGAGTAAGGAAACTTGCCCAAGGTTTCGCCCTGCCTGGAATTGAACCCAGGTGTCTTGCTTGCAAAGCAAGTGCTCTAACCACTGAGCTACAGGACTCCACTGTTCTCTTATTTCAACTAACCTAATACGAATCTCAGTCTCATCTGATTTCATGGATTCAATGTGTGTCACCTGGGATCATTTTCATTAATTTACAAAAAGAAATCTTGAGTCAAGCATGTTACCAAAAAGCTAATATTTACATAAATCTTCAGTATTTACAACTGAGCAAACACCTTAATAAAACTTCTAGATTCAGATAAAATGACTAACTTGTTAAACTGGACACCAAATAATGATGGAACATGATGGGAATTTGCACATGTCATGAGCAACAGAGAATGAGTGAATTCTGATCATCTTTCACTCAAATAAAGGAAAGCTCAAACACCTTGTCAGTGGTATGATGAGCTTACGCTATGAATCTAGTTTTATGCACAGGAGCATGTCATGTGGTGCAGACAGCGAGGTGATAATTAATTGCAGCTGCCATTTTTATTTTTACTGCAGTTAATTATCAGATTCTTTGATTCTGGGTTATGACGCGTGCCAGAGGACTTAAAAAGAAGAAATTCAGCACTTTGTTAGTATGCTAAAATTTTCAGATTTTACCCCCTTTTATATTACAGTACTGCCTGTAAATTGGATTGTATCTAGCACACTTACTGCGGAAATGTTAGGCTGAGATTGTTGCTTTCTATAAATCTGTAAGATTTGCTGGAATTGGAACAATTTCTTAATGCTACAAATAAATCTTTTTCCCCACTATACTGTTCCTGATGCTATTGATTTAATTACTGAATGAGCCAAACTAATTGCAATTCTACCCACAAATAATCATTTAAAAATATTTTGGTTCAATCAATGCTTTTTGTTTCCTATCAAATGCAAGGATTATTATTATATTTTTATGTCTTTTATCCAAATTGGAAATTTTCAAAACAAAAGATGCAGATCTTAGATAAAGGTGTGCTTTATCCTTATCTAATCTCAACGTGCTTTATCTAATCTCAATTTTGACCCAATTCACTATACATTTGTATATACTGACTCCATATTTGTTCTGTTATAATTGATTTCGAGCTGGGAGTGCATTTCGTGTGGATGACGTCTTGTATTATTTGTGAATCTATGAATTTTACCTCTTTAGTTTATCAGCCTATTCTTCCATAAATGGAAGGGCATGCATAAGAATAAAATGATTTGAAGACTGCATTTTTACCCATAACACTAAAAGTGACTAATCAAAAAGTAATTTTCGAAGAGTTTTAACAATTTCTAGACATTTCCACTCAAGTCTATTGTTTTTGATAAATCTGCATTTTAAAAAAATATTTAAAAAAATAAACACATTCAGCTTGATTGCTTCTGAGAACACATTTTTCGAAACATGGTTTCTGAGAGAGTTGACATTATCACTGTGCTCACAAATCTAATACACGAATAAAAGTAAATAGAAGCTGGCAGCATTTGTTGAACCACTAGGGTATTGAATGCCTGATCATACTGTTTTTTGAAACCCATTATAAAATCAGCTCATTTGTTTTGTGATGAGATTTGACAGCAGGATCATTGCCTTTACAATGATTCTGTGTAGCCAGCGCTTTTATTTTAAAACCAAAACAGTTTGTGGAAATAGCACTGTAATTATTGTACTATGGTGGATATGACTTCAATAAATGCTCTAGCTGTTTCTTTCACATTTGCTTCTAAGACTTGCTGCTTATTCTGATATATTGGGGCAAAATCAAGTTCTGGGTTTATTATTTTCTGAGTTGAAATTATTTCTATTGAGCTGGCGGTTATAATTTGGCTCTGTCTGTCTCTCTGTGAAAAAATCAGAGCAGTTCCTTTCGACCCTTTTCTAGCTTACATTGAATAGGCAATCAGTGCATTGCAAACAACAGGGCAAAGTATCTATCCTTTCGAAAATAAATTTTAGATATTCACTGTGTAGTCGCATTTGAAATCTCTATACATTTTAGGGAGTGAGCAGTCTTGTTCTTCACAAATTTGTTTTGAGGATTTGGAACAATAATTTTTTTAAAGAGGGGAAATGTAAATGCCCACTCTGGATCTGAAGTTATTTTCATATTCGTGTAGTCAAAAGAATATTAAAATATCTTAATTCTATTGAAATAATCTACTTATTTGGCAAATTCGTCACTAATCTTAACATGTATATATATTTTAATGTATATTTCCAATATTGCCCAAAATATTACCTGTGATTTATGGTTTCATTTTTGTGCTCTCAATCAAAGGAACATCGATAAATATGTAAAGTTAGGGTATTCAAGAATATTGAGAAAAGGCAGGTTTAAATATCTGCTATGATCGAATTTATTAACAAAACTTGCTCGCTTCACTCAAGTCTATTGAGTGAAAAAGCCTTTGCTTTTCTTTTTTTTGTTGGGCGAAAGACTATATAATAAGTTTGTTTCCTTTTCATTTCCATTAGGCTTTCAGTGTTTGCTCAATGATTTGAAGAATTGTTGATATTTCACTACTTATCACATTATCAACATTGAATCCTTTTTTAAAAAAACAAGGATGTGAGATTATTCCTTTCTTCCTTCCTAACTATTCTGGTGTCAGCAAATGCATACCATTCAGATATCTGATTTTCATCCAATTTAATAAGTATGAATATTTATTATGCAGCTTTTATTCAAATCATAAACCTTATACGGTGTCAAATGATTTTGCTGCTATGTGCCCCACTTACTCTAAGGTGACATTAGTCTTATTGTTATCCTTTATACTTAGATTGTGACCTGAATCTCTGCTTTTCTATTTTTTCAATCACCGGTTCAGCTCGCTATGCACAACGCAGCACATGTAGAGAGAATGATAAATAACAGCTGTTAGCTAAAAGACAGTAGTTAGACCTTCTGATAACAGTCCATCAGTAGAATACTGAGATTGAATTACTATGTTAATATTATTCCCAGACTTTTTTTTTAATAAAAACTGTTAGAAATCTATATTTAATACCTATGTGGTGGCGATAAGACGTAAAGGAGAAAATATGCAACATTATGTAACTTGTATTAGAACAACTTTTTCTAGACAAATACAAATAATTTAAATGTAATATTACAGTACACAGTATTGTGTATTGGACAGTGATCTGCAATATTGCTGAAATAATGATGTACTTCTTGCCCTCCCCCTATTATATAAACTTCTGCTGCACACAAACATAGCAATATAGAACTTTTACATTTGCCTGCCTAGACTATTGTATACATAGCAAGCTTCTATTCTATCATGACCTATTTAGTTTCAATCAAAGGTTAATCTATTGTGAATTGTAATATATAGCAATGGGGCCTCATTTCTACTACAAAACTTAAATATAATTGAGTTATTTGGTTCCATGAGTGTGCATTTTTTAAAACCTTTTCTCCATTTGTTCCTATGAAAACAATTATTATTCAGTGGGGGATGGGAGAGAGTTGAAGGATGAGGACGATTAGTGTTCATAGTGCTCCGATTGGTGTACATAGGTTAATGCAGTTAGTTTGTCAAATTTATTATTACTTGGAATTATGATTTTGAGCAGAAGACACTGTAACAAAAAATCATAGCTGTAAAATGTAATGCTGGACAACTGATCACTTGATGTAGATGTGTATACCAAATGTAATGCATAAAATTATCAACAGGCTTGGAGAAAAGTGCAAATTGCTGACGTGGGTTGCTAAGCAAATGCTATTTTCATGTAGCTGCTTTTATTTGTAGGGCATCTGCTCTCCATTCTTGAACAATAGGTCTCCATTTATAAGTACAGTCAGAATATGTAGTAATAGTCAGATTGCTTAAATTGTTTTCATTTGCATATAAACAAGAAAAATGCACATATCACGACTAATTGGATTTTCCGTGGTTATATTTGATCTTGCCAACATTGAAGGGTAATGGGCATAGCTATAAGGTGCTCAGTAAAATGCTTTCTCTTTCTTCTCCAGCAAGCAGCTAATCTTTCATTACCTTAAGCAGAATGAAAAGAATCTTTGAGAAATCTCTGTCACATCTAAAAAGCATCTATTGATAAAGTAAATCTTATTGTTACATAACACATTTGTATAAATATAATAAAGCAAGTGAAATCCTCTGTCCTTTCACCCCTTCCCCTCTCCCCACCTGAAACACCTGATAAAGTTCTGTATGAAAGGTGGGTGAGTAAACCTGCTCTGTCTTAATTTGAAGGACAGTGATGCTGGATTAAATGTAGAGTAATTACAATGAAGAGCCAGGTGTAATTAGCAAATAAAGTGCCCATGTGTAGGTGAACAAAACAGCCATTTTGTGCACAACAAAGTCTCATAAACTACCAAGTGGTGAATGATCAATTTATCTGGAAGATTGTTGGCTGTCAAGATACCCTGTAACCATTAGGGGGTATCCTTGTTCAAACCTTTTTGGATCTCCAGAGCTGCTCTGGTGGCATATGTTACAGGGGCCATGTGTGCTGCAAAGAGGCTCTATTTTTAATTGGAGCCGACACTGCTTATTGGCATGATGTTTGATCTGGAAACGGCTGACACTTGGGAAAAAACCTTAACTAAAATGTGTTACTCAAAAAAAAACATAGTTGTCCTACCAATCAGCTATAAGGTTTTCTTGTCCCCTTTAGGGTCAGTACAGGTTCAAATGAAATGTTTCTCTTTGGCCTGGCTTCCCCTATAAGCAGAGTCACAAGAGGGGAGATGAGATCTGAAATGGCAGGTTTCTGCAAGGATAAAAATACCCCCCTCTAATTGAGATTTGGCAGTTGTTGCTTTAAGGAAAACCAGTGAGATGGGGTACATTGTGTAAGAAAAATACTCCTCAACCTTCTCCAATGAAAATTATGAATTTCACAAATCCCTTCTGCTAGATTGGATATTGGGACAACATGCAATCCTAATATTATTAACACTTGTTTTTTTTTCCAATGACACTTGTATATTTTTCAAGTTGCACTGAACCATATAGGCACAGAGCTCAAATGTTCTTAATCCTATTAACGTGAAAAAGGATTTTTAGTCATACAATGCAACAATTATTAATTAGCCCATTCCATTGATTGTAAATTGTTGAAAATGCATGAACGTGGGTTGAGCCACATAATAGGAAAATAGCCTCTTCCCCCCGCCCCCGTTTATTGGAAGCCACTTCTAATGGAACCTTTCACTATTGTGTTGCATGCCAAAGTATGCAGATTCTCTCAGGATGTTTTAAGACTTCAAATATTGCAGAAAAACAGAATTGGCCATAGATCTGCTAATACAGCATTACAAATGCCCTTGGAAAATGACCTGCATCTTGGATAGCTTCTTTGATGCATGCATTTTTATATATATTCATGAAATAAAGTACTTCAAATGACTCATTAAGATTGAAGGTTTGTATCTTGCTAATTTTTAATTACTCAGCTTTGCCTTTAAAGGACATTTGTTTGGACTCATTTCCTTTTAGCATTTTCATATTACTTTAACTCTGCCTTATTATACATAAAAGTGGATATTTCAGAGAAGAAAAGTAAATGCAGCGGAAAGTATCCGAACCAATGCAATAACTAAATAGTATTTGACTCATACAAATGGAAAACCTACAGTCTTCTGAATTAGTCTCTATACGGTGAATTATTTTCTCTGATTTACAGACACTGGAGTGTTTGCTGAAGTTTATCTTTATTGTTTGAAATGTGCAAATATTATATCCATTTTCTGCTGCAGGTGGAAGTTAAGCCATATGTCCTGGATGATCAGATGTGTGACGAATGCCAGGGTGCACGCTGTGGTGGAAAATTTGCCCCGTTCTTCTGTGCCAATGTTACCTGTTTGCAGTATTACTGTGAATACTGCTGGGCAAGCATACACTCGCGCGCTGGCAGGGAATTTCACAAGCCCCTCGTGAAAGAAGGAGGTGATCGCCCGCGCCACGTCCCCTTCCGCTGGAGCTGAACCGTCTTATAATCACCGACACGTACTGGAGCGCAGAGCGCTGCCTCAGGGCTGAGAGGGTTCTGGAAATTGGTGCATTCTTCCTCAGATAAAGAATGTTTTTGTTTAAAGTCACTGAACTCATCCAAGATTGTCTGGTATATACAATTTTAAGAGTATCTGTAATGACTCTGCACTTTGGCTCGCAAACATCTGCTTGGGTACCTTTGTTTGTTCAATATTGGACATTGCATTGTGATTTACAATTAGTAGCTGATATCCCGTCAGCCACTGCCAGCTTGGCACTCATGTGACTGTTTCCTGTGAAAGGAACATGCACTTATTTTCAGAAACTTAGACTTGCCCCTAGAAGACTTACCAAAGGTAACACACTGTAGGTGGCATATGTAGCAAACATTCTTCTCAAATATTCAGCAATTCTAATTTTGGGTCATTTAGAATACCAGTTACCCTAAAATAAGCCTTTTTTTGCTCTCCATTTTGACTTGCAAGAATAATACCTCATAAGCTCAATCTGATTTTGCTGGGGTTTTTTTGGTTAGGTCTTTGTTAGTGTTATGTAAATGTATGCTGCAATAGCTTTTGCTGCTATATAAATGGTATTGCAGATACCACAGTACTTTATTCAGGCTAGGGTTATAAATAAATGTGGAGCATAATGCTGCTGGAAAGATGCAGTATAGCATGGAGAGGCTCCACAGGAAGGTCAGTAGTTTTTGACTGCATGTTTACTTATCCAGGTTGCTGCATGCAATAAATTTTGTGTATCATGTCTCTTATATCTGCTGACAACCTGCCCACCAGTGCACAAAAATAATTATGTAGGCTACAAAAAAAAATCTCCGTACAAAAGAGAATTGGCTAATCCTGAGGAAGGCTTGCCTCAGTAATGTAAATGCTTATGGAGTTTGAATCTGTGTCTGTTAAAGCATTACAGATATCACAAATACTTAACTAGATGTAGGATATCTTGAAGTTATGTTGATGGTAGGTGAAGTACTCTGCGGTGATCACTTATTGTGCAATTTTTATATAGTAAGGTGATTATGTATAGTACTGTGATAAAGTTAACTGTTGTAATGTCTGACATAGAAGTATGTGATGCTTCATAACCAGTGTATAAACAAGTGAGCTCAGTTAAATTTCTCTGCTGCTTGCACCATTTACATAGCTTCAGACCTTGTCCAGAAAACCAAAGAGCTCATACACTACCAATATATTTGTCGGACTGACAAGTAGGCACATTAGGAAAGGAAACTAATGCAAAAGAACTGTCTGCACAAAGTCAAAATGGAGATGTCTGCTTTCTGGTTCAGAATAAACTCCCCAATCCCTGGGTATATCCTGCAAAGCTTGAATTCTAATAAGATCTGCTAATTAGTGGACATTTTTTAGCATGTATAGTGGGGCTGCAGATTTCAACCAAACACAGGCAACAAGTGTACCAACAGTGGGGGTTTGTACACAGTAACCTTCAGCAGCTCTGGGGACAATCTGACTGGATATGACACCGCATAGTAGATTTGATACTAATTGTTGAGTCATTTGTGTGTTGTGATGTCCTGTTTGTGTCCAGTAAGTCTTTATTTTACTTTTTAGTTTTCTTTTCAGTGTTTAGTTGCAAGTATTGGCATTGAAATGGATTTTTTTTGAAAAAAGAAAAAGAAATTACTTTTTTACCAGTAAATCGCTTATTATCCCTTTGGAGGTTACTTCTGGGCTTTTTGTGATATTGCTTTCCTGCCCAGGCATGTTTTTCTATGTTTTTTCATTATCTGTATAAGACATTTGTTATGCACTACTTTTTGTATCTGGACGGTTTTCAACAGTCAGCTGATTTTTTAAGCGTGCTTTCTGACTGACATGATCTTTTGCAATACCTCAATTTTGAAATATAGGAAAGAAATTGATATTTTCTAAGTAAGTTTATTCTAAAAATATATATTAATTTAATTCTGCAAGGAAATGATTTAACAGATGGGTAATTTTATTTTTTTCATGCTTATTTGCTTTTTTGGAAATTGAAGGAGCTAGAGCTTTATAACTTTAATATGGAGAATTGTAGTTAGCTACAGTACAAGACTTTAAAAAAAAATCTACCTAAATGTGGAAAAGTGAACATTTATAAACAGTTTTCCCCTTCTTCGTATAGTTTAATGTATGAATTTAAAAGCTGGAATGTAAAGAAATAATTAAACGGCTTGGGATAGACACATCTCCATTGGTGCTGGAAGCTGTTAGTAGGACGTAAAAATTAAAATATTTTTCACTTAATTTGTGTATTTATCATTAATCCTTTAAGTACGACTGACCAGAATTGTGAAAGAAATCTTCTGTTCATTATTTTTGTATGAATACCTTTTTATGTTAAGTTATAACAACATGCTCCCTTTTGTTAAATTATAACGAGCCCCAATTTGTTTACTTGTCAATGAATATAAATGAGGTCCTTCAGATTGAGAATGTTGTTTCTAAGATGTTCAAATTGTAACTTGACTAAGAGCCCCTGGTGCATCAGGTCCATTTGTGGCCTTCTCTTGATGTTGGAGACTTGAATTAGTCAATTTTGAAGGCTAACTTAACCTCGACTCTTTGTTGTAATGTGCAATACTGTTTGTACTGTTTGTAAAAAAAACAAAAAAGCATAAATCTTTATCGCAGATTTATTTTCATTGCAAACTTTAGACATTGTGATTCACTAAATCATTTTTCTACTGTCAAATGTGTACCTTTTCTTCATGCTAGTATTTTTTCAATAGTAACGTAGCCTTTGTACTGATACAAATATTCATTGTTATTTTTAGAGAGATTTTTGCTAAAACCAGAGGATTTAAACATATTTACATATTTTTCATTTTTATTTAGTTATTTTTCTTTACAGACGGCTTTTCTCAACCATAAGTCATTTCGGGGAGAGACTTTCATATCTGGTCAATGTCATCAATATTATTTTGTATTTTTACTTGGAATAAATTAATTTTATGATGCTAATTCTTTAAAGTTTATTTTCAGTTTTGTTATTTTTGGAGCTGAAACCTTTGTAATATTGTAACTAAAGTGTCTAGTTTTGAAATGCAAAGCTTCATGTATTAACTTGCTGAAGTGGTTTACAGTAGTGTGGTAATGACAAACGGCTGAAAATGTAGAGTGATTGACAATGTAATTGGATGAATGGGCAATAAACTATCAGAATGGAACAGACAAAATAATGTTGTGCTATTGTGAGGGGAGGGGGAAATCCAAGTTGTACATGGGGAGTCTACCTGTCTTGCTGAGCGATAAGCCATGGAATTTCAGATGGGGAAATGCATTTTTTGTTGTTGAGGCTGGCTTGTATGTAGCAACCGGTTTTTGTACTACTTTGTACACTAACTTGTTCCTTCTTTCTATTTACTAACCAAACTTTCCTCTCAGTCTCAGTTAGCTGCTACAGTGTTGAAAAATGCCACCAAGTATTTATAAATGCAAGCAATTACTATATACCCCAAATGGGTAGCTAGCCGGAAATTATAGGTAAATGTGGTAATTCTGCAAATTTGTTTTGCACAAAATTCATAGTAAATGCACCAATTTTAGTATTCAGTTAGTTTACTTAACATTAAGGTGCTAATACTAAATAAACACAATATAGCCAAACTTTTCTGGACGTAGTTGTATTGGGGTATACAGTACAGGTATTTGTAACTTTGCTGTTAAATAATGGAAAACATCATTTTTAGAGTGTTCAAAGCTAGGATGTCTGTGTTTGTTTCCAAACAAACTACTAATTTTAAATGTATCTTTTACTGTTCTCCTAGATTGTTTAGCTAGTACTCTTACACAGCATATACATTTTGGCTTGGACTGATGCTTGTACGGAACTGCAGTACTGTGACTAAACATGGAGCTCAATGCTGCTATTGCTTACCAATGCTTAAGTTTGTAGTTTGGACTTTATTTTTTTCTGTACTAACAAGTAAACCTTATTAAACTTAGTTGTATGAATCAGTAACACTTGTCATGATTTTGCATGATCATTGGCGACTGTTGGCATGATTTGCAACATTTATTAAAACCACAGAAACCGACTGAAGTCTTGATTGGCTAAACATTTCTAATAGCAAATCACATTTCCTCCCAAGGACCTTGGGAAAATAAACCGTTGAATTTACAAAACGACACCATCTACAGGAGAGCACATCTACTGCAATCATCTACAGTCAGTCACATAATTAATATTTACAATACTTTATTTTAAAACTTGGCAGTTTGATCACAGAATCATTGCACCTAATTCTTCTAAAATAACAAGCACAATGAAAAATGTTTCAGCATAAGTGAAGATCATAGATATTCTTTCATGTTCTACAAGAATTATCGTGAAATAGCTTGGATTTTTTAAAAATCTTTCTCCTGAGCAGGACTTTTTTTAAAAAAAAACTTTCTTCTGAAGACCATATTGGGCATTCCTTTGGCATTCCAGAAAGAAGGCACAATATAGCAATCACTCGCATGCAAATAGTTAGACCATTGCCAAATGATATGCTAATATGAAATAAATGAGATGTGTAACTGAACACAAAGTTTACACACTAAAGAGTGGCAGCTATTATGCATTTTCAGAAGAATTCTATTCACTCCTTTTGTTGCAAGAAAAATCAACTTTTTTAAAAAAAAAGTACTTATTAAAGAATCTTGTTGAGGTACCGTATCATAAAGGAACTGCCCCTAATTCCTTAAGAGTAAAATATTGTTTTCCTTGTTAAGAACACTACAATATGACTCATTTTTAGAATATTTTTAGAGCTGCAATTACTTATTTGACAGCTACTGGAAGCACATTGACTGGAGATTCATTATGCTGGCCATCATTGGATGAATTGATATTAAGGATTCAGTATTCTATTCACTAGTACTGTGCACTATTCAAATAGGAAAATTGACATTCGAGTTTCATGCCAATTATGAAATAACATTTTATAGACCAGTTATTCTGAATTTAATTGAAGAGAAAATTATCTGAATGAGATCAGATTCAAGAATTGTTCTTGTAAATTGTTTCCTTCCAGCATTTCTGTAAATCAAATTGAAGGGCCGACTTTGAGACACATTTTTATTAAGTGCTTACTGTTGCAGAAATGAATTGGTAGAATGACCAATTCAGATTTACCCTTATTCATCTTTGGTAGTTTTGTTTAAAAGTGAATGTAACACTTGACACTCACTGAGCTTGTTTATTTAAAGATATCTGTGGTAATATTTTGGAGGGCCATGAAGTAGATGCATAAAACAAATTCTTCATCTGTGGTTTGTTTGGGGGAACTGATTTGCAGCACAGAAGCCCATTCAGACAAATGTCCCACTGCAACTATCTATTCTCATCTTTTTTGCCCTGCTCTCATATTTCCTTCACACATTGGCTTAAAAATGTTGTGGTGTGCAAAATAACTAAATCAAACATCTGGAAGCAATTTGATGAATTATATAAAATAACATGGGACTCTATGGCAAGTTCCTACTGTACTTTTATGTCTTACTGCTCAAGTAATTCAGAATACAAAACTGGATTTATATTTCCCATTCCAAAATTGGACTTGTTAGAGGATGTAACCAAAACTAAGTAAATATATAGTATTCTGAGGAGTACTACCAACCCAGTTTATTTTAATGTTAAAGAGTTGTGCTAGATATGAAAGGATTAGAATTGAACTTTTAGAAAGCATTTAGTAACATTTCACATGGAAGGTAGTTAATCATATTAAAATTATTTATTTTTATGTACCCGATTGTTAAGGCCACTTTTAAAGCATATGCAATTCTAGACTCTATTTTCAAAAGGATATGTGTTAAAGGGTTAGAAACCTAATTATCACCAGTTATAAAGAAATTTAACAAGTCTGATGTCAGATCAAAATACTTTATAAAATCTACCTGAATCATTCCTTTTGATTAATCATCACTCACTATCCCAGCCCAACCATACAAAATATTCAGTGGAACATAATTACAGGGATGATATAATGAGCTGTCTCTGGAATGCAGCTGGTTACAATTGTAGAGTGTAGAAGATTGGTTGAAGTCAGGAGCTTTGCATTCAGGTTTATTTTTGGAGTCTCTCTGGCCACTTTGTTATTATAGCTGAATGGTTTTATCCCCTTTGAGAATGTAACTCTACCACTTCCCCTTTCTTCTAAAATCTAGTTGAGAAAGTTAAGCAGTGTGTCAGGTATCATAGATTAGAATAGTGGTTTGGTATCTTTATTGTTTCTAATAATAAATACTGCCTAGGTCAGTGGATTTGACTGATCTCAGACAACCTAATTCAAATTTAATTGAACTGATGAGACTAAACAATATGGGTTGCAATGTCCAGTTAAGAGATTGTATATTTCTTGCTGATTAAATTCACTGAGTTCTGAAATGGTTTTGCCTCTCCATTTGTGTCTCAGATGTCGAGTGCAATGAAATCTAGTTTTATAAAATGGACTTTTGCACCAAGATCACCTTCTCAATATGTCCTTCCATGGTGATATGTTTCCCAAACTACTTCCTGACAGCATTTTAGAAGTGCACGGCTGCCTTCTGTGTAGAGTTGAAGAGAAATGAGCTAAGTAGTTATATTTTATAGTACATGATACACTTGTAAAACCATATAACTTAATCTACCAGAGTTATACCAATGATTTGAGTCTTTTTAAACTGATATTGTAATCTGCCAATTCAGTTTCCTGGTTTCCTTCTACAAGGGCACAGATCTATATAGTGCCCTCCCCTACCTCTGCTATGTGATCATTATTGATATGGGAGCTTTGACTGTGTTAGCAGCATTTTGACAACAGGAAAAATCACAACCTACATTGCTCTTCTCCTTTTCTTGTGCAGAGAACTCATGTCAATTGCAATTCCATCCCAGTTAAGATCAGCTAATGTAGCACAGAATTGGGATGGAACTTAAAAGAGTCTTTCTGCTTTGTAGCTCTGAAAACAGCCAGTAGAAGCTTGTGGTCGGTCTTGAACGATCTTCTCCATGGTTAGCAGATTGTATAGTTGTAAACATTTGTATGATTAAATGGTATAAAGGCACAGCTCATTCTCTCATACAGAACAGGATGATGTTATGCCCATAAACATGCAAAAGAAGCTGAAAATCATTAAGTAAATGATGTGACAGTAACAGCCCTATATAGTAAGTACTTTTATACCCTGTATAAAAGCATAAATCTTGTTTCAAGAGCAATTCTGAGCCCCTCTCCTGAAATGCTCCAGGTGATTTTGGAATAATTGAATTCAGCACCTTATATCATAAGGACATCTCGAAGCACTTCACAGAATTTACTGTGAAATGAAGCAACTGTGGATTTGTATAACATGACTGCACAATTGTGCAAAGCAATGTCCCATAAACAATTGTAAAATAAGGGACCAATATTATTTGGGGTATTGTTGGCTCAGATACTAGGAGAAAATTCTCTTTTTCAAATAGTGGTATGGGATCTAACATTCACCTGAAAAGGTAGACAGGACCTTGGTTTAACATCTCACTCAAAGGACAAAGAATGAAATGCATTCAGCTACACTATTAAGAAGACATGTCCAACAAACCCATTGTAACAATCTTAAGCTTCTGAATATTGTTAGAATTCTTAACTTTATTTTATTTAAAAAGTATTCAAAAAGCCCTGATCTGTACTTAGTTTTGAATATCCAGAGCTCTTCTTAGTCTTGGAGAAAGTAATTCAAACAATGCAAGGAGGAATCTCTGCTAATGATGCAAATATGAATCATCAGTTCCTCAAACAGTAAAAAATGAACTTTACTGCAGCATTAAAAAAAGTTACACTCTCAAGGGCTAATAATTTCACTTGGTTTCAGAACTACAAATCTTTCCACTCAATTGGCTGCAACTGTTGCATGTGCAGGCACTTGAAAAACTGACTGAAAAACAATGCACCTTGTGTTCTCTTTCTACAGTTTGTCCTGAGTTAAAATTTACCAATCTGGCTCAGGGGGTGAGTAGTGTAAAGGTAAGCAATCTAGGCTGGTTAAGGCATGGATATTTGGAATAATTGTAATACTTAGACCATACATTAATTTGGGGACAGCTGCACTCATTATTTTAAGCAGATACTCGTTTCTTGATCTGTCATGGAGCGACTTAATTAGGATATGCAAGATAAGTGGGATGGCTTGTTGGTCTGAAGGCCTGAAAGGCCTTTACTTCTTCCTCTAGACTTTTTTTTAAAAAAATCCTTGACTTTTTAAAAAAAGTCTGGAATCTCAGTTCTAAGAAGGCACATCAACATTTCTTAAAATTTACAGATTAGTTTTCCTCTTTAAAAAATTCTTAAGACATTTCCTGTAAGAGGGGATGATTAAAATAGAAGTAAATTAACATGGTCCACTTTTGGTTTCATACATAAAATGGGGAACATGGTGTAAAGTGCAACATTTTATTAGTTAACATGGTAATTGGAATAGATCAAAGGAACTTTAAAATAGAATTAAATTACTACCATCTGATACAATCTATTTTATAAGAAAATAGACATCTCAGCATTCTTAAATTTAATAGTTTAGATTCTTGCACATTAAGTATTACAGCTGCCTATATACACAATTGTTTTTTTTAAAAACAAACTAACATTAAATATTCATGCAATAAAGTATTTCAACTGAATTTTATTTTTTTGACCCATGGAATGCCATAATACTCAACTTAAAAGATTTTTTAAAAAAAACCCAAGTACAAGTTGATTGGGTTTAAATCCTACAATAGTTACAGAAAATAAAATTTGCAAATAATTGAAAGCTTCCACTCTAATATGCAGCAAAATAAAACACTCAGTTTCCACTGTGGAAAGTGTAAGAGACCTGTGTTTTTAATTAAGTTCAAACTGTGCACTGATGTGCACAGCAAGCTACTGTCTCACATACATATGTCACAAGGGCATAATTTCTTTTAAACTCTAAGAAAATGTAATTCAAAAGTTCTTTGTTTCTTAAGACAAAGAATTACGCTTCAAGTAAACCTGCTCTGAATAAAGGTTTAAAACTGTAAAACAGTGCAAATAACTAAGACAGAGTAACTACTTGCTCTACCTTTTTTGTGAACCGCTTTCACCATTTTTAAAGTACCAGCTTTTGGTTATTCCTTTCCAATCCCTGTATTTACACATCAATGTTCTCAGCAGTTCACTACATGCCTAGGAAAAATGCTGAATATCAGCAGGGCAATCCTGGAACAATGACAAGGCTTATCTGCATATTGTAAGCACATTTTACTTCAGAGAATGCATAAATGTATCCAAGTCATATTCTGTGTCATATTGTTGCTGATCCCAAAGTTCTCCAAGATTTTCCAGCATTGCCTTCATAGATGACTTTTCAGTGGAACAAGATCCCCGGTCTTCGTGGCTCTCCTAAAAAAGATTATCAAACATAGTATCAATTGAGTTTTTTTCAGAAATGTTACACCTCTAAAAAGTAACAAACTAAGGATCTGATTTTTTAAAATTCAAACTGCACCTAAGACATTAGCGAGATAGTCAAGGATACATTTGTCTGTAGGTGAAGATTGCTGTCAGATCAAATTCTCATGTTTTTAAAAAAAATCAATAAAATGCATCATTGTGCAGAGATTCTTTACAATTGTCTGGAAAATGTAACTGGAAGTTATTAACAAGCTTTAAAAAATACATTTGCATACAACTTTATGGCAGGTGTGCATTAAACATTAGCTCTAAATATTCAAATATAATGTTCATAAGATGGGCATTTATGCTTTAATACAAATACCATCTCCAATGGTATGCATTTCCCACCACACCCAACACTCAGGATTCTAGTCACAAACAAGGTTGTCAAATGAGGGGTTAATGCATGTATGCAAACAATAAACAATTCATAGTTTTCTACTTTACCTTATCAAGAGTGAAAAGATCCAGAAGCTGATCTGTCCCCATGCTCTGAAGACTTGCATTCTCTTGGCTAATCACTGTATTTGCAATATTCATCTTGAATTTCTGTAATCCCATGATTTTTTCCTCCAAGGTTCCTTTTGTTATTAATCGGTAAACATTAACCACACGTTTCTAGGAGACAAGGAAAAATATTAATACTCAACTGACTTAACACATACAGGACTACTCAGAGGAAATTTGACAAATTTAATTGGATTAAAACATTAGGAAGGAGAAATTAAATAATCTATCAGTTAAATGGATGACTATATTCCCTTCTCTTCCCCAATCCAAACAACATCTTTCAAGAGGAGCCAATTGCACACTTGTGCATGATCAGTCAATACTGACAGCCAGAAAAAAAAGAGTGGTTTGTCAAACGGGTTTGGAGTTATTTCGCATTTTCATACTTAGGCATCAAAAAAAGAAATATTTTTCCATTTATTGTGAACTACTCAGACTGTATTCACAATTGTTTGAAATAGTTACAGACTGGAATGTCATCCTGGACCTATGAGCTCCTCCAACATGGGGCCTCAACCCATAAAATATGGAGAGACAGAAAGTCATGCGACAAGACAGGATTTGGAATATGAACTAAGATAGTGGAGGCTAAAAGGACAAGAAATAGGATCAGTGACAGGTTGATAGCTTTGAGGGTAATGTGCAGCAGAGACAAGGGAGGCCAACAGAATATTAGTGTAGTTAGAAAAAGGATAGAATATAATTCACAGGATGTAGTGATGGGGCATTGGTACCACTGCATACAGTACTTCAGGTAACATTCAGGAAATATCACTGATTCAGACAATATCATAAAATGTTATTTCAAAAATCTCTGATCTTGCATCTTTAAAATTTTAGTAGAGATGCTACCTGTCCAATGCGATGTGCTCGATCCATTGCCTGCAGATCACGCATTGGGTTCCAGTCATGCTCCACGAACACTACTGTATCTGCCCCAGTAAGATTGAGACCTAGGCCACCAACGTGAGTCGTTAGCAGCAAGACATCTATAGACGGGTCATTATTAAACCTAAAAAAATAAGAATTATCGCACTGTAATAGAGGAATTCAATTTACAAACGCCAGAAGAGGTGCAACTTGAACGATTATAGATATTATGTTTAAATCAATACAGCAATGAATGTAATGTAACAGAATTACTGATTAAGATCTACTTTTAAAGCCACATGACAGCTAGTATAACCAGCTCCCAAGCTGATATGTCTGTAGTGTGCAAAAAGGACAAACCCTCTTCAGGGCCTCATTCCATGTTTGATTTGCTCTAGATATTAACCATTGTGAAACTGTACAAGCTCAATTCCTGGTCTGTGTTGAGTTATCCGATCACAGCCGAGTTGGTGGTTAGCGGGCCACAATGGGTCTTAGACGACTGAGGTGTGTAGTGGTGAAAGATGCCTGCTCTTAAATTGCTATCGAATGGGCTCCCTCCTGAAAAGTATGTGTATGCATGCATTTAATAATATCATAATGGGTGAGACAGGAATGGGTTTGCCTGTAATGCAGGTTATTACATAAAATCCACTGGGGAAGAGACCATCATTGGAAATGTATCCCACAATGAGTCAGTATATTCTTACCATTTAAAAATGTTAATTTGTTCGGTTGTCAAAAAATTTAGATATGCAGAAATTTTAAGTGATATTCTGTAGCCTTATTACTTTACTGTCATCTTACCTACCTTGCCACAATGGAATGTCTCTGGCCTGCAGGTACACTGCCATCCAGTCTTAAGTAAGTAACGCTTGGCATTTGCGGTTTGAGCAAATCATGTTCTACAATATCCAACATACTCTTCAGCTGACAGAATATGAGAATGCGATGTTGTGCTACAACAGACTCAGTACCACTTTCTGAAGTGCCACTATTGCCAAGTCCACAGTCAAGCAGTAGCTAAGAAAACAAATTTAAGAGAATATTATTTATTCCATTGCAGAATCAGTCAGAACATTTCAAAAATTGTATGGAAAAAAAATAACCCAATATCATGGTGAAGATTCTCCATGGCAGTAATCAGGAGTTTGAACTACTGACTAGTTCTATCTTAGCTTGGCTTCGCCACATTGTTTTTTCCTGTAAAATACTGCATTTTGGTGCTGCTATATACAAAATAATGCTCACTATCATCAAATAATATTAAGAATATCTTTTTTTAATTCCAATCAATGGTGAAAGTATAGCATAACTAGACAGCAGTGTGGACTTAGGGAATTATGTGACCCCTTCCCCTCCTCTCACAGGTAACACTACTGTATTAACTAAACACATTGTAGTGTCAACACTAAAGTCCATACTAAAAAGAGTTATAATCTTATCTATCTGGTGACTAAGTGGCAGTGGGTTTGTTCGGATATTAATATGCAGTCAATATCTGCAATATAAATGCAGATTGCAAGTCAATTCAGTTTCACTTTACTTCAAGCTCTTGGACAATCTGTTGACAGTCCTAAACCTTTATCTAAAACAAGTCAGCAATTTTATACCAGCTAGATTTGCTCAGCCTTCGGGGAATGCAACATTGAAATAATAATAATCCTTTGCTGATCTGTAACCAGCTTTAAGTGGTACAGTCCTGCGCTGGTATCACCTTTCCCTTAGAATCCCCCTCTCTCCAGCAATTCAACTGTGCTCAGATCAGTAGAGCTACAACAACAGCAACAACTCGGATTTATAGAGCGCCCTCCACGCCGAACAGCGCCTCAGAGCACTTCACAGTAACAGATCCCAGGGCCGAGCCACGGGGAGGGGAGTGACCAAAGGCGCGGTCGAAAAAAAAGTCTTCAGCAGAGACCTGAAAATAGGAAGAGAAGGGGCGAGGCGAAGGGTGTGAGGAAGAGAGTTCCAGAGCCTCGGGGCATAGTGGCTGAAGGCACGGCCACCAAGGGTGGAGCGGAGGACTCGGGGGACAAGGAGGAGGCCAGACCCGGAGTTTTGAATAATCTGGATTTTGTGAATGGTAGTGGAGGGGAGGCCGGCGAGGAGGGTCTTTGAATAGCTAGTTTCTTGTGGAAATTTAATGCACATTAAAACCCTCTACTAAATAGTCTACATCTCTAATAATCTAAGCAATATACGCAGAAATTAACATTTAAAGCACTAAATATTAAGTACGGTAAACTCCTGGTTTAAAACTTGTCTACCATTTAAGTCATCATATTGTCAGTATATCAGCCACATTCACTTATGTATTTATACATAGGCCTAACTCTCAATCCCAGATAACTCGTCACCGAGCCATTTTCCCTCAGAGTGACAGGTATCAGGAGTTTATTACCTGTTTTAAAGCAGAGAGCTTTGGAGCATGTTGAATATCATGAAGAGATGAACCTTGAGCAGCAAGTTGCTCTGAAATATGTTGGAATTCTGGATGCTGTGATGTTAGCACGAGTGCTGGATGATTGCATAGTTTTCTCAGGTACTGTAAAGCCTAGAAACAAATGTTAATTTCAAAATGTTATACAGACCATATGAAACTATAAATAATTTAGAATAGAAATCCAGAAATAGATCCAATTATAAATCAACCATAATGTACTAATGTAACAAGGCTGACATAGAGTGCAAGAGTACAACTCAGATTTCGAATAGATAACTGAGAATCTCTATAAATATTTACCTGGAATACATGCCCTGTAGCCTTCAGTTTGGGTTTTTCATTTTCCTCAGTGACTGTACCTGTGGATATGGTTTCGTCAACATCGCACTTAGCACGAGATTTGGCAAAATCTTCATAAAGTTGTACCTGTCAAAAGTATACATTATCGTGTTTAATAAGTAGTGCTAAAATGCATAACAAAGTCCACATCTCCTCAACAACGCAAGGAACATAAAATCCTTTAATTGCATCTTTTGGGAAGCTTAATATTATACCTGTTTTCTACTTTAAATTTCTTTAATGAAAAGTTTTGAGAATCTCTATTGAGTTGTAAACCCAAATCTAAGGAATCATCGTCATCACTCTGCCCTAAACTCCATTATATACAATAATCTTTGCATTTGATATACTTCCTTATGTCCTGTAGCTCAGTTAGCGCACTCGCTTTGCAAGCGTGAGACCTGAGTTCAATTCCAGGCAGGGCGAAACCTTGAGCAAGTTTCCTTACTCCACACAGAGCCTAATAATAATCCCTCCAAAACCAAAAACAATAATAAATTGGTCATTTTCAATCTACGACTGTTTGTGGGACATTGCTGTGCGCAATTGGCTGCCGTGTTTGCCCACAAATATACAGTCAATTCACTTTACAGTGTGTTCCGTGAAGCGCTTTGGGACGTCCTCCCGACGTGAAAAGCGCTATATCAAATGCAAGGATTATTATTATTATCAAGATATCTCATTGAGCATTGCGCTTTCAAATATAATAGTTTTCAACATAGTTAATTTCCAGTGAGATTCATCCCAGAAAGTCCAGTTGAAAACACCTTCACAGTTATACCCCCTCTGTTGCTCTGACTAAGTCAATTATGTGAAGTGCTTTATATAAATGTAAATTGAAATAAATACTAATCAAGGGGGAAGGTTATTGATGCTCATTTAAGATTACACTGGTAATATTAAAAACAAACCTGTAAACTACTGAGAACACAGTAATAATCTTGAATTATCTTGGGTGGAAGATCTTGAAGAACATCTTCCTTCATTCTGCGTAACAGGAATGGAAGTACCTGTCGATGTAATGCTTCCATTGCAAGAACACCTATGGTAAGAAAATAAACATTTATACAGGATAGTTTTTTTCTTTAATGTTTATTACTGTATTGTATGCATGGATTGTAGCATGAAAAATGTGGGAGAATTTTGTGGCAAGAACATTTATATCTAAAGTCCAAAGAATAATGTATTTTCTCATATGTACACACACTATGACAATACGCACTATGACATAACAGGATTACCCAATAGACTATTTGGTAGTCTTGATATAGGGACTTAAATTACACATAAGACTAAATAGAAATGCTGTCTTAGATATCAGGTTGCACTTTACACGGGTTCAAACTATATGCAAATGCTTTCTTACCCGCCTCTTGCTCCCGTGAAGAACTCCTGGCATCTCTGCTAGCTAATATGGGCTTTCCATAACGAGCTGCAAATTGTCGCTCAGTACCCAAGAATCCTGGCATCAGGAAGTCAAACAATGACCATAGTTCCAAGACGTTATTCTGCAATATACAAACAGACTGGTTGGTTTGTACACGGATTCAGTTTCGCATTATATTACGTTTCTACAATGTCTTCCAATTACATTTTTTAATCTGTTTTGCCATCATTGCAATAAATGATGAAATGAGCTTGATGATCTGCAAACATTTAGTTATTCAGATCTTTCTGTATCCTGTGCAAGATTTTAAAGTGGGAACTTTTAAACTGGGCTGCTTGTTGTCCATTGTCGTGGGCGAACTGGCAGTTGTGTTCACCTACAAAATGCACTTTACAGCACATCCTGTTAAGCAATTTGAGACGTCCGGCACTGTATCAAATCCAAAGATTATTAAAAGCTAGTCAAAAAGTATAATTTAAGTTAAAAAGCCATTCTCCCAACTGGGTATTTGAGCTTTTGCCAATTTGTTGGGATGACGTCTCATGAATAAGGATGGAGGCCAATTAAGCCAGGCTGACACCTACAGCCCATAATGCCACCTGGTTTGTTTTCGATCATGATCAGTATTGCTGTCCCCACTCAACGTATGCATAGCACTAATCAATGATTTAGTGACCAGGAAGAGGAAACTTGATTGTCAAACTTGGCACTGTGCAGAAATCAAGTCAGGCAGACACACAACATAGTACTGTGCCTTTACACACTTGGCGACTAGGAAGCATCTCCATAAAATGTAATAAATCTTTCAGAAGAATATAATACCTGTATTGGTGTACCAGACAGAATCAACCTGTAGTTTGCAGTTAGCTGCTTAACTGCTTTCGATAGTTTTGTCTTGCCATTCTTGATGACGTGGCCTTCATCAAGAATACAATAGTTCCATTTAATATTTCTGAAAACAAAATGAAAACTAATTAAGTTATGCACTATATCTAATTAATTAAATTCTGGAATACGAAAGACAATTTGATTACTTTGGCCAAAAATAAACTTAAGAACAAAGCATTTACAGACTTACTTGAAAAAGTCAATGTCATTCCGTACAACATCATATGATGCTACAACAAGATTGTGTTTTTTTATAAGGTGCTGTAACCTAAAACACACAGTAGAGTATAAAATCAGTTCTTTATAAAATATTGTCATGACAAGACTCTGATTCTAGTAATTTTAGCTCGATGAGAGGGAAAGAAAAATGCAAATAGTCACTATATTTACAACCAAATGCTGACATTTAGCAGTGAAACAGGAGGAGAGCATAGAATATTCCTTACATTTGAACATGGGCTGAATATGGAAATTTAGGTTCCTGGTAGTACAATTTCTTTTTAAAAAATACAGTTAATGTGAACAAAGCATAAATACGATCTAGCTTTGTCATGGTCCATTTAGGATATGCAAATATGCTAAAAATATGGATTCATACAACCTGCTATGGTTTACAATTCTGTAGCATTCAGAACTTACCTTGCCCTTTCAGTAGGGGGCCCCGTATAGTGCAAAGGATTCAAAAATTCTTTAGCGCAGAATTTCCCAACTTCATCTACCCAATGTCCTGTCAGTGTTGGAGGACACACAACTAAAGAAGGGAGAGGAAAGCAATTTTCTGCTTGATTTTTTACATAATCCTGAGTCCTGTGAAAATAGAAAGCAGGGAATTGAACACAATGATCTTTCCATCAAATTGAGGACTACCTTCACAAGGTTATCATGGATTGTACATCTTTAACAAAGTAGGTAATAATGATTCACAACTAGTGTGGTAATATTACCTGTGGTAATGATCTCCTGCAAGAATGCATATAGATTGTAAAGTCTTTCCCAAACCCATATCATCACAAAGAATGCCATGAAGCTTGTATTTGTTAAGGAATGCCAACCAATTTACACCATCCTATAAAAAAGTCAATTAAATTCAACATTTAAATAACCACATCAATTAAAATGTATCAAACCAAACAAACTTTAAAAAAATCCAGCTTTAAATATTTGAGCTCAGATTTCCCACCTGTTGGTATTTTCTGAGTTCAGCTTGGATAGGAACAGGAATTTTGTAGTTTTCCAATTTCCTCCCATCCAACAACTGTTCCAAGAAATGACGTTCTCTTGCTTTTTGTCTGATTAATTCTTCTGACATATTTGGTGGATCTGGAATACCAGCCTGGAATGCCAAGTTTGAGTGTAATTTTAAATTTGTTTTCCATGTATAAAAACATTAACAAAACTAACCAATTACTAGAATACATCTTAGAAACAGTGAAAGTGTTTCTTTCAAGACAATTTAACTGAGCCTTCAGAACCGTGAGGGTGCAATATAAATAATTACAGGAATGAGAAGATATATTTATGAAGAAAGTCTTTAAAAAATGAGTTCTAACAGTAAATCTAAGTGTGAGACGAGATTAAACAAATGTCACAAACCCACATTATAACCTTTATATTACAAACAGTAGTAATAATCCTTGTATTTAATACATAGCACCTTATCACTTTGTCGATGTCTCAAAGCACTTCACAGCGTATACTGTAAAGTAGATTTGACTGTATTTTGTGAATAAATCTCAGCAGCCAATTGCACACAACAGTGTTCCACAAACAGTCATGACATGTGACCAATTTTATTTGGGGGATTTGTTGGCCAGAAAACTGGAAGAAACTCCCTTCTCTTTTCAAATAGTGCCATGGGATCTTTAACATCCAACTGGACAGGCAGACGGGACTTCAGTTTTGCGTCTCATCCAAAGGATAGCACCTCTGCCAATTCAACACCCACCCTCCCCCAGCACTGCTTAGACCATGTGTTTCCAAGTCCTGATGTGTGGCTTGACCCACAGTCTTCAGAGGCGAGAGTGTGGCCACTGAGCCAGGCTGACTGGCTCAGTAGCCACACTCTATATTTCTTTCAATTATCAATCATGGCTTACAACACACCAGTACCACCTGCTGGTAAAATGTAGAACAGCAGAGTCCTTGTTATATACATTACATCTGAAACAAGTTCTTACTAATAATCAATTACTTCAATTAGGGAAATATCAACTATGGACAAAATAAGTACTACTGGATCAAAGTGAGCAAGAATACACCAAAGAATAACTTTAACCAAAGACATTATACTGGGTATAATAATCTTATTTGTTCTACAGTGCATACATACCTCTTTACTAATGGTGTCTGAAAATACATAAACGGTAGCAAACAAACAACTTACTTCAAGTGGCATTAATCTGATAAGGGTTGCAAAGCACTGGGTAGCCATGAACCTGACACTGTCCGTTTGGTCACTCATCCTGCCCAGCACAGGCACCACCAAGAGGACAATGTATGGGACAATGTCTACATCAAGCTGCTCCATCATACCTGTAGATATTTTAGCTAAGGAATGTTTCACAGACATCCAAGATACTAACATCTGGAAGTGACTTCAACTCTTATTCATACTAGACCTGGAACTAGACCTATAATGATCATCATAAATAGCTTTTAGAACAGCCTGTAAGAGTATTTAATATTCATTCTAATCTGATGTTTGATCAATCATCAGGGAGACCCCAAAAATAAATTTAAACTTAGTCATAATTCTGATATCTTAGGAATTAAATCCTCATGGACATCATGGAAGCCACTTGATATCCTCCAGACCAGACTATAAATGCAAGCCCCCGATTCCAGATTTGCAAAGCATACCCAAGACTGAAGTGAGCACGTACACACACACAGAAGATTAATATGCAATGTGAAGGATACATGCCAATGCTTCGATCGCTCCTTCCTGTTTTGCATTATCATCAATTGCTCCTAGCCATGGAAGAACTTTCTCCAGGAAAATGCTCACAGTTTCCATAGTAGCCATTTTGCTCATGACACCCACGCATCTAGCCGCCACATGCCTGACTGCAGTGTACGGGTGCCGTAAACATGTGCAAAGATGAGGAAGATGTTCCAACAGCTGAAAACAAAGTCCACTATATTTCAGGAAGCCAGAATTTAAAAGCATACTTTAACAGTAAATGCAGGACAATGTATTACCTGGAAAATTCTAGTAATTTTAATAATCCTCAACTCCAGAATCAATTTAAAATCTTTACAAAGCTTAGTATTTTATAAACTATTTTGCTTACAAATCGTGTTAGTTAATATATTTGCATCTGTATTACATACTGTCTGAGCAATCTTTGCCAGGAATGGAAAATTCATTAATTATGAAATCACATCTCCAGTTACTTGGATACATTTTGAAGCTAGTTTGACTAAACAGAACAGCTTTTTTAAAAAAAAACAGACCTGGGCATGGATATCAGAAGCCATTGCTGCTGCAGTAATTTCTAACACCTGCAATGAATTTACTAAATCTTGAGCAGCAACATCTCCTTTCTCAAGGACAAGATTTCCATCTGTAAAGATATGCAAACACAGCTCAGTTTCTCACACCAAACAAGAATTTCGCCCAAATAAAAACATACTTAGGAAGAACTACATACTGAAATTCTGTACATCGATATGATTCTTCAATGGTCCAACCATAGAATCCCAGAGATATGGCAATGATGTGGCCATTTCAGCACCAAAATGTTTTCCTATGGTAGTAAGTGCATATTCAGCTCCTCTCCTCTGAATCAAGTTCGGCTTCTGGGCCTGAAGCAAAATAAAAATAAGTAAATGTTGTTCCTCCTTTGCCAAAAGTTAAAAATCTATATAGAGGGGGATAAAAAAAAAACACTGCCAAAAAGTCTCCTTTTTTGCTGCCTCATTGAAACAGCAAGAACATTATTTTCTAATCAGGTAAGACATTCACTTTGAAATTTATATTTCAAACGTATTCACTTACCTCATCATGTTCACACAAGTTAATCCCTGCAATTCCCTGAGACATATCTGCAGATGATCCTTTGAGTGCTTTGGGAGTTGGCCCTCGCCTGCTGGTTAAAGCAAAGGCAGCTTGCTGATGCCTGTAAAGTGTAATAATTCCCCTAGTCTTATTTACAGTGTGGTGCATTCCATCTTTTTCGGAATTTGGTCCTGAAATAAAGCCATGGAATAATAAGCTTGTTAATATTTGAATAAAACCAACTATGCATTCAAGGCCAACTTCCTTTTTAGAAAAACATTTTATGCTGAAGGCACTTCCACTCAGAGCGCCCATGTTTGCGCTCTGTGACATGACCAATATAAATAGGATATTAAATTGCTGGAATACACATTGTAATTAAAAGTCATTAAGCAAAGATTCTCAGTTTTAAGACTTAGAATTATGCTTCTGGTCATCTTTCAGTATCTTGAGTGTTGTTCAATAGCTGAGGTGATCCAAGTTCAGCAGATAGTTGTGGCTATCAGCAGATTTTTATGCAGATAGCCACAACCGTGGCAGCAAATTGAAATTCAGGCGGTGTTACTCATATTACACCTACAATCTTGAAATCACTTTGAATTCTCTCCACAGACTCGCCCCAACTTACCTTGGACTTTGTGTAACTTTATTACTTGCAGCTACCTCTACTCAACTAATTTCCTCCGCCCAATCCATCCCACCTTCATTGGTTGAGCTTTCAGCCATTCATTCTATCTCTGCTCTCTGGTACTCCACCCTGGAGTCCCTCTACCTCCCCACCTTTTAAGCCTGCCTTAAGACCCATCCCTTTGGTACATATGAAAAGGAATTACTTCTGGTCACCTTCTCCCCTCCCCACTCAACAACCTCTTCCTGGGTACTGACAATGTGAACTGATCATTCATTAAAGCCTGGCCTATTCACCTCTTTTTGATGAATCCTGAATGACTAATGCCTCTAACACCAAATACCATTATGTCATTTTTATTGCATACTGTTTTTATACAGTAAGCATTCAATTTTCTCTGCCCAGTATTGGATGTTCCTGTAAGTACTTACATTTCATTTGAATTGCTTGTTATCACATTACACTGAGATTAGAAAACATACCGAGTTTCACAATTGTTCACTTAATAAAGGTGCATACATACTGAAGTACCTTTAGAGTTTTCCAGACTGTTGGGCAAGGCTACTGGAGAGATTGCTGAAGGAGTGACTGTAGAGTCCACACACACAGAGTTACAAAGGTTTTTCACTATTTTGGGATTAGGGCAAGGACATCTGGATGTGCACTGCTGTAAGAGCTTGGCAATGGAAGAGGCTGCATAATTCTGGACAAGTATGTTTTCTTCTTTCTTTGCTGCTTCCATTAAGGGTTTTATAACTGGATTCAGTTTTTCTGGAAGTTGCTGCAAATTAATAACTGCACAGGCAGCAAACATGTGAACCCTGAGATGAAGAGTTTGCCATTCTTGATTGGTCTCTGCTACAGTCATCTGGACCTGCTGTCGTTTACCATCCAACAGCTGCAGCACGTTGGGCATCAAACTACAATTTGAGGTTACTTCATTGAATATAGTTGTGACCTTAAAAATGTAAAAATATGTAACTTTAAAAATCACAAGAATTTAAATGGAACACTACTGCAATAAACATTAGAAAGTTAAACATTGTCTTAATTCTTTTTAAACGTCTTTCACATCTACACTCCTATCCAATGAGAAAAATATTATTTCAATTGATGACTACACTCAATTACAAAGTCAGGAATGGCAAAATGTCAACAACAAGGAGGGTCCCAATGGATTTTTTTTAAAAAAGGCTTTATGTTCCTGCAGCTTGCCCTGGTAAGTGGGAAGGCTAGGCCACGCAATTCCAATTACTTTTATGAATTTTTTGGTTTAAACTTAAAAAAACTTCCAATTTTCTTAAAATCTAAAATTATGGAATACATTTAAAAATCCTGGAGTGAAATCAAACTTAAGTTTTGAAGATCAACCAGAGCTGGAGTGTTTTTTTAAAAATTACATCTACATCAATTAAATGCCATCTTTTGTGTCATTTACATCTAACTTGTATACATTAACATTAATTTAGCTGATTCATTAGGCTTGAGTAAACCAAGATGTGTTGAAAATATTTAATTTGTGCAAGTGGTGTATCCTGTGTAAATCTTCACTTTGCCTCAAGAACGCTGTCTTTGCAGCCAAGTTCTCAGTCTTTTTCCAACCTTAAAAAAAATGGTTCCATAAAACCATATACAAACAACTTACCAATTCATTTGCTTGGTCTATTGTAAGCACATTATTATTCACTCGGTTTCCAACATCACAGTTTGCATCAGCCAATGATGTTATCAGCTGTTTGCATTCATTCTGCATTCGTGTGAATGGAATGGCTATCTCATCATAATAAAGATGTTCTGATAAAATTGCCATCAATCGCGGCTGTGCTGCATTGGACACAATGCTGCAATCCTGGAATTCAAATCATCTTGAGATTTAGTCAAAAGTCAATAACGTTTCGCATGAAGTCAATCTGACAAAAAGTGAAGAAAATATGTAGGAAAATGTATTCCAAGAGCATAAAATGCAAATCTAGCTATAAGTTCAAAAGCTGCAATGTTACAGTAGCACATACATGTCTGCAATAGCTTAATTTTTAATGTACTACATTTTTTTGCTTACATAGAAATATGAAAGGGATTAATGCACATAAATCATTCCCAGTATTGATTAAACTATAGAGAAATACAGAAAGAAAGAGAGCAAGAAAACAGATCTGTAGAAACTATCCTGCAATGAACATTTATGCAGCTTCAGACTCTGACAAGTTATTTGTTCTAAGTAGCAAATCTCACACAGGTGTTTTTCATCCATAGGTTTGTGGTGAGATGACCGAGTTATATCACATTCATACAACACACACTCTCTCTGCCAAGGCATTTGTAAAAGAGGGTCTTCAGAGTTCATTATTCCACCATAATGGGAAGATAGACAATAGGCTCAGGGGCAAAGAAAGTTACTCTTAAGACCATTTTCTTTTAAAACAGACTAAAAATCAGTTTTACCCTCAAGGGATTGATATCTTACCTTTTGCAATACAGCCCATTCAGAAATAACTAACGCCACAGCAATTCTCTGCAAAGCAGATTTTGAATTTAAATGGAACAGCAAAAGCTGGGCTAGGGATTCAGCTGGTTTTACTTCCTGGATGGTAGAATTAACAGTAGAATCACACATAGAACAGCAGAGGGCTCCAAGTAACCTTTAAAATATGAAAGAAACACACGTTAAACATTGTAATTAATTACATTTTCAGAAATAATTTTGGTAGCATACAAAATTTGGTATTTTGAATAAAATTAGAACCAATTTAATAATGAAGCCAAACTATCCAAAGATTACCTAGTTATCGATTTCAAACTATCCCTCAGGCTGTATATCGTATTACGCTTAACTCACAAAATACAGTCGATCCACTTTACAGTATATCCTGAGAAGCACTTCAAGACTTCTCAATGACAAAGTGCAATATCAAATGAAAGGATTATTATTATTTACCTTAATCCCAATTCCCTGCTCTTTCCCCACATTTTTATATGGTTTCTCTTCAAACAAGTCTAACTAAATCAAATTCCCTTTGAAATATTCCTAAAATCTGAACTTTCACATTCTTCTGAAGTTAAAAAGCAGCAAATATATATTGCAAAGGATTCAGGTTCTAATAAACCTATGTGAAACACCTTGTTCATGGAAACAAATAAAAAGTATACTGTATAACTGTGCAATTCCCTGTAAATTTTGAAATATGGTTGAGGTTATTACTTGGCTGCCATAAGACGTGTTCGAGTTACAACATAATCTCTGGTTGCTTGGTCCTCATTGATGGTATCTGAACCAGCAATAGACTCCTGTGTTACTTCTTTTGTTGGAGCTTGCCATTGTCGCTGTTTACTGCAAGATTTATCCTGCATCGAAGAAAATTGGTTACACAACACAAATTCAGATAAACCAAGGCAGAGAAGAGAACAGACACTCAGTATAGCGAGAGTAATTTTTATTGGTCAACTGGGTGTCTAACACTCCAATTCATCACCATGCTTAAGAGTACCAACATGAACTGAGAATTCTACATAAGAATGGAAATCTGTTTATCACATCCTCTCCTGGAGGGAGTGGACATTTTTGGTGAAGAAAACTTTAGGACTGACACCAGAAGTTTCTGTTTTATTCAACAACTCAACTAGATCAGCAGGAACGGTGGCTGAAATCAGAACATTTAAGCAGCTCAATGCTATACTGGGTTAATATTATGGATCAAATGGACCAAAGTGTCTTCTTCATCATCCAAACCCTTCTTGTGATGTTTTGAATCTCAACAGGCTGTTTAATTGAAGGGCATCACAGCAGAGCCCAATCCTGTCAATTAATTGATTTTAAAAAGACTGAGGGCACCCAAGTCACGTACAATAGTTTACCTTTGATTTGGCTTTGACCTCTAGCAGCATGTTTGAATCAATTGGCATAAGAGAAGGTTGCATCATTAAGCAAAGCCAAGCCCCCATCCAAGGACAAGCAGCGGCCACCACATACTGGACAGGGGCCTTTTTCAGCAACTCCAGCCACACCTAGAAGTAAGAAAATTGGAAGAATTAGCTGATTCTTTTTAAACATAAATCAGTTTAATTAAACTAAATAGAAATACATCAAACCCCCATCTTACCAGACTCCAGGTATCTGAATTCAGATTTAGCTGGACACCAAAAAAAAATATTTCCGTGGGGCAGAGCAGACGTAGACTCCTGCCTCTCTCCTAGCAGCACTATTGTCATGATGAGCACCTCACCATTCTTGCTGGCCTTCACAGTGGCTCGGATTGTTTGAATCCCACAAGCAGAAGATAACTTATTCTCTATCTTCTGCTCACAGGTTTCAAACAATTATATTTGAAAGTTTGTTTGTATAATAAACAAGAGAACTTTTAACTGCAGATGCAGAAATTCATCTGCAGCAATTAAATTATTTTGGTACTGATCAGATGGACCCAAATGGTCTTGCCTGATCTTGCACACCAACTATAATTTTTAATGACTTCAGAGAGACAAAACACTTTTCATATCAAATAAATCAGCTAACATTTAGCCAATTCTTATTTTGTCAGTAACTAGGAGTAGAAAATAGTACCTTTTGAATAAGTTCCAAAATTTCATGACTGCTTTCCAAAATACAGGATTGATAGATATGTCGTAGCATATCTTGCAAAATTGGAGTCAACCATGTCACACAGCTCTGAAACATGAAAAGAAATTGCTGGATGTATGTTTCATGTACATGAATAGCAATGCCATCTGTACAATAGAATTAAATACACCAATGGCAAAATAATCGGTTATATATTCTCAGTCAATATAATAAAGGAATACTTACCTCATCTTGTGTAGACAGAAGAGTGAATAATGTTTCCAAAGCTGCTTTACGAACAGAAGAAATAGTATGACGCAAAAATGGCCAAACACGGGGAACCAAAACAGTGAGCGATTGCTGGATACTGGCAATAAGAAAGTCAGTTTACATGATAAAAAAAATCAGTTCACATGACAAAAAAAGCATTCTAATACATTGGTACAAAATGCATACAGTAATTTTGTATATAAAAGGCACTATAACAAATGCAAGCATTAAAAGGATTATAGTCTTCTTGGCTGCAGGAAGAACTACTTTCTTTTATAGTTTATATTATCTATATCCCAGAACTACAAACAGATCATTAAAGCACTGCTCAACAGGTTTTACATTTTGATAAGATTTAAAATAAGGTGACTCAAAATGAAAAGCAAAAATAAATTTTTAACCTGATTAACCTGATTTACAATTTATTGAAAAATCTACTGTTATACAACAAATTTACATTTTTACATTCTGCTCATTACCTGTGCTGTTGAACTTGCCGATATGTCAATAAGGATGACAATAAAGTCATAATGCTATTCGTAGAAGCTGTAAGATCATCTAAGTCCAAAAGGGCATTCCATAACGTATTGATAATAAATGGTACCTAATGACAAATGGATAATAAGTTTCAAGCAATGTTCTCTCATAAAACAGTAAATTTACTTTTAGCATTAAAGGCAAAACAAGCTTTACTGGCCAATGTGCCTTCAATTAAATAAAAAAATAAATGCACCATGACTCAATACTAAGCATTTGCCGTTTCAGTTATACGAACACGCCTAATTAGCTAGTTGAAATGCTTTGGATCAAGCAGCTGACTTTGAATCAATAAACATTAATATTCAGCAGAGGCGAGTCACTGGGGAAAGAGAAACACATGCATGTTGGTAAGAAGGACCTATTTGTACAAGTACAGTGCTTTTTATTAATCCTCCCTGTTAGAGAAAAATGTTCAGATATGGAGAAGGGCAAGAACGGTGAAAATAAAATGAACTCCAGGTATTTCCACTTCATGCAGTTTCTTACTTTTGTTTTATAAGGAAACTCTTATAGAACTGGACAAGTGTAATCAGTTGGTGTAATCTTTCCCTTGGAGCTATCAAAACTCTTGCCAAAGCTTTTCTCTTCCCCACTTTTCAAGACATTCAACTATTTTCTCCGGCTGTGGTCGCACAGATCAGGTTCCTTGCTCAAGTGCTGTTAATGAGTGCCAGTGGATTATTCAATTGTAGACTGATGGCAGAAAAAAAATTACTGTTCTTACCCAATGGCCATATATTGTACCGTCAAGCAGGGATCACAGGAAAGCAAACAAGAATACGGACTCATTTTTTTCCTCCCTAATCTAGGGGCTGCTTGAAGTCCAGCTACTGCCCTTGCTGAGATCAACTAACTCACCAGGATTCTAATCTGCAACCTTCTAGTCTGTCTGGCTTAGTGCTGCACTGAATTTACTGCACTTTACCCACTAAGCCACCGAAGAAGCTGCCTACTTCCTATTTCAACATAAATATCGCATCAATGATCTATGTGGTTGCAAACATTTTTAAAGTGGTTTATTTAGAATTATATTATTTTAAACTTTTGTAGGTTTGGATGATATCTGAAGTTTGATTATCTATATTGCTGCAATATTGGTATTTTGAAGATTGGAATGCACAAATTGAAAATATACAGGGATAAAATATCTTTCTAGCCAAGCTGGCAATCTAAAGGCAGCAGCTGCATGGTCTTTATAAATTATTAGCTTTGTTCAAAAGTGTAGTAGACATGGCTCCAAAAGTATTTTAATTTTCTTTTAAATCTTACTATACCAACTGAGTTTACGTAAACCTGGGACAGCACAACTATTTTACATAAATAAGGTCACTTGGTTAAATAATTAGAAATATTTATAGTTTGATAGATTTTCTAACCAAAATGCTATTGCCTGTAGATTCTTATGTAAGCCTTCCTGTTGGCTCAGTGGGCAACTACCATGATTTGATATCTGGCCTGGGGTAGTAATGGAATTGCCTTCAATATTTCCCATCTTTGGGGTAGGGGCAAGAAAGGAGAAAATATTCATGTTCCCACTCGACTGCTGTACAATGACCCCTACAGAAAGTGTACTTGTGGACATCAGGTGACAGCAGGAAATGGGTCAGTCCACAGTTGAATAGCTGTCAAAACTAACTCTCCAGGATGAAACGGACGAATGAAAGGTTGGGTGAGATTCTAGCAGAAGTAACACGTCACTGATGGCATTACAATCATAATGAGCATTAGAGAATAGGCAGCTCACTTGGCTCATCTCTACCTTGTGAGCATCAAGCTCATACGCTCCACATTCAGCGCTCACCTCAGATGCTTTCAGATCTACTAGACTTTCCACAACTGGTACGAGCGCAGCTGCTGCTACTGCTCGAACATCATCATCCAAGTCCTGTAAGCCTTCGATTATAGCAGGAAGTACTTTTGGTAACAATGTCTCAATTAGGTCCTATAAAATACAAGCACCAGCATTTTACTACCCAAATGACCTGTGTTGGAATTCATATAAATTCAGGGGTAAAATAATGTATTAAATTTGGTTATCCACATGCATATTCAAATGTTACTGATTTTTTTCGTAAATGCCAGAGAAACAAGTTAACTTACTTGACGAATTGCCAAAGCATATTTTATTCCTAGAAGTCCACCATGTCTCACTTCCCACTGTTCCTGTTCCAGCAGTTTTAGAAGCACATCAACAGTTCCATGCACTCTCACCTCATTCATGTACTTTAACACAACTCCAAGAGTTTGAGCACAAGTCTCCCGCACAGGTGCAACAACCTGTAAGATAAAACCGAGTATAGATTGAGAAGAGTTTCTCCTTTTTCCTCCCACCTTTATTTAGGATTCTACATCAATCTTATTACAAGTAAGCTTTAACAATTCAGGATTTCACTCCTCCCTGATCAATTGCTTTTCCTTCCTCCAAATGGAAAAAAAATTACTTCCTGGAGAAGCAAAATACAAGCGGTCGTCAGGGATTTGAGTTCCGTTGGTGTATATATATATATATATATAAAAAATCTTTGCTTCCTCTGAATATACATCACAAAGGACAGAGTTTAAAAGTCTTATTGGTTAGTCACAAAATAAAGATTTATAGACGTAAAAATGAATAGGGACAAATGTAAAGAGTTGCCACGATGCAATAAAATGGCACAGAAGACTCAATGAACATACTTTTGTTCTTAACTTCAACTTGAAAATCATCAACTTTGTATTGAAACGAATTAACAGTATACTATTTTGGACACGAAACACACTGAAGCCAAAACCACGCAGGTGGAAGATGTTCCTACTTAAAACATAAAATCCAAATTAAGTGAAGAACAAAATGTTCACTAGCTATAGGAATAGTGCTTATTTAGATCCCAGTATTTCATAAAGAGCTTCAACCTGTTTCACCCCAAAAATATCCAGCAGTACTGCTTCATTAATACAGGTTAAAAAAACATTTGAAACACAGATAGTAGTGTTAGACGACTGAAATACATTCACATCTACAATAGCCTTGAGACTTATAGCTTTGATAAATTCTCAACTCCCTCTTCACTCAAAGTTTAAAACAAAATACAATTACATACCTCATCAGACACAAAATCTCCAAATCTGTCAAGTGCAAATACACAAAGTAGACGGATCGCCAAGTCTTCTAACCATTCCTGATGCTGCTGTTCAATCTGTAAAATACAAAGCCCATAATAAAGTCAAATCTTACTACAGTATAATGTTTCATGTCTTGACAGTGGAGGGGGGTGTTAAGAGAAGCAGAGCAATAACCTTACCCATATACTTATCTTGAACATTCCATCAATAAAAAATATATTATTCACTTAGGGCCAAACTAAAGTCAAACCTATTATAAGTATTATTTTACCTCAATTTTCACCAGGTACTGAGTTATGACCAAGGCAAGAATTTAATCCTTCATAAAATCCTTATGAAGGGTTGAAATCATAATCACTATAAAAAGTTATTTTACTATAACAACATACCACAAGCAAAACATGAACTTAGTTATCAAAAATACCACATGAGCCACATCTGTAGTTTTACCTCTTCCAGAGTGCTGTCTCCCATTTTACCTCCACTCTTCCCATGAGCTTTCAGAATCTCTCTCAACCCTGTTCCTGCACCATGACGAATCTGCCAGCAAGACAATACAGTTATAAAGTGATTCCATGCAATACATTGTTGAAGTGATAGTTTAATAACACTAGGGATGAAGAAACTGAAACATTAGTTAGGGGTACATGGACAGTCTTGTGTCAAACAAAATACACGGTTCTATAATCTAAGACTGAATTCAAGTTTACATACAAAGTAGTACAAATTTCTTGAGTTATTCATTGTGGAACATCACCCCCCCCCTCAACAAGCTCACAACAGTACCATTCCAAGAAGACTGTACACAAGTTCCCACTTTTAACTTTAAAACGATACCAATTTAAACTTGCATACAGTTTGTGGTTATTTAATGCAAGATTTGAGACAAGCTACAACAATATTCAGCAAACTTTATAACATTCAACCAGGTATATTTTTAAAACTAACATCTTTCTTACCTCCCATGAAGGGTTGAAAAGGTCATTACAAAGTTCTTCACAAAGGCTTTCCAAAGGCCATTCATTTGACTGTTGGGGGAGAAAAATATGAGATTTGTTTGCAAAAGCATATCAACATTTTCCTTCGTTTCATACAATTAATCAATATTGAACGTTAGTGGGTCATCATTCTTCATATTAGCTAATTAAATTGTTCCACATAGCAAGCAGATAGATTTAATATTATCATGGTCTCACAGTAAGAGCATCAATGTAGAAGATGTTTTCTGTTCAGAAACATTTAATATGAATATTGTTTATAGCAACACCATGACATTCTTCTCACCTCATCAAACAATGAAGAGTTGTGTGGTACATTATCCACCAACACCTTTGATTCAGTTGCTGACTGATCAATTACAACATTTGTAAGTTTCCTACGCTTTTCCTCAGGCTCCCCATCAATATTATCATTGCTGCAAAACAGTATAATACACTTGAGGCAAATTTAATTACAACTGCTGATGTATATTTTCAATTTCATAAAACAGGTTAGTTTGACATTTCCCTTATTAAATTTAATAAAGTGTTTCTAAACAAGAACATTTCAGGTAGCTAATCATTTTAATTGTATTTTCTACTCTACAGTGTATATTCAATCACCTTTTAAATAAAAACTCAAAATTCCTTCTGCAAAAGACTATATAAATAATTCTGAAGGTTTTAAGGGTAGAATTGTGAAAATTATACTGCAAGATAAAAAAAAATCCTTTTCATCTTCTTTACAAATGCAATATTATCTTTATAGCTGAAAACGTTTACCACTGTATACCATTTTAATTTTTTTTGCTTGTACATTGGCATTTATAAAGATTGCAAGGAATATACTGTATGAAATTTGTCTTACAGAATTATTGAAGTTACATTCTCATATCATAGCAAAATATCCAGATTACTGAATACTACATAATTTCAGATTTTTTCCAAGTAGAATTAAAATACTAAATGTTATTATTGATATATTATTCATCATGAAATTCAATAGAAGTTATCCAACACATATTCAAAAATATTCTGTATCTATAAATAAGACTTAGATACACTGCAAATCTGTAATATTATTTACAACAAGACATACCATTTTTCATTGTTTGCATTTCCTTCCACTGTATCTCTGGATCGTTGCTTAGCGAACAATTTAGCCATTCTCTTTGCTTTATTTTTCTGCCGACTACTCATACCTGGCTGAAATTCAGCTTCAATCAGGTCAGCAGCTTGCACAAGCTTTATTTTAAAAAAAACTCTGCATTAGCCAGGGATTTCAAGCTAACCTCTATTATTAACTCACTAAGAGAGTCTATATAGTATATATTAAGCCTTATATTCTTAGACAACATTAAGATATTACCAAAAACTTAAATATAATGCATTCTTCAAAATACAAGTTCAACATAGTACTGTATTAGAAATTCTGATAACTCACCTCTGGGAGAAGACATCATCCCCACAAAACTCATCACTCACTCTTTATCTCTCTGATCTCCTCCTACCATAACCCAGACAGGTGCATTCTGTCTTCTCGGGGCTACCGTTGTGCAGAGCACTTAGTTTCCACCCCTCAAAACCTCTGGAATTCCTTTCCTCTATCAATCTGCCTTGGCCCCTCTGTTTTGCTGCAAGTCTTGCCTCAATTCCCACCTCTTCGAACATGCCTATGACCATCTCCCTCTCACCTACTGAGTATCCAAACCCATGTGAAGCAGTCCTCAAGTGCCCAAACTGATGGACACTATATAAATTCAAGTTGCTGTTGTTGAGTAACACAACTCAGCATTGAAAGCAAAATATTTAACAGGAAGATAAAATTGATTCAATTCAGGTAAACAGGTGACATGCAATAATTTGTTATTGGACTCAGAGACTATATTAAAGGCTTATTCCTCACAAGTACAAGATTTCATCACAGTACACCTTCAGGAAAATAAATTGGGTTTGTATATCCTCAGCAGCCACTATAATGACAAAGAAATATATGCAAAGAATTCTACTATAACTAAAGGCCTTGGGTGTTGTGTTAAGTCAAAGGCCAAAACAAAAGGCAACTGCAAAATGCCTCCATCTGAAAACATTTTTTTCTGGACCCAAATACATCAGGCCTCAAAGCCAAGTGCAGTAACACTTGCAATCCATCATATGTGCATTACATAAATCAATGATATTCTTTTAAAAAAGACTGTATTTAGATGCTGTATTTGATTACATAGTTTAATTCGTGGCAGATGTACCACCGACCAAATCTGCATACGTGGCTTTGAAATCAGTTATTTCTCCAGGAGCATGCCATGGATAAACATATGGCAAACTGAGCATTCGTCAATCCCAATAGCTTGAGCTCATAAACTTAGGAGCACATTTTCTACAATGGGGAAGACTGTCTCACAAAAGAGAATCGATAGAAAATGGACTATGCAGTCTTCAGTATTAAAAATAAACTACAGAATACAAGAGCATGACGGGCATGCGGATGATAATTTAGAAGCACAAAGGAAAGCCAAACCCACTGCATGATTCCTTGAAGTCAAACAGCCTGTGGTTCTACCTACAGGTTGTTTTATTACTGGTGGAGCTGGAGGAGGATTATAAATGAGATCTTCATCATTAAAGAGCTCCTCCGTGTTCATTCCTAGAGCTGCTCCCATATCAAGACCCAACTTCTTCTGCAACAGTTTTCTCTGATGCGCTATTCTCTCCTTTGGGTCAACTTCTCCTGCAACAAAACAAATATTAGTAGTAGCTTTAAGGACATTTACCAAATCTCACCTTATAAAATAAGTTCATTAAACTAAAATTATGATACATTGTACTGGCATACTAGCCAAAATTCATAGAGTAGACTTTATAACAGTGGAGACTTCCAAAACCTCAAGAAAGATAATGATTTCCACTAATTGAGTGAAATGGAATGGCAAATAAGTATTTTGTCAAAAGACATAATTTTATAAACAACCACCATCATAAAGAGTGAAAAGTCTACAATGCATCTGAAAAGTTCCTTTTATCGCCTATGCCTTTGAAGGTGAGAAAAGCAGAACATAAGCAAATAAGCTGACACTACTCTTCTTTCCAATATGACATTTGACCAAATTATGATTTTTTTTTAAAAAAAGGGATTATTACCCCTGGCAATGTGATCCGCCAATCAACTAACAACCGGGATCCTATTTACAGCTAGGTAAACAGAGATGTGTGGAGTAAGAAACTTGCCCAATGTTTCGTCTTGCCCAGGAATCAAATCCAAGTACTCTGGCTTGCAATGCGAGTGCTCTAACCAATATACTACAGGACTCCACAAATCATATCAGGATAAATCATACAAGTACTATTTTCACGTCACTGTGTCTGTACTAATTTAATTGTGATAAACATACCTGATTTCTCATGTTGAATCTCAAACTCTACACCAGCAGAACCAAGAAGAGATGCTCCATGTTTCAAGAGACGTGAAATATCAAACCGGGTAAAGCTCAAACGATCTGAAGACGCTTCTTCCATTTGAGTTTCTGAACCAGGCTCTAAGAGTAAATTCAAAAGTATAGGAAAAATATTCCAGAAAAATAGGATGCAGTACTTCAATTCCATTCCACTCAGCATCTCATTCATCAATTTTCAAATTTTGTGTTTGCATCCAAAGCTATAAAAATGCACAACTGTAGCTTGCACTTCAAAACAGGAATTAATTCATTCTATATTTGTAGTAAAATACAAGGCTTTAATTATGCAACTTACTCCAGTGATTAGTTTTATTGTGGGAGATTCTTGATTTTTATTAAATATTGATTTTACAAGTCAAAGATAAATAGCTGCCTTCATTCCATCATAAAAGGGAAAAATATATACCTTGCTTTGGAGTAGGGTTCCATTCTGGCACATTCTTCACGATAGCTTCTACTGCTTGACCAGCTGCAATGCGCGTATCCCAATTAGGACTACGTAAATATGTTAACACCTGGATTAAACAAAACAGAAGTTTAAATATTTACACAAATTACTGTTCATAGAATTTTTTAAGCTCCATGTATTTCAAATGTATTCACTCTGCCATGGTGGGGAGGAAGAAAGACACATTCATTCGAGGAGCCCAATTGTAGACTGCAACAATTCTCTCAGATTTTCCTGCTCACATCACGGCCTCTCAGCTGTAGAAATGGGCCTATTCCCAAGCATTTCAGGTGGATGCTCCAGTGTATACAAATCATACATAATTCCTACATCTGTTCGTAATGAAAATTTTAACTCATAATTAAAGAAGAATATTATTGGAAAGACATGGGGAAGGACAAACACTAAAAAACATTATTACAGAAAGACAGCAGTAAGCGGGAAAGAGTAGGGGAATGGGGTGCCATAGATTACTGCAGTAGGCATCAAACACCAGAACAGACAATGGACCGAATAACCTCTTTCTTTGCTGCTGTAAACATTCAAGATTACACCTGTCTGCGATCTCATCTCTTTCTCAGTTTTTTCTGACATCTCCTCAGTTTTAGTTTTAGACTGACCATAAAGGCAGAACTGTTTTTCTCCTCAGTCCCAAGTTTACATAGTCACCTATTTGAGGAAAATATTAATTTGATGAAAATTAAACTTCTAATATAGTACTAATCTGATTCAATTTAATTGGCCAATCTTGAACAGCAAGCTATCATTTGGGTTACAAGATTGGTCCAATGAACTCAGACTATAAAGTTGTAAGTGCAGTAGCACATATAAAACACAAAAATCAAAATGACTTCACAGCTATTGTTAATTAAAAACAACACAAAGGATCACAATACTTGGTCAATGACAATGCAAATAGACAGACTTGCTTTTGTTGCATTGTAACTGCTATTCCAATTATGGAAACATGATGCCATATTTATATTAGAGAACTGCTTGAAGTAGAATTCAACCCAATTTTTCTGCAAGGCCAACTTTAGTGCCAGCACCAAATACATACTGCAGTATGCGATTTTCATTTCTGGCTGACAAGATAATAAAGGTCTGTAGAAGAGAAACTGAGAACTCCACCCTATTTCAGCCAGAAAAAAAATAGCAGCCTGCCTTCCAGTGACATACTGCCTCATAATGCTGCCTCAGTTACATTAAATACTGTGGCACATATTAATAGTGTTGCTGGAGTTGGGAGCTCCAACTGGAGCAATGCTACAAGGAAAATATGACTTAAATCAAATACTTCCAAATCTTCGTTTTCAATTTAAACTGGTGTTGCATCAATATTTTAAATCATGAAGGAAATCAGGAACAAAAGTCAACAAAGCAGACAAAAGTCACATCTAGATTTTTCTCAGTGCAAAATGCTGGTACCAGTATTGTAGTTGTCTGAATCCCATGAGCAGACGATAGCGAATACGTTATATTCTGCTCGCGAGATTAAAACGGAGTCAAAGTCGATCTCCCTGGACACTGAAGGCCAGCAAAGACTGAAGTGGTGGGGAAGTGCTAGGTCAGAGAGGTGAGAGGTCTACACATGGCCTGTGAAAATTTTGGGCCCACAGAAATGTTTTTTTTCAGGCACAGACTGGCTAGATACCAGGAATTTCCAGATGGGGTAACTGTACACAATCAAATCTGGGTACAAAGAAAATGTCAAATGAAGCTAAGAAAACAAAACATAGGCAAGGCGGAAGCTGAAAAGATTTTTATCCATAGCTGCAACTATATTCTTTAAGATTAATTTGATGATACTAATAAAATTATGTATAAGCATAAATGTTCTACTGTAGTTTAATCCATGCTAACATTAAACACCCCAAAATCAGACAGAGGAATGCAGAACGCTCCAAATTCTATAAATAAGCATGTTTCCAAATCACTGACCCTTTAGCAAAATATATTCTTCACCTGTAAAGGTATTGCAACATTAAATATACATGCACATATTTTAAGAGCAACAACAACTTGCATTTATATAGTGCTTTCACTTAGGGTAGAGACAGTGGCGAAACTTGACGCTGAGCACATTTCAGCAGACAAACGTCACAGGATAGGCACGGTCGAAGATGAAGTACTCCAAGCATGATCTGAAAACAGGGGAGGATGCAAGGCAGAGGGAATTTTGGGCAGGTCGGAAACTGTACTGGTGGACTCAAGTAGGGAGTGGAAGGAAAGGTGTGAGCAAAGTTGATTATCGACAACGTGTTCCAGAACTTTAGCAAGGAAGGGCAAGTTAGAAATAAGCCAGTAGTGTGTAAGATTAGAGGGATCAAAATTACTTACTTTGGATAACAGGTTGTGCAATTCATGAGGATGTAACTTAACTACTTCACCCAACTGTTGAGCTGCTGCTTTTCTAGTTACTGGTGTGGTGCCGGTGTCCAGTAAAATAAAGAGACGGTCAAGTCTATTTAAAAAGAAACATACATAGTCAGCAAAAAAGTGTTTTAATCTGACATGACACATTTCATAGTTAATTATTTTATAGAAAATGTTCTGCAAGGCATTAACACAACTAACATCAAGTGCTGTTTTATAAACAGGATTTTTGTCAATTTGTAAGGCTCTTGAAACAATAGCTGGCACAGCAAGGACAACAATCGGAAATACTGCTGAAATGGGCTTCTTTTTAATAGTGAATGATAACGAGAAGACAACGCTTGTACTCAATAGACAGTGATTAGTAAACCAATAGTCAAAGAACTATGTGGAACAAAGTCAAACATGTCTCTGCTCTTTGGTTTAATAAAATACTTTGCTGAACAGCATTCCTGAAAACTGTCTGAACTATTTTGACCAATATTTTCAAACATAGGCACACCATCGCCACTTTTCCTCAAATGAGAAGCTAAAACACATTCACTTAGATAGGTAAGGATTTTATAACTTTTAAACTGATGAATGCATTCTTTAAAATAAAATGTGGAGTCCTGTAGCTCAGTGGTTAGAGCACTCGTCTTGCAACCTGGGTTCGATTCCTGGCTGAAGTAAGTTTCCTTACTTCACACGCCTCTGTTTACCTAGCAGTAAATAGGAACTCAGTTATTAGTCGATTGGCGGATTGCTTTTCCAGGGGTAATAATTCCTTCAAAAAAATAAAATAAATACATAATGAATTGGTCACTTCAATCCACAACTGTTTGTGGGACACTGCTGTGCACAGTTGGCTGCCACATCTGCCCACAAAATATAGTCTTACAGCACTTTACAGTATATTCTGTGAAGCACTTTGAGACGTCTCAAGGACGTGATAAGGCACTATACCAAATGCAAGGATTATTATTATAAAGTAACAATCAGCAAACCTTTGGCGTTCAATCTGTTTCTGCATTAAAAAACACATAATTCCTCCTCAAAATTTTACTCTTTTACTGCTGCCAAGCTCCAACTACAACTTTCTTCTGGCATCATGTGTTGACATAACCATAAGTTCTTCTGCAGTGTTGTAAGACTTAAGTTGTAGAACTCCAAACTCCCCATTCTTCCTTTCCTCCCACGATTTTCCAAAGCAAAGCTAGGTATCACCAAGCCAATACTCTCAACTAGTTTTATTTCTCTTCAGCACTTTTCAATGTCTGGCACTATATGATCCTTGGACTCAACTAGGTTTCCTTAAATAAAACAGATTATAGAAAACAAGGCTGCAATTTAATATTTCATATTTATACATCATCCATATAACTTCTGTCTTGCGATTTGATTCATCTGAACGCCTAGAATATTTTACAGGTTCATTACTTCCAGTTATGCATCATTTCATGTATTTATGCCTTTATAAACTAAGTGATTTAAATAATAATAATAATTGAGGGTGAAATTACATCATGTCAGTCACAGTACAACTACCAAACAAAGAAGATTTAATACTGTAAATAAGTTACTGACAGATTTTTTTAAATATCAAATTCATGGTTTTAAAAATAAAGTCTCCAGATTCATAAGTTAGTATTGTAGCTTCAGCAATCAAATATCTGTATCGAGTAAACAAAAGGCAAAATACTGCAGATGCTGGACATCTGAAATAAAAATATAAGTTGCTCGGAACACTTAGCAGGTCAGGCAGCATCTATGGTGAGAAGAAAGCCAGTTAACGTTTCAGGTCGATAACCTTTCGTCAGAACTGGGGGATACTGGATGGGAGCAACTTATAGGGACAAACAGGAAAGGGGGCAGGGAAAGAAAGACAAAGGAAAAAGTTAGGTGGAGAATGACATTTGTATCCAGCATTTTGACAAAAGAATTTGACAGGAATCACTACATGCATTTTTAATCTATCGGATTGTCAAGGTGAACCGTAAAAGCGAGATAAATCACTGCCTCCTCGCAAAGGGGGAGGGGGGGGGGGAGGAAACAAGTATTACAGTAGTCCCTTTTTGTCCACATCCTAGCAACTAACTGAAGAATCACAAAGGAGTTGCAATAGAAAGGTAATGACATCTTCTGCTACAATGACACGCAGAACCATGGGGAGGAGAGGAGGGGTGGGGGAGAGAGGGGGGAGAGGGAGATTAGAATTTTTTTTTAAAAAACTGGACCTCTCCGGACCATCCCTTCCGTTCCGACGACTCAGGCTGGAAACCAACAAGTTTCCCAGAGCAGACAGTGCATGTCCTGGAGTCTGTTATTCCGGCTGTCCAGCACTTCAAACACAAATGAAGATTCAGTCCATCCCAATTAACACACGGGAGCATTCGGTTTCCTCGTCTGAGAGCATTCGACGTGAAAACGTTACACAGGACTCTTCTGCGAGACCCTATTTCCACACACATGGATTGATTGATTGATTGATTGACCGATCGATCGATCGATCTCTACGAGTTTTTTTTTCCGTCAGCGGAAGAAACAACAAAGGACAAGACGTCAACACGACGCCGGACCCCAAATGATTTTAAAACGTTAGAAACCAGTGGACTTCCACCCCCCACACAGCCGCCGAAAGGCTGAGATCTCAAGTAGACCGTAAAAAAAATCTAAGTGGCTCATCCAAAAAAAAATTTTAAAATTTTTTTTTAAAAAAAAATAAAAAAAATCAAATCAACTCCGAGGCAGTTTCTTTGAAAAGTGCACTAAGTCCCCGTCCCCCCCCCTCCCCCTCCTCCTCCGGCTGCCACCGCCGTGGCCGGTCGGCATTCCCGGCCAAGGCCCCCACGACGGGGATCGTCCAGAAGCTCAGACACTCTCAATAAAAGTTTCGACTCACACTTTTAACAACTAACGTGCGGGAGTCCCGCAAAGGCCACAAAGACGTGTCTGTGGTGAGCGGCCACACCGCCGCCGCCTCACCATCCACACCCACCCCCCCCCTCCCCCCACGGTTCAAACTGTCACTGGACGCCGGGCTCAGAAACGAGCAGAGAGAGGCCTTTAAACAACCTCTCCCCCACCCCCCCCCCCCCCCCCCCACACACACACACACACAACCGCTCGCCTTGTATTTCAACCTCACGAAGGCAGAGCGATCCGCCAACCCACCTCGACACCGCCATGTGGGCTTTATGGCATGAAACAAAAACGCCGCCGCCGACTTGTTCCGAGGCCGCGATCCCACCATCCGCCGGGACTCGAGCGCCAGGCGCCTGGTTCGATGCCCTCGACCAGGCCGCGCTGCTCAGCTCAGCTCAGCCCAGGCCCGAGCGGCGCTTTAATTCATCCCTTCGTGGCAGAAGACAGAGAGGGCGTGTTTTTTTTTCCCCTTTTCTCTCCCCCCCCCCACCACCACCACCACACCCAAAAAAAAGAAAATACCCTTTATTTCCGATCGGTATCAAACTTCGAACGGCTGCTCTATCGCACCGAGACCACCGGCTCACCCTCGGGGATCGGCCTGAACAGAAAGGGGTTTAAAAATTGCCGAAAATCGTGCTTTTTGCGAGGCGGGCGGAGCGGCTCGGCGCTTGGTTTTATATGAGGAGCCATCTTGCATTTATTCTTACCCGGTATGCCTCCTCGCGTCTGATTGGTCGCGCCGGGTTCCGGCGCCCAATCAGGATCGGCGTCTCTCCCGAGAGCGGCTCGCCTTCCTTGGCAAAGCGGCTGAGAGAGGGGAGGGGAGCCGCCGCCGCCGCCCCCGCCGCCTGGCGGTGAGCGGCCACCAGGGCACACGGTGCTGGGGGTGGGGAGTGGTGGTGGTTGGTTGCGCGCACGTCGCTCGCTCTCTCTTCTGGTGACACGACGGGAGCTGCCAACGTGATGCAGAAGGAGGCTGTGGCCATCCGGTGGGCGAAGCTGCTCGTTCGGAGTGACCGGAGGGGGTGGGGGGGGGAAGGAGACCTTGAAGAACGGGGACCGAATAGGTCGAGCTGCACTCCCTCGGAGATTAAGGCCTTGAGAGAGCCGCCGCCGCCGCCGCCTGGGCTGTCACTCCCTCCCCATCCTGTGCTGGGGGTGTGGTGGGGGGGGGAAGCGCTGCTGCAGCCCGAGAAACTGACTGCCATTCATTCGCCTTCGGGTGGGATGTTTAAAGTTCCTGTGGGACTCACCCGTACTCGGGATTATAATAATAATAATAATAATATTATTATTATTATTATTACTCGGGATTACTAAGTGAACCAACGAGACCGTGTGATAAGAAGAACAACTGCAGAAAATCGATGACGAATAGGCGGTCAATTCCCTTTGCAGTCTATTCTGCGAAGCGCTTTGAGACGTCTGGAAGACCTGTAAAAGCGCTCCGTCACTTGCAAGGATTATGATTATGATTATTATATTATTGTATAACGTGCGATAATTTTCTCGACTTAAGACTGCCCTTCTGGTCAAGGTGGTCTTGCGTCATCATCACCTATTCTAAAGATAATACATAAACCCCGTGTAAAACCTTAACGGTGGTTTATACGACACAGTCTAATTCTGCATGTCAGATACCTCATTCCTGGTTTGGTTGGATTCTGCCCGGTGTATTTTGAGCTTCAATTTGGGGTACATTGTCTCAAATGTACAGTGAGCTTTGTAATGTGAGACACCTGCCTACGGATAGCTCAACTGATGCCTCATATCAATTTTCTTTTTTTTGTTATTACACTGTATTCGCAAAAGATGAATCAATCTTCATTGAACGAAAGGCACATTGAACTTCATTTCACAAGCATCATCTCCCTGAAAACGAGGAGGAGTTACTGGTTTTCTGGCTAAATTGAATAACTTATTTGCTCATATAAATATGGCAAGTTTAAGAAAGAGCAGCGAACTATGTTGAGGGGTGTAATTCATTGAGTGTATCTCGGGACCAGGAGCAAATATGGGACGTTTGAGCAAAAGAATTGTATTCGAACATGGAACTGAATTATTGATAGTACAGCACATAAGCAATTCATTTGGCCTAAAGTGCCGTTGCTGGTACCAGCTCCTCCACTGGGAGGCCCTGTCCTCCTGCTCAGAAATGTATTCTGTGTTTTCAATCAAAATACCACTCCGAAGAAAACAATAAACGTTAAATTGGAGGTGAAAGTGCCAAGGCCGGAAATTATGTAACATTTTATTTAAAATGTAATCTTGGGAACCTGTTCTAAATTACTCCGATGAGTATTAACCTCCTTTTCAAGAAGAAACAACGAAAACAAAATCCCAAGGCAACCTTGAAAAGCAGCAACAAAATGATCAAGTAGCGTCAATGGTAACGGGAGCAGTAACAGGAGCTTCTTACTGCTGCGTCTTGGAGCCTTGGATTTGGTGCTGTGAGTTTCCAAAGGCGATCGCAAAAAAGTTTGCCTAAAAAGATTGAAACCGGCAGGTAAAAGTTCATGTTCAGGATGCACTGAAGCCTATCTCTACTTGTTTATGTCTGGTAGTTTCATGTTCAGTTACTTAATTTGCTTTTATTTCTCAACCAATGGCTTTATTTTAATTTTAAAAAAAAGACCAGCGTTGTTGGCGAGCACCCAATAAACCCAGCACCATTCTTAGCGATTGTATGGTTTTGTTAATTTTTTGGTTGTTCTTCCAAACCGGTTTGTTTGATTTTTACATGCCAAGTTCACAGGGGCAGCAGATTAACTGACTTCCTAGTATCCAGTGGGGCTGTTCCTCGGCTTTGCGAAATATGCTATTCTAAATCATTTTTTTTTGCTTGGGTTCACCAGGCAGCGTATATGAACTCTTCCTAGATTGTACCCAGAAAACTTTGGTATCCACTAGCCACTTGATGCCTTCTGGAACTGGTGGATAACCCTATGTCAGGTATGTAGCTGTACTATACCTTGTTGTGCAATTAAATGTGTTGCTCTGTTTTTTTCTTTAAAAATCTGTTTGGACAGACTGTCCTAAGTTATACAAGTTGAATTTGTACAATACTAATAATAATCCTTGCATTTGATATAGCGCCTTATCACGTCTGCAAGACGTCTCAATGCGCTTTACAAAATATACTGTAAAGTGAATTGACTATATTTTTTGGTCGAAATGGAGGAGGAACACATCAATTTTTCTGTTTGTTTCCCAATATCAACTACTGGGTAGATTTGCCCAAAATACAATACAAATCTTGTTTAGGGCATTGTTATGCTTATGTCACAAGTCTTCCTTTTGAGGAGCTTCAAAATGAATTATTCAACTTGTTCTCTCCCCACTTTTTCTTTAGTATCTTAGAAATTAAGCATATACAGTTTTCAGTGTGTGCCAATTTCTGATGTGATTGGGAAGAAGTTCTTTTGAAATGGCAGCTTCCACTTTGACAGTATCTGCTGAAGCTCAAAGATTAAAAGAAACTCGGAGGAAAAAGAAAGAGGTAGAAGAACAGAGAAAGCTGGGCTTGGTACCAGCTGAAACTGACGAGGATGGCAGGTAATTTATACTTACTTTCTGGTTGGAGATGTTTTAATATAGGAGATAGTATACAATAAAGTGACCTATTTCAGAATCTTTATTTTAATTTAAATACTGCTATTATCTTTGCTTAAAATATAGCCCATTCTTTACAAATCTGCGAGGCTCACAACATTTTTGAAAATCTTATTGATAACAAGAGCAATAAAATTTTACTGTAAAGTCTAGTGACTGTGTATTTTGTAGATAGACATTCTGAGGTTGTAAAAGGGAGAGTTCATTTAGATTAGGTTCATGATTCAGGTTTTAGGCATCATTATATTATTATTATTATTATCAACACTATTTAGGTCAAAAGCAAAATTTACACTTCAGTGATTGTTCAAAGAACTTGACAATTAATGTTTGGATTTTGCTCTTTAGCTTTTCAATGAAATAATCTTTTTTCTAATTAAGGGATATAAATCCACATATTCCTGAGTATATTTCGACTGTACCATGGTATGTAGACAGCACAAACATACCTTCTCTGAAGCATCAACGCCCTCACCTGGAGAAACAAAACAACTATAATACCATAAAAGATTGGTACATACACAATTTGAAGGTGAGTATGAGCAGATTACTGTATATAAATGCAAATTGCAGATAAAATATCTACCACACTAAATCATATATTGTTATACCATGTAGGTACCCTGTATCCATAAACAATGTCTTAATTCTTTCCTGTCCAGATACTTCTCTTCTTTGCATTGTGAATACAAAGTTGCTAATGGGGAAAAAGTCTAAACCTGGTAGCAGAAACATAAAATTTTTGTTTAATTTGTTTAGGGTAATCAAACAACCAGATACAGGAGAGGGGCGTGTGAAAATTGTGGTGCTATTACACACATGAAGAAAGAATGTATGGAGGTAGACGGCTTCATTTTCTTTTATTAATTTGCATGTTACAAAAATTCAGCTATTGGTTTAGATGTACGTTCATTTACATTTGTTGTCCTCTGCAGTTTTTCTATTGAAGTCAACCCATGCTGCTGCTGCTCTCTGTGGGCGTTAAGACGTGTTGAAATTGGATATGACGATTAGTTGAAATGAAGGCATTTACTGGACAGGATATTGAGTGCCTGTAATGCATTCTGTACCTGGTTAGTGAATCACAAGACCTGTGAGCAAAGCGTATATAGGATATCTACTCCATTTTGTGATCAGATTTATCCAGGTTGGTTAAGTACAACTAGAGTTGCGTAAAGCTAGAAGTTAAATAGCATTTTTCAAATTTCTGTTGAGAGACCTTTACCTTCGCTAATTGGCACCTTTGTTGATTGGAATCAGTGCACATTGTGCAAAATAAAATGCACTAACCAAAATTTCTTTCATCAGGATTTGTACTGTTACTATTACACCATATTCTTCTCTCTCCCCGCCCACACATACTGTCATCCCTTCTCTCTTCCCACATATTGTGCCAGTGCAGCTCTGTTTCTCCATCTGTCCCTCCAACAATCTCTCCGTTTGTCTTTCTGTCCATTTCGCTTCTCTCTCTCTCTCTCTCTCTTTCGTTCACTGGCTCTACATCACAAGAGAAATTTAGATGAAGTAACATGGGAAATTCTGAAAATAGCTGCATTCTTGCAGAGGCCAAGAAAAGTGGGAGCGAAGTACACTGCAACAAATATAGCTCCAGATGAATACACTCAGCCACAGCTATTCTTTGATTACGATGGCAAGAGAGACAGATGGAATGGTTTTGATCCTGAGCAACAGAAGAAGATCATAGCAGAATATGAAAAAATTAACATTGTAAGAAAATTATGGAAATTAGCAATTTACAAACTTCAGAAATCTTTATTATTTGTTACTAGTTCTATTATTGTCTTGTCTTTGTGATCTTTGTACAAATACAATCACGAAAAATGACACCTTTCTCTGACAACTTTTGGTCTCTGAATAAATTCTGCAGTCAAATCTTTCATTATTAAAAAAAACTGTAAATAAATGTATTATTAACTAATAATTTTAATAAAAACATAGATACATTGATTTCACATTAAAACAAACTCAATGGAAGTCTTACATTTTTACAGATAAATCTTTATTTTGTTATCTATAGTACATAATTACATCCTTTTCCTTTCAGTTGGATTAATTTTGGCTCAAGTAGCCTCAGTAAATTTCGTGTAATTAAAAATATGGGTAGTTTATCAAATTAGACGCGTAAATATTTCATTCGTCTCATATCTGGATTTTATGTGGCAGACTAGGAGAGAGTTAAAAACAAGGAAAATTCAGGAAGAGGTGTCAAGTGACAATGTACCAAACAAAGTGGTGAGTGTTTACGAATTCTTAATGAAAGATTATTTTTCTGCAATTCTACATTTTACCATCTGTCCAGGCTTCCAGCCTATTTCAAATCAGTGGTGAGTACTTTTTTGAATGTTATTTTTAATTGAATTTTCCTTCTAAAATGGAATAAGCAGTATTTGTTAGTGAAAACATAGTCTTGAAATTAAAATTCTGGTTGGTCCTTGCTCCAAAGTTAGGAGTTTAGTGTTGGGAATCAATCAATTAAACTTATTGGTAAAATGATCCTTTATTGCATACCTGCAATTTTTTAAAATTTAGTTAATATTATTAAAATATTAGTCCCTTATACTCTGGTAAAAGTAATGCATCATTTTCCCTGCATTTCGAAGCTTTGAATAAACTTTTAGCTAACTAAATTTTGTTTAGCAACTATTGCGTATCAGCAAATATTGGTGGTTTTGTTGCCATATTAGAATCATATCTTAATTCTTATCTGGATCCAGGTATCTTTTTGTGGAATGTGAATTATTCGGTAATTTTGTATCTTTTTCTCCTATAGCAAATCAGTCACGAGGAGGAGGAAGAAGAGGTAACTTACACCACTAAATGTTATTCTGTATTTTGGACAATAATCTATCTTCATCCTGGGTTTTACCTGAGATTGCAAGTAAAATGAATGAAAGTTTTATACTTTGTCTCGGGAAATGGTTTCCCCTCCCACCCACCCTCACAGTCACTTGTGGCGTACCCTAAGGCCCTATCCTTGGGCCCCTCCTTTTTTCATTTACATTCTTCCTCACAAATTAATTCAGGTTACTTGTATTTTACTAATTGGGTGATGACATTTATTATTTGTATTGCACCTTCAGGATGCGGATGACAAAGATAAGGATGAAGATAAATATGCAGATGAGTTTGATATGCCTGGGCAAAAAGTAGATTCCAAAATGAGAATTACTGTCCGAAATCTACGAATCCGTGAAGATACAGCTAAGGTTGGTAGATTCATTTTAAGTTAGGAATGCTTTTTTAAATGCTCCAATTGATAATAATAATTCTTGCATTTGATATGGTGCCTTATCAGGTCTTCGAGTCGTCTCAAAGCGCTTCACAGAATATATTGTAAATTAATTGATCATGGGGGAAACGCAGCAGCCAATTACGCACAGCAGTCTCCCACAATAATAGAAGCTACTTCACTATTTTTGTTTTTTTAATTGCAGTACCTAAAGAACTTGGATTTGAACTCTGCTTATTATGACCCTTATTCCAGATCAATGAGAGAGAACCCATATGCTGCTTCGGGAAAGAACTCCAATGAGTGTGTTATTAGATTTTCTTTTCATGTTTCTTATGGATTGTTTTGATAGTATTTTTAAATGTGTAAAATATATTTTGGTTCTTCAAACGGGTAGACCTAAAAGCAATATCATTTTATCAGCCTGCTGGCATTCGATGTCTTGTGTCATATGTGAATGGCCTTCCCTTGAAAAAGTGACTTATTATTTAAAATGTGAGGGAGGTCATTGCTGGAGAATGCAACATTTTGACTCTGTTAGCATTGGTGATATCCGGCCTGGAAGTACTTGATATTGAATAGCACAATAGCATTGATATTGAGCAGCAATCGGAAGCAGGAGCCTGGTTAAAAAATCCTTGTTAAGAGGAACAACATTGGTGATGTCAGCTTCTAATAGGACTTTCTCCATTAAAGTCACACCTTGTTGACATCGCTGTTCATGTGCACTTTACAGCTGGGGGTCAGTAAATAACAACAACAGTTACATTTGTAAAGCGCTTTTCACATCGGAGGGCGTCCCAAGGCGCTGGATAGACAGTTATGGATGTGAGCTGGGGGTCAGGGTCAGGGAGGTTGGAGGGCAGGGGGGGAAGCAGGGAGATTGAGGAGGGTTTTGAGATGGGCCTTGAAGGTAGGAAGGATCTATGGCTGTATTTTTTACACCCTAAGCTAGTGACACTGAAGCAAGTTGAAGCAAGCTTACTACTGCATTCTCTGAGAATGGCTGATTTAATACCTACCATTAATTAACTTCTCTGTCAGTAACATTGCAAGTAAACTAGACAGTGTCTTTACCGATTGAAAGTTAGAAAGTTCCATAATGGCTTTTTATTGTATACCATCATGTGAAGGAACTGTGTTTCAGTCCATTCATTTTTATACATGGCTACTGTTAAGCCATGCTTTTATACATGGTTTAGGAATACAGAATAATTATGGATGTAAAACCCAATAATTAGGCATTGTATAAGCTACAGTGTCAAGCATCTTATATGTAAGCATAATGATTTTACAAAGTACATTGACATGAATTTATACTTTCATAGAAATGGATACATTGCTGAAAATGTTTTGCGATTAATGGGTGACGCCTCCACGATGGCTCAGTCACAATGTATGTATGAAACTTAAATGAATTTCATTCTTCCTTGCGTACCATATGTAATTTAGATCTGAATCAACACTTATGTTTCTCTTTAAGTATTTGCCTGGGAAGCCTATGAGCATGGAGTGGACGTGCATCTCCAGTCAGATCCCACCAAACTTGAGATGTTGCATAAATCATTCATAATGAAAGATGAAGAGTTTAAAAAGGGTCAACGGGAAAGCATTATTGAAAAGGCAAGTAGATGTGCAGTTTAATTCTTACTGTTACATTATTAGCAATAACAATAAATTGCATTTATGTAGTGTCTTTCACATCGGAGGATATCCCAAGGCTGTCGACAGTTGAGGGTTTGATATAATAATATTAAGATATTTCATTTTTAAAAAAAAAAGTTTATTCAAGAAAAAAGACAAATGTTTTTGGTGTGTTTTTTAGTATGGAGCGCAAGATTATTTGGAACCACCCTCAAGAATGCTGCTGTTGGCTCAGACCGAGGAGTACACAGAATACTCCAAGCATGGATTTCCCATTAAAGGGCATTTAAAGGCTATTGCTAAGTCAAAATATGAAGAGGATGTGTACGTTAACAATCATACAGTAAGCAAGATTTTTGTGCTGAATGCATTTTACAATGAATTATAAGATTAATAATAGTAAACAGAACTAAAAATAGAGCATTGATTTAGGTTATGTTTGATGTTTCTGCTTCCTGAAGCTGATCTGTCTCTGCCTGATACATCAGTACAACAACAATGTCAGTTCAATGTCATCAATTCAAAAAGATACATCTCAATTTTCAGTCCAAGAAAGAACAGATTTACCAAGAGTGTTACCAAGAGGGTCCAATGTTGTAGAAAAATGATAGTCTAATCTTGTAAAGATATGAATGAATGAAACAAATCCTGCAAAGATTTGAACGATGTGTCTGTAATATCGGTTACAAAACTATGTGTGGTTAGTAACTGCATCCTGTTTTGTGATTGGCTATCAGTGTGAGAAGTCTCCAGTTCACAGTCAATACCCTAAAGCTCGACATATTTTATTAATATTCACTTCTGCTCCATTACATAATCACATAATGTTTTGTGGCATAGTTAACCAAATATACTGTTATTTTCTGTTTAGACTATATGGGGTTCATATTGGAAAAATGGAAACTGGGGATACAAGTGCTGCCATTCTTTTGTCAAGCATTCATACTGCTCTGATGAAAGTGGTAGAAAAGCACAGGTATGAAACTGTACATAAAACTGCATATTATATTTAAAATCAGGCCAGCTTACTTTATAGTAAAATCTTGTTTCTTTGCAGGAGATAATTGACCTGATGACTTCTCAAGAAAGTTTTCCATGTGTGGTGAAGCAACATTTGACAACTAAATGTTCACTGGAAGTTAGTCCCTCTTTGAGCAGTGTAATCATTTTTCAAATCATAGTTTTACATTCCTCATATTCCCTTCAGTAAATGTTTATACACATTACAGAATGTATAATAGAGTGGAATGTCTGTGTATGTTGTGCTTCAGCTTTTGAAGATGTTTCTTTTTTTAAAAAAAATTAATTTTTAAAAAAGTAAACTAAATAATTTTCTTAAAATATGTTTTGCATTTGTTTGATTTGTAGGCTTTTCCTGCAGAGGAAGAACAGTTAAAGAAAGTGGATAAGCTAATGAGACTAGATGAGCGAAAACGGCCTTACAATTGCATGCATGATGGCAAGCAATCAATGGAAGCAGAAATTGAAGCCTACCAGATAAAGCGACAGAGACCAGAGGACCCGATGTGTGCCTTTCTTGAAAAAATCTAGAGCTTGTCTGATGTGATTTCTTCATTCATTTTATCTCACGTTTTTCTGCAGTTTTTAAAAATAATCTGTTCCAAATTAAGACAGAATTTAAGAATTTTCCACAATTCTGAGCAATCATAAATTTTATAAAATCGTCTCACATGCTAATTTCTAACTTTCTATGTTTAACCCTTTCTGGATTAACATAGTGCGCACCAGGATGCACACAAGCAGTATGCTTCAACAATTTTTTGATTTTTTTTTTTAACCAGAATTCAAATTAATTTGAGATTCTCTTGATGCTTTCCATCATAGGTGCAAAGTGGAAGATTGTTGTTGAAGCTTCATTTCGTGTGTGATATCACAGCCCATCTAAACAAAGTCAACTAGATTCTGGGGAGAGGGAAGAAAAAAAATTGCACAGGCTGATTTATTTTAAGGAATTTATTGTAATATTACTTGACTAGTGGGTCCCTATGAAACTCAACAGGATTAGTTCATTGATTTGGTCAACTTAGAATATTATAATGATAAAAATCAATTTGATTGACAGTAAGAATTGAATGGAATTACAGAAGTAACCTTTCACAGGGTACTGTATATTGCCTTTCAGTTCATGTACAAAATAACATTAAAGTTGACTGAACATTTGTGATGGACAGTGAGTTCCAGACACACAAGCAATATACAATATTAGATACACTAAAAGTCTAATGATTTTTATTTTAAAAAATGTCTACAATCAGTTGTGCTTGAATAGAAACAAACTGGACACAGACAATGAGTCTATATTCATACTGATTTTACAAAAAATGAGTGTACATTTCTACTTTCATCTTACTTCGTACTAATAAAACCAGCACATCTTTACATCTACACAGTTCTATGTCCATGTAACAAGTAAAAGGCATTTTAGAGGGTTCATGGTCCTTCAATATTCATTTTTGAAAAAAAACAGTATGGAAAAAGCCTAGAACTGTAATGAAAAATATGAGAAGTCTTTACCATACTCAAAATAAAAAAGTTGAATATACATTAAAGTTAGTGATTTAGTTCCATTCATATTCATGAAATCTATCAAAATTATCATAGCAATCGCTGCCTACTTCACTTAGGCTGGGACCGTGGTCAATTGGGTGACCATGATTATAATCACGTGTAAAGGCCGGAAAACTTGCAGACCGCTGTGGTTCTAATTCTCTTCTGCCTGAAATGGAATACGATTTTCTCTCAAAATCGTCTCTAAAACGATCTTGAGGTGCGGGTGGTCTGTTGGAATATGGTGCATATCTACTGTGCACACGTGAACTTTCTTCTGAGTTACGTATCGCTCTATGTTCGTTGAAATGGTTGGACCTGGGAGTGGGGGAGTCAAAAAGAACCAAATCACTCAAATGCAACTGTATTATATACAGATTTTTCTGCATCTACTTTTGTGTGAAAGTTTCAAACCAATGTCCAGTTTGACTCATTCACATTTTTAATGCTCAAGTACCTTGAACGTCCATTATATTCCTCTGGAGGGTAGTCATCAAAGTGGGGAAGAGGTCTGCGCTCCCCATAAAGAAGTGAAGGAGGAGGAGGTGGAAGTGGTGGAGGAAGAGGTCTTGGTCTAGAAATTAAATTACCGAGAACAAATTTCAGAAATAAAATCTGACACTAAAAAAAATCTTTCAACAAGATTCCATTCCATTCAAATGTGGATTAATAGTACTTGATCCAGAGTGGAATTCTTCAGCAAATGCTTAAAACATTATGCAGAAAAAAGAATAATAAATGTAACACTGCTTAGTTTCTCCTAATATACAAACTGGTCCATCAAGCAAACATTCTAGTTTGAATAACATTCACATTAATATCCTCACCACCTCCACCCCCAAAAAAATAGAAAACATGAGATTCGTTTGCTTTCTTACTAAAGAATATTACAATGAAGTGTGTTTCTTCAAAGGTTAACCAAAAATTAGCAATTATTATTAGCAATGTTGTCCAAGAGCTGGACCATTTTGTCGTCGTGATTCAGGGAGACACAGGAGGGGATAGAGGAGGGCAAAACATGACACCGTAAAGACAATAATAATGTATAAAGTGCAACCATAATGATACTGAAAAAGAAGCATCACAATCAGAAAACATCCTACCAATCAAATTCCCATCAGACCCTGGGTAATACACTCTAAGATGTAGCTGGAGTTTATTAAATATATCTGTTAAAAATTAATATAGTTTTAAAGTTTGCTATACATTGCAAAATTGACCTGCTTTGCTTTTAGAATCTTCAGTGCTCAGACTTACCATTGGCTGAAAACTGGCTTTTCGAGCTGTTTTTCAGCTAATGGAAGCCTTGCTGGAATTTGTCTCCTCCCCTAAAACGGACAGGGAGAGAGAGAAAAAACAACCCACTGTATTAAAGTATTTTAAGGTTAGCTGTTAAGAAAAAAAAGACAAAGAAAACAGAGAAAAAAATCTAAAATAAAGGATAGGAAGAGTGAAAAAGAGAGAAATGGGGAAAGCTAATACTGGGTATTGTATTTTAAGTGTTTTAATTGTACAGGGTTGATATTCTCACGTTTGAATAACATTTATTAGCATTAGTGTGTGAGCTTAAAATATACAAAATCAACAATTGAAATAAAAATGTAAAGTCTTAAATGCAAGTTACCTTTCATGCCACCTGTTATAAGGGGGAGCATCAAAGTCTCGAGAAGGAAGAGGTAGGCGTCCATAAGAGGGCCCGTGTCTTGAACCAGGCCTGAATTCAGGAGAAAGCGGGGAAAAGCAATAATCATGTTTTATTATTTTCTGCACAAACTATAAATTCAAAGACAAAAATAAACACAAACCAGTCGATTACAAATCCACAACTTTTTGCAGATTACGAAAGACCAGTATGACTTTTTGAGTAAGACTTGTCTACAAATATAAGGCGATTAAAGGATAATATTGGTATGGACAGAAGCCTTCTTACCACTTACCAGCCAGGTCTCAGAGCTAAATGGAAACCATGACATAAATCCATATTGGTTATAAACAAAGTAAAGGTTATGGTGCAAAATTGAGACTCCAAATCTAAATTTACAACTTCATAGTTGCTATAAATTGCCAATTCCTCAATTATCTACATATGTTCATAAAATGTCTGTTCACCAGCAGCAGCAGACCAGACATTCACAACAGGACTGCTGTCCAAAGGCTAATACAAATGCAAGTATTTCCATCCTCTTTCTCTCCTACACATTCTCCTGTAAACATAGCTTAAAATTAACCAGTGATCAAATACAATTTTGGTTGAAGTAGTTCATATTAGTATCTCTATGCTACATATAAAAAGGAGATTTGGTTCTTTACCCGGGATAATCATCGAGTAAAGGTCTTGGACCATGTGGTCCTTCATATGAATATGGCGAATATGGATCCATTGGTGAAGGTTCTGGCTCTGGATCAAACACGTCCATTCCTAAATTACTGCAAAAGATTAAACAAAGATAAGCAAGTACAGGTTAGTGTCAATTCTAGTCTTCACCTCCCATAATTTTTGCATAAGTTTTGTACTGAAATATTTGTCTTATTTTTGAATGAGAAAAAAATTGGCAAAATATCTTGGTGAAATATTTGTGAAAGATAACAACAACAACAACTTGCACTTATGTAGCATCCTCCATGCAGAGTAACGTCTCAGAGCTGGTCGTAAGCACGGTTGAAGAGCAAGGTTTTCAGGCGGGACTTGAAAAATGGGAGGGGGCAAGGCGGAGGGATTGAGAAAGTGTTCCAGAGTTTCGTGGCATAGTAGCTGAAAGCGCGACCTCCGATGGTGGGGCGGAGGATGCGAGGGATGAGCAGGAGGCCGGTGCCAGTCGATCAAAGGCGCCGAGTGGTGGGTTGGGGAGTGAGGAGGTCGGAGAGGTAGGGAGGTGCCAGAGAGTGAAGAGATTTGAACACGAATGTGAGGATCTTGAAGTCGATCCGTTCGGTGATGGAGAGCCAGTGGAGCCTGGCCAGAACTGGTGGGATGTGGGTACGAAGTTGGGTCCAGGTAAGAATGTGGGCGGCAGAGTTCTGAATGAGCTGGATCTTTTGAATAGTTGAGTAATCCAAGCGGGAGGTGACAAACGCATGAACAAGGAATTTGGCTGCATTTGGGGTAAGGTACTATCGAAGGCGAGCAATGTAGCAGAGGTGGCAAAAGACGATCCTGGTTAGAGACAGGATGTGGGGGAGGAAGACAGCAGAACCAGATGCCTAGATTGTACACTGATACTGTGAGTGTGAGGGAGAGCCCAGGGAGGTTGAAGAGTTCAGATCCGTAAGAATGAAGAGGTTGACAGGAGCCAAGGAGTATGGCTTCCGTCTTGTCCACATTCAACTGCAGGAAGTTTGCATTCATCCAGGCCCTGATCTCTGCCAGATAAGCTGATAGAACATTGGTGGAGCTGGAGTTGGTACTGGAGGAGGCAAAGCTGATTTGTGTGTCATCCGCATACATGTGGAAGTTTACAGATGACGTTGCCCAGAGGGAGCATATAGATAAGGATATAGATAAGAGGAAACATGCTCAAGATAAAGAGGATGCAGCCTAAAATTGTTCCACTGTGCTAATGCAGGCTTGTGATGAAGAGAACCATGTGCCAGAAATTAGCAGTGAGTAAAGCAAAAAAAAAGTAGTACATTCCCATTTGGTTTTAATCTAGCTGAAATCTTTCTCACTTAATAACAGAACAGGAAAGACAGAGGAGGAGAAAACCACAAACTAGACCATCCCACCCTTTTAGCTGGGAATAGGATGATGGTGAGCAACAACAACCAACAACAAGATTACATTTGTATAGCGCCTTTCACGTCGGGAGGACGTCCCAAGGGGCTGGACAGAGTACAGCATTTCAGACCCAAGTTGGGTCTCAGGTTGGGGAGGGGAGGGGAAGGGGGGTGGCCGATCGCATGGTCGAAGAGGAGGGTCTTGAGCCGGGAAGTGAAGGAGGTTAAAGAGGGGGCGAGATGGAGTGACTGGGGGATGGAATTCCAGAGGTTGGGGGCAGAGTGGCTGAAGGCTCTCCTGCCAATGGTGGGGCGGATGGGTCGGGGGACGTGGAGCAGGCCAGAGCCGGCAGAACGGAGGGAACGGGAGGTTTGGTAGAGGGTTAGGAGGTCGCAGAGGTAGGGTGGGGCGAGGCCATGGAGGACTTTGTATGTGAGGACCAGGATCTTGAACTGGATCCTCTGAAGGATAGGGAGCCAGTGGAGTTGGGCGAGAATGGGGGAGATGGGGTCACGGAGTTTGGTGTGGGAGAGGACACGAGCTGCAGAGTTTTGGATTATCTGCAGCCTGTGGAGGGTGGAGTTGGGAAGGCCGACAAGCATAGTCGTTTGCATAGTCGAGCCTGGAGGTGATGAAGGCATGAACAAGAGTTTCAGCGGCCTGAGGGGTGAGGTAGTGGCGGAGTCGGGCGATGTAAAGGAGGTGAGGGAAGGCAGAGCGGGTCGCGACTTGAATGTGGAGGAGAAAAGACAGTTGAGGGTCGAACAAGACACCTAGGTTCCTGACTGGCTTGGTGAGTTGTAGTGTGCAGCCATGGAGGTTGATTCTGCCAGAGCCTGAGGTGCTGAGGCACCAGCACCTCTCCCGCACCAAACTCCGTGACCCCATCTCCCCCATTCTCGCCCGACTCCATTGGCTCCCTATCCTTCAGAGGATCCAGTTCAAGATCCTGGTCCTCACTTACAAAGCTTTCTGTGGTCTCGCCCCATCCTACCTCTGTGACCTCCTAAACCCCTACCAACCCGCCCGCTCCCTCCACTCAGCCGGCTCTGGCCTGCTCCACGTCCCCCGCCTCACCATTGGTGGAATAGCCTTTAGCCATTCTGCCCCCAACCTCTGGAATTCCATCCCCCAATCAATCTGCCTCGCCGCCTTCTTAGCCTCCTTCAAGTCCCGCCTCAAGACCCTCATCTTCGACCATGCCATCGGCCACTCCCCTTTCCCTCCCCTCCCTTCTCCCTCCCTGACTCCAGCTTGGGTCTGAAATGCTGCAGAGTGTCCAGTGCCTTGGGACGTCCTCCTGACGTGAAAGGCGCTATACAGATGTAATCTTGTTATTATTGTATACCTTCTATACAGAATCATGTGTTCCACTTGAGTTACTAATCATAAAACTGCTAAAATTGTTCCAGTGCATTTTTCACTAAATTGCAATAAATAATAATCCTTGCCTTCATTATAGGGAAGACATCTCAAAGCACTTCATTAAGATTTTCTGTAAAGTGTAGTGAGTTTGTATTTTATAGGCTTATATAACAGCCACATGCACACAGCCATATGTCCCACAAGCAGCCATGAAGTAAATGACAAATTTAACTGGGGATTATTGGCCAAGACATCAGGAATGCCTTCTGTTTTTGAATAGTTCCATAGGATTTTCAATGTCTGCTTGAACAATACAATATAATAGAACCAAATAATTTTGAAAAGCTGCAAAATTACCTTCTCATTGGTCCACTTCGAATATCAGTCAAATATACAGCTCCATCCATTTTGTGACCACGAGCTATGTTGAAAACTTAAAATAAATAGGATGAGGAAGTGTCACTTGTGTATTAAACTTTTTTTTGATAGAAAACAAATGTCTTTAGGGCAGAACATTCAAAGTACGTACGCTCAATGGTAGCTTCTGGTTCCATTCCTTCTACATCAATTAGGTACCTTTATTTTGGAAAATAAAAAGGTTTATTTCAATACAAAATTATGTTGACAGGCAAAGTACCATTCATTTTAATAAAATAGGTTGGCTTTTTGGTGTGCAAAAGAAATTTCTAAAGTTACAATTATGTAGGACTTAACATGTATATCAATGATCAATTATCATGTACTGTTTCTCAAATGTCAATACCTCCCTCATTAGCTCTCTAGTTTTATTAAAATTGGGCACTCTTTCAATTTATAAATCAAGATGTGAATGGTTGACCTCACAGCTTTTCTGTAGGAAGGCAAAGTAAAAAAAGGCTTATATTTGAGTTGCATTAGGTATTAGTTTGGTTTTCTAATCTAAATTGATACATGTAGATTTAAGTTAACATATTTTATTGATTAATTAACCCCAACTACATTTCAAAACATTCAGAATTGCCAATATTTACCTGCAGATAAGGTATCCAGTTCTATTAACTCCACTAGTACAATGAACTCCAATAATAACATCTAAAAATAAATTCCAAAGAATATATCAAAATACAGATTATATTTGAATCTTACAATTTTCAACTGGAAAAATAAGCATGTATACAAGAATACAGATCTATTAAATATTTTACCAATTTGACACATGAATTTCAGCACAATTCCAAAATAATTTTCAACCTAATATTTACAACATATTTTTACTCACTTGGTAGAAAAATGTAATTGCAAATGCCAATGCATTCGCCATTCAATAAATCACTATATATTTGAAGCTGAGCCTTCAGCAACTAAACCCCTTGGAACCCCCTTTCTCTACTCCTCTATGATGCTATTTTTCCTTAAATCCCATTTAGAAATCTCTCTCTTCAACCGCTTCTACCATTGCCTTTTCCCACTCTTCCTCTCTTGCTTGACATTGTTGCAGTGAAGCGCCCCAAAATCTTTGTGAAGTGCGTTATATTGCTGTCGCATTTTATAGCATAAACAGATAAGAGTAGTGAATACCCAGATATTTTTAATGAAAGGCAGCAACTCTCACTATTACAAGATAATTGCTTTTTAAACTTCAGAATTGACGTAAAATACACTAACAATGATAAAAAGTGGATTGCATTTTCACTGTTCTCCATCTTCCCCCACAAAAAACAGTGCTTACCTACACTGATACCTACAGACCTAACACCTAAAGACGACAGATTATTCAATTAATAAAATTTAAGTAAGGTGAATAATTACCATTATCTGCGTTTTCCCACAAGAATTTTCTGACCATTCGTTTAAATTGAAGAATGGTAGCATCATCTGGAACTTCATGCCCCACAGTATAGAGTTTTTTATACTGTACACTTTTAGGCAAATCCTAAATGTATAAAATATTTTTTAAGGAACATATCATTAAAAGTCAATGTAATGATTATCAATTGTGCTTAAGGTAAACTCTTATCTAGTTTACTTTTTCTGTGTAGTAGCGAGTTGTATATGTCAAGTCAACAATTAATCCAAGCTCCTCACTCTGTTCTTTGATTTTAGCTATAAGATCTTTTGGAGAAAACTTTTGTTTTGCTGTGAGCCTTTGGCTTATTGCCTGTAAAAGAAAGAATGCAACAAAGCATTATATGGTCAACATATATATCGCTGTCAAATAGTTATTTGTGCAAAGTTACTGGAGAGCATGCTATGGAACAATATCGAACACAGTTCATGGAATGGAAAATATTTTTTGCTGCAGGCCTGTCCAGATTATGAAATGATACAATACATCTTTACACCAGGCAAGGGAAAGAGTGGAGGAGGATGTCAGTTCATCTTTAACAGTTACATTTTTTTAAGATAGATATGATTTTAAATATAAACAATCAAAATATGCTTACCCCTTTCAGAGGCACTTTAAAAGCAACAAATCTAGTTCCTGACAGACGTTTCCCAACAGGAATAATGCCTCTCCATCTATATCAAAATAAGGCAAAAAAAGGTGTTGTAAGATATATGGTTCACTAATTTGTTAGAGACATTAAATGAAACACACACACTAATTTTAAAGCATATTGTAATAACACTCCGGTAGAATATATTTTAATCCTTTTGAGTCTTCTTCCCATCAACCATACCAGCAAATAAAAGCAAGTAAACCTTGACTAAATTCATCTTTCTCCTGCTTAGAATGCAAGAGATTGCTATATGAAGAATAAATATTTGCAGCAAGTGAAACAGCAAATTTATATTTAGTGAAAGTGGAACACTAAGAAGCAACATTAAATCAAATACACTAAATCTACTTAGAATATGATCTAATAGGCATATGAATATTATATGGACCATTATTTCCCTTAGGAAGTATTACAAAAGGATATAGAACACAAATCACGCACTGTATTTTGATATGCAATGTTAAAGATTTATTTATTGTTGAAGGCTGGCATGGAAGAAAAATGCAAATCTTTCAGGATGTAAGATGATGATAGAAGTAAACTGCCTCTGGGATATAGGTACCTTGATACTTTTACTATTCCTTAAAAACAACTGTACCCTAAGGATTATCAAGGTTTATTTTTGTGGTCACAAAGCGCAGGTAACATTTTTCTAACCTGTTCTGCATTGCTGAAAATAGCTATTTTATACCCAGAAATTGAAAAATTGAACAAAAGTGGTGAACTGAAGAGGAGATGTGAGTTATCTATTGTAAAGTAACTTTGGTCTGAAAAGGCTCCAGAATTGTACATGTTCATGAAGTACAATAATCTTCACAGCAGAATAAAGCAAACTGTTTGATTTGGTAGCAAGATGTGATCTTTTCCAAACAAATTTGTAGTGAGTAGCCTAATTTGCATAATTTGAACACCTAGGTGATCCAATATATATAGTTCATAACATGTCAATGCAGGGAACTGCTCTATTGATGGGAGTTGCTGTCCTTTGGATGAGGTTTTAAAATCAAGGTCCTATCTGCTGTTTAGATCTTGAAGATCCCACGGCACTAATCAAAGAAAGATAATTTTTCTCCAGTATCCTGGCCAACAATCCTCCGGACAAAATTGGTCATTCACTTCATGCCAGTTATTCTGTGCCAAATTGTGTTTGCTTTGCATACAAAATATACTGCAAAGTACCTTGAGATCTGGACATATAATGTATAATATATAATTCAAAGATATTTTTATTACAATACTGTTCACAGTAATACAATAATGATATAATATTGATACAATAATCCATAAGCAAAAAGCCTAGTGTATATAGTATTTGTTAATCGTGAGTGAAGGTTGGAAGAATAATTGAAAACCCGTTCCCCTCCTTCTCTTACATACATGTAAGTGGTTGGATATGAAATTGACCAGAGAGTTTGGAGGGGGGGGTTAAATCACAACAGACAAATCCTGTCCTCCTATGCATTATATAGTAAGAGTCACAGGTCAGCAGTCCGAGCAATTGGGTAGGCAAAACATTGGACAAAGATAGACAAATGTAATATCCTATTGCTGCATTCTTGAAACCTTTAATTATAATTTCTACAGTTCATTCAAAGCATTCTTAATGCCTTTTATGTGGCAGGGGTGTATGTATTATATATAATCATTTGCATTTGCTATGCAATTAATGAAGATGGTTTGTAAAGTTTTTAATCTATTCTTATTTAGGTTACAGCAACTGCCTCTGGTGGGAGTCTTTCCTTAGGAGAAAGGGTTGTAAGAAGGCAAGTCAGAAGACGCTAGTTAATATCATCTACTGAACTATAATTTCACTTCTGAAGACAATAGAATGTGGCTGCTGTACTGGTTGTCTTTTTTGGTGGGGGCTCAGCTTGCCCAACCAGAAGAGCAAGATGGATTCAGCATTCCTGTTTTTCCTCAGCTTTAGATCGGGGAACTTCTGTGGCTAGATAAATTGATTGCTGTAGCAGTTTCATTGCCTGGATGGTGCTATCTGCATTGTTTCACATCTGATGCTTGGTTGTAGAAAACAGCAAAATTAATTTGATGTCTATTGCATAAATTTCATCATTACGTCTGGGAAGAGGCCAATTACATAAGCATTCCTGCTCAGTAAAGCTTGTTTAAATACATTTTCTGGAAGAGCTGGGGCTTTTCCTTTGGCATTGTCTTGGCATATTTCATTTAGACTCAAAAAGATCAAAACTTCATGTGCTTTCTACAAAATAGTATCTTCCATATCCCGGACTCTCCAAATATTTTTTTCTTAACCGTAAAGAATAAAATCATCTGTTGCTCAGTCTTACATATCCCTAGGTATCGTCAAAGCTCAGTAAGATCATCATAGTTAGATTAGTGATATGACCATTGGGAGAGGGATAGCAATCATGTTTGAAGTTGGTTCAGGCTTTTTTTGCTGTGGACAATGAGCTAATGAAGAATTTACTGAAAATGAAGCCATGAGCAATACTCTCTCCACTGAAGCTGATCTCAGTAGATCAGAAAACAGTTTAAATCAGATCTTCTAAAATATTGGTGTTGGTAGTTAACTTGCCTTAACAGCAATTGCAATCGATTTCTTCATTTAGTACTAGAAATTTTGCAGTTAGGGGATATGTAAGACTTATCATCAGATGATTATCTCTTAATTCTCTTAACTAGAGCAGTCAATCATCAGACCTAATGACCAGACACCTTGTCAATAGCCATATGCATTCCATCTAATTTGCCATCACTGGAATATATTTAATACAGGTAGTTGTGATTAGATTATTTGAGCATTCCGTAAATTATACCTAGAGATGTAGAACTGTTGTGTAAAATGTGAGGAACTACAGATTGAAAATAAAATATGTAAGTAGTTTATTTTGAAAAGTATTATTCAACAAAATGAGTTACATTTTTAAACTAAATTGAGCAACACCAGGTAGGCCTTCTTGGCAAAAGTGGCTGTGTACCTAAAGCACAAGATGTTCGTTTTCAATGACATTAATTAAATCCCTCTGAAATGGTTATAACACAAGTGAATAGCCTTTTTTTCTTCTCTACACCCAACAAAACATCTGAGATTTGACTTCAGCTAGCATTGTACAAGTCAGATCAGAATTTAAATTATTTTAATAAGCGATCACTTTTAGATTCAAACTCTTGACTGATTTTAGATGGAAACCGTGGAATTCAGAATCAAATGAACTTAGAATTTTGCATATCCTTACTTATCACCCACCCCAATTTCTAATATACATAAAAAATTTGTGCTGTGAATTCCGAGTAAACTAAAAGCATCATATGCCACATTTTACTACTTTGTTTCATGTACTGAGTTACTAGCTTCTGGTGTGGGTTCATTTTGAAATTAAAAATTATTGCCTTTGAGTCCTGTAGCTTGGTGGTTAGATAACTTGCCTTACCTGCGGTTACTGGGTTTGATTACTGAGTGAAACGTTGGGCAAGTTTCCTTACTCCACACGCCTCTGTTTATCTAGCAGTAAGTAAGAACCCGGTTGTTAGTCAATTGGAAGATTGCTTTTCCGGGGGTAATATTCACTTTAAAAAAATGTGGTCACTCAATCCACGACTGTTTGTGGGACACTGCTGTGCGCAATTGGCTGCTGCGTTTCACCCACAAAATATAGTCAATTTACTTTACGGTATATTCTGTGAAGCGCTTTGAGACGTCCCGATGACGTGATAAGGTGCTATATCAAATGCAAGGATGATTGTTAATAAAATAAACTATCCCCACTCGGAGTACAGATTTTCTGTTGCAGCTTTCAAAATTATTTATGGCCAATAAAGGTTTATGTAAGATGTATAAAGTATGCTTTGGAAAAGTAATCTAGGAATACTGTTACATTGCTTCCTGATACTAACAGTTTGTGTGGATACGCAATAAAGGAAACAATATGTTAGTGAATGAACATAGCCATAGGATTAGAACACATTTCTTAGGATGTGAATATGGTCGTAGACCACTAGCACAGCCCTCTTTGAATATTGTGCACAATCCTGGTCAGTGTAATATGGAGCTAATAACTTCCATAACAAAACTTTGAATCTAATTTAATTGTATTTTTTCACCGTGGCTTTTTTTTACTGCTCTAATTGTATTTGGCCACATGTTGAACAGATTGAGACTATAATAATTCAAAGAGGAATTGGTCAAGAACCTATATAGTAAAAACATTTAAGTGATTTGGGAAATGGGATTAATAAAAGAGTGATTTACAAAAACAGGTAGCAGTGGCAGACACGAAGGGCCAAAAGATCTCCTTTCAGTGCTAAACATTTCTGTTTCTATATTGTGAGAAGCAAAAGTAAAACCCATTATTATAAGGACAGTTCTTTCAGAAACAAGGGGAACATAAATTGTAGTCTTTGAACATTGGTTAGATTTGTCTATTATTGGCCATTATTGTGTATTTGCTGTTAAATATGGGTCGAGGATTGGATTTACCTTTTAACTTCGGAATAGTCAAAGCACTATAACATCCTTCCAATGTCAGTTTGCTCAGTTAGCAAGCACTCCTCACCTCAAACTCCCCTCTCATCCTCTGAGAATTATCATTCACAATTTCTCCCTTCCAATTAAGATCAAGTAAGCCTAGCTATCCATAGCCATTGCTTAATTGTGCACATTTCTGTTGACTGCAGCAATATGGAATTAATAGTGTTGTATGCAAAATTGGGAACATATTGGGAACCCCCAAACCTTCAATTCAAAGCAGATATTTATGCAGCCTTTTTGAAAGTTTAAATTGACATTACTAATTACTAACTAGTTTCTTTTATATATCCACTACTAAGGAAATTGTATTGCTTGTGATAAGCAAAATTAAAACCCATTATTATAAGGACAGTTCTTTCAGAACAAGGGGAACATAAATTGCATTGTAACTGATGAATCGCTAGCTTCACTTTGTCGCTTGTTAATTTTAGACCACTGTCAACAGTTCTACAAATAACAACTAAGCCTGCTTAATGTTGATTAAAATATCAAGAGGGACAAAGTCCTCAACC